CCGCGTGCTGTACATGGACACGGATTCCGTGGTGTACCTGGCCACCCAAGGCGAGACCCACCTGCCGCGTGGCCGTTTCCTGGGCCAATTCAAGGACGAACTGAAAGGCGACGTCATCGACGAATTCGTGGCCGGCGGCCCCAAAAATTACGCCTACCGCACCCGTTCGGGCCAAGAATGTTGCAAGGTGCGCGGCTTCACCCTGGACGCCCGGGGACAAGCCGTCCTGAACTTCGAGAGCGTCCGAAACCTGGTGCAACTAGACATGACGGAGCCTCTCGATCGTCCCAGAACGCTGTCCGTCGACAACCCCCATCACATCGTACGGAACGTCCCCGACAAGACACTCCATTCCGTGCCGCAACGCAAGACCTACTCCATGGTCCAAGACAAACGGGTGTTGGAGGCCAATACCGGCATGACGTACCCCTACGGCTATCGACCCAGTCAGGACATCGTGGACGACATGGTGTTGTCGGTGCTGTTCTCGGACATAGACTCTCCCTTGGAAGACTACGAGGAGGACTTGCCTTTGGTTCCAGAACCGTACTCATGTTGAAAACAAATGATAGGGACGCCCCACACCACTAAGGTCGGGCACACGTTCCCGCTTGTAACAGGTTAGGGTTCATGACTTGTACAATAAACCTGAGTTTGAACACTGTGCCAAAAAAACATGTGTTTATTTTTTTTTTCCTTTGTTTGAATTCCCTAGGGAATACCCACGTGACCACCCTAGGGTTGAGAGACTGTCCGGGGGGAACCTCGACCCAGCCCCAGCCTAGGGTTAGGGTCAGGACCCAGGGGAACACCGTTTACCCCCCAAAAACCCAAGGTTAGGGTGTGCGCATGCGCCCTCGTGAATTCTCTCTTAGGGTTCCCACATGGACGAGACATCCCCTTCGTCTACTCATATAAGAGCCCTTAGGGTTAGAGTGAGGGTAACAGGGCTCTAGGGTTAGGGTTAGGGTTACAGGGGCCACACTATAACGTGACACCCTTTTACAACACGTCATCACCTCTATGACGTCATCCCCTCTTTGAAATTAGTTGACAGCTCAAATTTGATTGACAGGTCATGTGATCTCGTTCTGCACGCTGATTGGTCCATTTGTACCACGTGACCTATATGCGGCTTTCTGATTGGTCGAGCCCGTAGTGTCCCCCTTTACTACTCACCGCAGATGAAGAAGTGGTGAATGAAACCCTGGCACTGATAAAGGATCTCTCGACCATTAAAGATGGAAGGCATTTTGGAAAACTGACGGAATATCTTATTTTTATCTATAAGTAAACGTTTTGACTGATTTAGTAGTAGACCTATTTTGACCCTTTTGCGGACCTGTCAAGCTGTAATGAAGATAACCTGCATTGTAGGTGTACCCGTCTTGAAGGACCAATTGGCCTTGAACATAGATGTACATGGTAGCAAAAGGATCCTAATTCTAGGGAAACGGGGGAACACACTCCCATGTTCAAGCTTTCTAGGTTTTTGCCTCAAAAAGGGGTATAGACTTCAAGGTGGTCAGTCGTTAATTAGGGTATTTTTTCTGTTATTATGGTCCTTTGATAGCGTGCCTCAAAGCGCATGACCTAAGTCGCTATAAGGAATCTAAACTAGTCGTTAGTTTACTAACACAACAATTGATAGTCACGCCTGGTCAAGCATATCCCCATAGATTCCATTAATGACTCGATAATTGAAAAATGAATCCGTTGGTCATTGCCGCAATCAGTATTGATTCAAATCTGCATTCCTGCACACGCAATGAGCAGTGAGTTTTCTACAATAACTTCTCTTTGAACGGACAAAATTGCTTTGAAGATATTCACATAAAATTCAAGCTTACTGAGCTGGTAGAAATTTCCTAACTACCTTATTTGTATTAAAATTCGCGCAGTAGTAGAATTTGCCCAGCGCTGGGTGCGTTAATTTTAGTACTGCGCGAATTATAATCCGCGCGAAAAGCTTTGTGGTGTGATATGACACACTCATTGTTAGTAATGCAAATCAGTTGATTTATTAACGCATATACACATTTGACATATGTTTTAAGTTGAATTTTGCTTGCATTAGATATTAATTTACATAATTTTGAAGGCATTTTTTGAGGGCCACCTAATCGCTTTTTGATTAAGTTTTGACAAATACTGTAGTATTTGTTGATAAAAAGACACTCATTATAAATACGTTAATTGGTAATAGCTCTATTAAACAAACCAAAAAGAACGAACACGGAAAATTACTTGCGCGAATAAGTCTTAACAAGGTGGCGAAATTAAATCGCGCGAATTTAAAGCTGAGCGAAAATGAGTACGACGCGAATTTTAATACAAGTAAGGTATGCAGGATGCAGAGATGAATCTGAAATCTACATCTACTACCGGGATCAACTTTCGAATAATACGCATGACCTGGCTTGACTGTAACTAACTTTTCTCCAAAGTTCTGTTTTTCAGTCATGAATGTCCGTCCAAGTAAAAAGGAGAAATAAAAACGACGTATCCACAAACCATTTTCCTTTTTCGGTTTTCTTTAAAAAGGGTGTCGTTGTTTCGTTTTTGTAGTTTAAGGCCTTGCAAAGGGGGTCAATTTTCAGTGTTATTTCATTTCATTTCGGTATTTTTAACTTTATAAAGTTTTTGATATAGGCAGACAGGCAGAGAAGGAAGCAATGAAACCATTTGAAAGTTATCCATTTAACTAATAAAATCATTATTTAAAAGAAGGGAACAGTTCACTCATTCGCTTTTAAAAGACATTGCGTTTTTCCAAACATTGCCGAAAATATTCCAACTCGCTTAGAACGTCGCTGATGATGAAGGTGATTTTCGAATTTCTTTCTTTTTTGAAGTAGTTGTGATCTTGTTAATGGCATTATGTTTTAGGATGATAATGGCTTACCAGACCTTACATTCAGCCTCTCCCTCCAACCTTCATCCATGATATTGGCTTCTGGATAACCGAACACATGACAGAACAGCAGTTTTTTCGGGACATTTATGTACGATGTACGATTCATACAGGTGCACCCAACGAGAATATAGTTCAAAACCACTTAAATTAAACCTACTTTAGTATTTAAACGGTAGATATAGGTATATGTTTATCCGCTAAAAATTTGTCATCTGTTCGGATTTCTTAGATGAAAGTGTAGTGATCCGAAAATTATAGGGATCAAAAGTGACCTTTTCGAAAATTTTATCCTGAAAAAAGGCTCCCGTAAATTCTAGGTGACCTTTTCAGGGTAAAAATCTGTTTAAAATAGGCAATTATACCATTTTTTAGCTGGTGGAAAATCGAAGGAGAGGCAGGTAAGCAAGAAATTTTACAACAAATGTTCCGAAAACTCTAGATCTCAAATCGTCTTCCGAACAGATATTTTCCGAAAATTGACGTTTGGTTCCCCTGTTCATAGAACGATACTATGATACAAAACGGGATATAGTGAGTTATAACTACCGGATAGTTTACAGCTCATGTGACAGGCTACTGACCCACCTCCAAAGTGCTAAAATGCAGAACTTGTTAAGAAAAACGGTTACTGAATTGTGAATTCCAACTATACTTCTATAACAGTAGCTACGGGGCCGCGCGGTTACATGGCTACGAGGCTTCGGGCGCTACTTACTATGGGCTTACGTGCCTACGGGCCTGACCCCAAACCCTAAACCTAGCCTTAACCGTAACCCTTACCCTGGTTTTGTAAATAATTTATCTCGAATTTCATCCAAGTTAATGTTGTTACGGGTTGAGAACAATTTTAATCCCGCCGACGGGATTTAGACTGTCAGATTTAAAGTGATGTGGAGGCGTTGTGTAAATTTTTCCGTTAAGAAAAAATGTGAAAAATCCACTACTGCTTTGGGTAAAAATGAGTAGTCACGTAGTCCATTCGTACTTTGTCTGGAGGAGCGTTGCGTGACGACATAAAGAATGGCGGCGTAGGAGAGACTACGTAGCCACGTAGCCACTGTTATAGGGGTATAGCTTCGAAGTGCCCGGGTATTGGTATTCTGCAGTTAAACAATTTTCAGCTTATTCTCCTTGATTTGTAACCACTGATCGTATTCCAGAAGAATTATGACCTTTATCTCCCGGGCGTTTGCTTCCACGACCGACTATCAAGCAAAATAACATCTTCAAACAAGACCAAACAAGTGTTTGTACAATTTAAGATCACTAAGAAAAGACAGTGAAAAGATGGATACGCGCAGGTAGAGATAGATTTAAAAAGGTGCAATAAGCGACGTTACACCTCTGAGTTAATTAACATCTATGACCTTTTAGAAAAGTGTGACCGCAGGTTGTTCACCAAAATTAAGAACAATGTTAACCATGCATTATATGCCCTTTTGCGGAAAGTCAAAGAGTCATCCAAGAGGTCAAGATCATAAGCAATACAATTACCACGAATTAATACAGAACGTTTTAAGAATTGTTTCTTCAAAAGAACAAGGTTTAAATTCAACTTAGCAATTTAACAATGGAGCAGTGTAAAACGCAGACTGGGGACTATTGTTTTTAGGGTTCGAAAACAATGTGACTATTGTTGGCACGTTCTCATTTGCATGGCCGGAAAATATTAGACCCTGTTTACATGTAGTGGGGGACCCCGGTCTAGTGGGGTAAGTTTCTTTTGTTTTGTGTCCCCCAGAGCGGGAAAACAAAAGAAACTTACCCCACTAGACCGGGGTCCCCCACTCCATGTAAACAGGCCCTTAGTCCGCAGTCTGCGTTTTACACTGACAGATTAGCAATATAGATATCCAATGTTTTATCACGTTTTATATGATAATTGTGAATAATCTGTGCGATTTTCATGATTTGTATACTTCACTCACTGTAACGTTTGTTATGTATTTTAACGGGCGAAATAAAGACATTTTATTTTTATTTATTTATTTTTTCACTTGAAGCACGCAACCTCGTTTGTTTACACTTTTGGTTCAACGGTTGCTAAGATTTTTGTCACGTGAGCGAAAACGAAGGCGAAGCAATGGCGTCGTTTGTTAAAACGGGAGAGCATTACTACAAGAGTTTAGATGTTTTCAAGGAAAAAAGCGATGAATTTGTAAGAAACATTGCGATCGTGCGCTATCATATGGCGTCTGTGATTCAAAGGTTGCCGCAAAATCAATCCTGTTTTAACATCTTGAGCGTTGGAAGTGGAACAGGAGAGATGGACATGGAAATCTTGAAGATTATGAAGGAAGAGCTGCAACGAACGCAGGGTCGCGACCAGATAAAGATCTATAACAGAGCGATCGAGCCAAATGAATACGCCTGCGACCTTTACAAATCTGCAGTCAAAAGGGTCAACGACCCACAGATAGATTTCGATGTTCGCTGTCAAACCTTTCAAGAGTATAAAGGACGAGGACCTGAGAAACTGGAAGAACGCACGAAGTTTGACGTCATCCACTTCATGCACAGTATCTACCACTTGGACATCGAGGAATCTTTAAGTCATTGCATCGAGAACGAGCTCAATGCTAACGGCAGTTTATTTGTCATGGTCTGTGGGCCGGACCTCATCTGCTGGGTTCTAGACAAGCAACGTTTTCCTGACTGGTATGGAAAACCGGGCGATTCGGTTCCCCAAAGCTTCGAAACTGTGGAGAAATTATTTAAGATTGTTGTGGGAGCTGGATGGAGATAAGATGTCTACAACCAAGAATATGAGATAGATGTCACTGACGTCTTTGATGCAGAATCAACTGAAGGAAATCTTCTTCTTGACTTCCTGACACATATCAAGAATTTTCGTGACACTGCAGATGAACAAGTGGTGAAAGAAACACTGGCGCTGATTAAGGATCTCTCAACCGTTAAAGATGAAAGACATTTTGGAAAAAAGATGGAATCTCTTATCCTTATCTACAAGTAACGTTTTGATAGACTGGTAGACTTTTCATTTTTAAGCTGGGAACTTTCCCAAACTCATGACAGGAAAATTTTAAATCTAGGAGCCGGGCGATTTGTTTTATTTGTCCTGCTGGGTGGCGAATTAGGGACTTCCTTAATTAGGTTCCTTGTCAAGTTCAGCTCGGAATGGGATGCAAGAAAGACGGTCAGCATATTCATTCTATGTCCAGTCTCAGCTAGAAAATTAGACGTTCTCTCGCATTTTATGTAAAAGCATTTTTGTTGATGTTTTTAGCAGCTCTCTTTAGTTCAATGGACAAATTGTCCCTTAATGTAAAAAAGACTCGGTTATTGATATTCAAAGCAAAAAACAAACAAAAAATAAGCAACAAGGAACATTAGTTTAGACGGTTCAGGTATCAAACAGGTAGAATCAGCTAGATTCTTAGCAGTTCATGTAGACGAAAATATTAACTGGAAAATCATATAAGTCATGTTTGCAGCAAAATTGTAAAACTTTCTGGTATACTTTGTCGAGCAAGACATTATTTACCTCGCGTTGTTATCCGGAGTCTATATAATGCACTTATCTACCCATACCTAAGTTATCGTAACATTGCATGGGGAAATACGTACACAACAAGACTAGAACCAATAAGAAGGCTACAAAAGAAAATTGTAAGGATCATTACTTTTTCCAAATTTAAACATACTGGTCCTCTTCAAAGAACTATTGATTTCACCTTTAGATGTTATAAATAATGAAGCCATTGGTTCGTTCATGTTTAGATACTTCAATAACAATCTACCATCAGAGACATTCTGTGGAGCAACTGTTTTGAAAGTTATGGACCAAAAGACATTCGTTAAGTGCAGATGAAGACATAAGGTGCGTATAACAGTGTATATTCATGTGTAAACACTTGGATAGTTTGCCAGACATGAGTTTATCATTCACAAATCTTTGATTGGAAACAATCTGCCAGACACTCTTTCTCTCTCTTTGGGGGAATAAAACTCAGTCGACAAACAAACAAGACGAGTGAATCAACGGCTAGATTATCACTAGCACAAACGATGAGCGATTACTGAAATTCGCTGATAATTACATCTGTTACATTCTGTGCTGACGTATTCCCTGCCCACAGACGTCCTTCTATAAAGTTTTTTAAAAGTATTGTCTTAATAGTTAAAAAGAGAATAGAATGGGCGAGCGTGATTGATCAAAGCTTTGAATTTCTATGGCTCACTTTGCGGCTGATAAAATGAACTGTATGTAAAATGTGAAAGAGAAATGACGAAAAACGCCAACCTCTAATCAAATCTTTTCTTATGGCTTAGAATAAAGTATTCTCGAAACTGAGAATGTTTTGATCAAAACTGTGTAAATCGAACTGAGTCAGTGCATGGAACCTTGCGTTTCCTGTCTTAATCTCACCTATTGAAACAATATGGAATATGTGACAGCGACGCGAACGACTTCGTAAGCGCTAAAAGTCATGCAAGAGAGAAACCTCTGCTCGCATGGTATCTTTTCCCAACTTCCGACTTCCGAATTTAAGACCTCTTCACATGAGTCTGATTGACCGGGCTGGCCTGTGTTCATGAGAGGGCGGGCTGTCTCGGTAACTGGGCTGGAAATTTTGCCGTATGAATACTTCAGCCCGGTTACCGGGAAGAAAGTGGGATGTATTCTGGCGGTCCAGATGGCATCGTCTTGCATTACCTGCTGTATTTTCCACATCATAAGCATCCCATTTAACTGCAGTGATACAGCTTGAAGAGTTGCCGAAGCTACGACAGGCGCGAAAGTAAAGCTTTTGTGTTTCGCCATGTTTGCTTTGTTTCTCAAATTTGGCGCCAGAACTCGTTCCCGGGGTCTTTGGCCTTTTCTTATCTCGGAAACCGGGCTGAAATTTCTCATATGAACCAAAAGAGCTTTATCCTCTCTTGTGTGAACCCATGGCGGAATTCATACCGGTAACCGGGTTCAGGTGATAAGGTAGCCTGCGTGGCAGGCGTTTGAAAAGGAAGGGAAAGGGAGTCTTACGCGCGAAAGAAACGCGAGGAGGGAGGGAAGGAAACGCCTGCCAGAAGACCGTTCTTTCCGCCATCCCGCCTACTAATTATGTATGCAAAAATAACACAGCTGTGAATGACCAGCTGTCAAATAAGTCTGGCCGCAAAACACTTATTTTTAGCTTTTGTTTTGCTAAAACAAGAAATCTTAAGTGAAGGTACGTACTATAAAAAAAAAAAGTTCAAATGCGGTCGTCCGTTGAAAGAAGAAAGTTGCAACGATGCGTGACTTGTTATATGAAATAAATCTATTGACGTCGTTTGCTGAAGGAAACATGCTGGACGTCGCAACTTGCATGCAATGTTTGTCTGAGAAATACTTAAAACACTTTGTTAGCTCTCGAATTGGATCCAGCGCAGCATACAAAAGAACACTGGTAGCAGGAAAAGAAGAACTGAGCTTCGAAGATCTACAAGAAAGCTGCAATCAATTATTAAAGTAAGTTCCTGGCGGCCTTATAACGTCTATAACAAGCAAGACCAAAAATCGTCTTCAACAGTCTGGTCGTTGATAAAGCATAGCCTGCGTGGTAGGCGTTTTCGGTCAAACGCCAGATAACAAGGACACAGCTGGCAGCATGATATTTCCTTTCTTTCTTCTAGGGAGTAAAACAAGCCGTTGAAAGATCGATTAAGTTACTCAATAGCGTGATGTTGATTTCAACCAATCGGATGAAGGTATTAAGGCTGTGATTGACATGTTTTGAAGATGGACCAATCAGGATTTTAACATTCGCCTGGTGGATGTTAAAAACGAGAAATACAATGGTCTCCTGGCAGGCGTTTCCATCCCTTCCTCCTCGCGCGCCCCTGGGGTTTCTCTCGCACCTAAAACTTCTCAAACGTCTGCCACGCAGGCCAATGAAGAGGCCCTTATACGTGGAGTTTTAGACATTGTTACTAAGTATTTGGCTGCGTGACTTGTTAAAGGCGAGGAAATGGCGTCGTTTCTTAAAACGGGAGGGCATTACTACAAGAGTTTAGATGTATTGAAGAGGAAAAGTGATCAATTCGTGCGAAACATCGGTACATTACGTAATCACATGGTGTCTGCGATTCAAAGGTTACCACAACATCGATCCTGTTTTAACATATTGAGCGTTGGAAGTGGAACAGGGAAAGAGGACATGGAAATTTTGAAGATCGTGAAAGAAGAGCTAGAGCGAACACAGGGCCGCGACCAAACCATGATTTATAACCGAGCGATCGAGCTAAATGAGTATGCTTGCGATCTTTACAAAGCTTCTGTCGAAATGCTTAACGATCGACAGATAGCTGTCGATGTTCGCTGTCAGAGCTTTGAAGAGTATAAAGAGCGAGGCGCTAAGGAGCCAGAAGAACGCACGAGGTTTGACGTCATCCACTTCACACACAGTATCTACTATTTGGATATCAAAGAATCTTTAAGTCATTGCATCGAGAACGAGCTCAATGCCAACGGCAGCTTATTCGTTATGGTGGGTGGGCCGGACCTCATCTGCTTGGTTCTAGACAAGCAACGCTTTCCTGACTGGTATGGAAAGTCAAACGGTTCGGTTCCCGAAAGCTACAACGCCGTGGAGAAAATATTAAAGTTTGTTGAGGAGGGTGGCTGGAAATATGAAGTCTTCAGCCATGAATATCCGATTGATGTTACTGACGTCTTTGATCCAGAATCAACTGAAGGAAACCTACTTCTCGACTTCCTGACACACAGTAAGAATTTTCGTGGCACCGCAGATGAAGAAGTGGTGAATGAAACCCTGGCACTGATAAAGGATCTCTCGACCATTAAAGATGGAAGGCATTTTGGAAAACTGACGGAATATCTTATTTTTATCTATAAGTAAACGTTTTGACTGATTTAGTAGTAGACCTACTTTGACCCTTTTGCGGACCTGTCAAGCTGTAATGAAGATAACCGCATTGTAGGTGTACCCGCCTTGAAGATGTACATGGTAGCAAAAGGATCCTAATTCTAAGGAAACGGGGGAGCACACTCTCATGTTCAAGGTTTCTAGGTTTTTGCCTCAAAAAGGGGTATAGACTTCAAGGTGGTCAGTCGTTAATTAGGGTATTTTTTCTGTTATTATGGTCCTTTGATAGCGTGCCTCAAAGCACATGACCTAAATCGCTATAAGGAATCTAAACTAGTCGTTAGTTTACTAACACAACAATTGACAGTCACGCCTGGTCAAGTATATCCCCATAGATTCTATTAATGACTCGATTATTTGAAAAATGAATCCGTTGGTCATTGCCGCAACCAGTATTAATTCAAATCTGCATTCCTGCATACGCAATCAACAGTGAGTTTTCTACGATAACTTCTCTGTATTCGGTCAAATTAAAAAATCTTTGAACGGACAAAATTGCTTTGAAGATATTCACATAAAATTCAAGAAAACTGAGCTGGTAGAAATTTCCTAACTACCTTACTTGTATTAAAATTCGCGCAGCGCTGGGTGCGTAAATTTTAGTACTGCGCGAATTACGATCCGCGCGAAAAGCTTTGTGGTGTAATATGAGACTCTCATTGTTAGTAATGCAAATCAGTTGATTATTAACGCATATACACAATCGACATTTTGCTTGCATTACACAATTTACATAATTTTGAAGGCATTTTTTGAGGGCCACCTAATCGCCGGTTGATGAAGTTTTGACAAATATTGTAGTATTTGTTGACAAAAACACTCATTATAAATACGTTAATTGTTAATAGCTCTATTAAACAAACCAAAAAGAACGAACACGGAAAATTACTTGCGCGAGTAAGTCTTAACAAGGTGAGCGAAATTAAATGGCGCGAATTTAAAGCTGAGCGAAAATGAGTATGACGCGAATTTTAATACAAGTAAAGTACAACTACTAACGGGCTCAACTTTCGAATAATAAATTCTTAATTGCGTCTCGGTGGGTACGCATGACCTGACTTGACTGTAACTAACTTTTCTCCAAAGTTCTATTTTTCAGTCATGAATGTCCGTCCAAGTAAAAAGGAGAAATAAATACGACGAATCCAAACCATTTTCCTTTTTCAGTTTTCTTTAAAAAGGGTGTCGTTGTTTCGTTTTTGTAGTTTAGGGCCTTGCAAAGGTGGTCGAAATTCAATGTTATTTCATTACTTTTAGTATTCCTATTTAGTCAGACATTTCGGTATTTTTAACTTTATAAAGGACATTGTGCTATGACAACTGCCGTCGAAGAAAATAAAGTCCAGGTATTGAGGTAAGTTCATTAAATCGAAATTCAAAATTCTGACTTGTGTTGTTTTACTGGGGCGGTCAAACAGGTTGAGGGGAATATGAGTCGAAGAAATATCTATTGCATTGTTTTTTATTGTTACCAGCTATTGTTTCAGCCCCGCACTCCGCTGTTACAATCAAAGCCGCCACAAACTTTTCAGGCAGTGAATAATAAAATAAAAATAAATAACGATTTGGAGGTAGCACATCCACAAAGTGGTTCTTCGTCTACCTGATTCCTTGTCGAATTGCAATTTGGAAATGTTGCTTTTTGAGGAGAGGGGAAAACCGGAGTACGCGGAGAAAAACCTCTCGGAGCAAAGGAGAGAACCAACAACAAACTCGACCCACATATGGCGTCGACACCAGGATCTGAACCCGGGCCACATTGGTGGGAGGCGAGTGCTCTCACCACTGCACCATCCCTTGCTCCCCAAATAATGAGGGGTTATGTAATATATTCCCCAACTAAGAACAAAGGAAACTGAGGAAAGTAAAAAAGTAAGTCAAGTAAACGTCGTGACTGATTCAGTAGTCGACCTATTTTGACCCTTCTGCGAACTTGTCAAGCTGTAATTAAGATAACCCGCTTTGCAGGGGTACCCGCCTTGAAGGACCACTTGGCCTTGCAGATACATGGTAGCAAACTAATCCTGATCCTAGGGAGTCGAAGGTGGGCGGGGACCTCCCATGATATGCAAGCTATGAAGGTTAATGGCGTATGAGGGAGTATAGATTTCAAGGTGGTCAGTCCTTAATTGGGGTTTTCTCTTCGGTATTGCGGTCCTTTGATGGTATCCTTATTTAATAATGCCACAACTACGATAAATGCAAGCAAAGACATATAATGCAAAACAGCAAATATGATGCAAAAGATACAAACGTGTACGTATATATAAATGTACACGAGGTTAGTTTATAAGTACTGTTGACAATACAACTACGTCAATCTCATTCCCAAGGAATCTTTCTCCCGTCCCAATCCCCTGCCACTGCCTCTCTCGCTCCAGGGGACGGGAAGAGGACAGAGCCTGGCAATGAGACTGTGGGCGCGATCCATTCAACCAAAATTCCAACCGGTCCGACCGGGAAAAGAGGACCACCTCAAAAGGTGGACCCGTTTTTCCGAAACTTTTCCGGTTGGACCGAACCGATCCATTGAGTTTTGGACCGAAATTTCCGGAAAGTTTGGTTGAATGGATCGTGCCCTGTAACTACAGTATAGTAGACTACAGACTCGCTTTTGAAGTCGTGAGTAATGGTGGCTCTTTTGACACGGCAGAGGATGTAAAGAACGGTGTCAAGGGTTATTTTCATCGTGGCTCGTTTGGCTCGGCGGTGGATGGCTTATACAGCGACTTTTCGCATGGCAGTGGCTGCAAACCAGCGGACCTATTTTGTAGGAAGTTAAAAGTGACCCTGTAGTCTGTAGTTTAAAAAAATTAAACTTAACTTAATCTACCTGAAGGATAAAAAACGAAAAGTGTAAAATTCTACGTTTTGATCCAAGCAAAAAATGGAAACTAACTCCCATACAAATATACTATATACTTCTAGTATTGATCTAATGATTGAAAATATCCCTAAACTGATTTACTTGAGATAATTTGATACAGTGCTAGAAGCCAATTTAAATGTAAGTCATCTATAAAACTAGTTGTTGTTAAATTTACGTCACTTGATTAGGCTACTTTTACACAGCACCGGACGAATTTTCGACCGGTTGAAAATTCGTGCCTTTAGGTGTTTTGTTCATATGGAACCACAATTACCTTACGACAATTTAGACGCCAAACCCTTTCAAATTTCCGTGTGAACAGAGCGAAAATATTGAACGGTCCCGCCAGAACGAAGTATCCGGTCAGATTTTTTCGCCGGTTGAAAATTCTTCCAGTGCTGTATGAACGTAGCCTTAGTTATGATTGTGACGAAAAATCGGTAATTACACTACAGCAGCAGTTGATGACTATAAGCACCACAATTTTACCATTAACAAGCATCATCTGTTCAAGCAAACTACACTATAATATTTACAACATGAACGGCCGCTAGCTGATACAAATTCAAAACTATGCTTACATCCGCTGCATTCTATCACAAAATCACAAGCACATCATCACAGGAAAAAATAACGGATTCCCATTTGTGGATATTTTAGGTTATTTAAAGAATACCCATAAAAATCCCAAATTTGGCAAAGTGAGACAAGTCCCAACCAGGAAATTCCCAACCAAGTTCCCTGATTGGGACTTGTCTCACTCTTCCAAATTTGAGATTTTTGTGGGTATTCTTTAAATACCCTAAAATATCCAAAAATGGGAATCGGTTATTTTTTCCTGTGCACATATCTACATATTTACAATCACACAAATGTATGGTGTTTATATCAACGTAATTACCTTTAAATCAAAACCCACACATTTCGGTGCCTTATCGGGGCAATAAACCACAAGCCACGTTCGCAAAAAATGTGGATGACAAAAAAGGAAAAAAAATCCTCTGATGAGAGGCATTTAGAGACCTTTTAAGCCCCTCCTCGACTATTTCCCTCGCCTTACTGTGCGCCCCACTTGAATTAATGTTCAAGTAAATCACAGAAATATGAGAGTTGATTAAAACGTAAATACGCTTATATAAATACCATAAATTTGTGCAATCTGTCAGCGTGCATAGCCAAGGAAAATTTATAACACCTTCCTTTCATCAAACTCAACCACCACAACTTCTTTTTTCTCTTCGGTTAAAATTAGCTTGGTTATGTTGTACTGACGGCACAAATCCTTATTAGGAATTCCACATCACTTTTATGCTAAATAGGAGATTAGAAATGATTACAGGAGTACGAGGTCAAGTCATCATGTGTTCAACATAGTGCTCAGTGCCTCAAAAGATTCTTGTCTGAGTAAAGTGTGGAATTTCCAATAAGGCTTCGAGCACAATTTTGTGTTACCAAAATTGTGCTTGAAGTTTTCAGTTTTTCATATAAATTTATACGGTGTAACCACTGTAACCAGCAAGACGTATCTTGTCAATATTTGTTTCTTTCGCCTTGCCATAGGACTCTTGGAATGATTTTCTACTTTGTATAAAACGGAACCGAAGTATTAGGTTCACCCAATCAAAACAGATGCAGGCAATCAAGTGAACCAATCAACACGTACTGCACATTTATGAAGTTTTTTTCAAGGAAATCATATATCTGCAAGTCAAAATTGGTTTGGTTCACTTTTTACTGGTTAAAGTGGCGCGAAATCTTTTAGTGGCCAATGTCAAGGCGTACGATGCCCTATCAAAATGCACCCTACTAGTGAGTAGTCTTGAATGCAGTTTCCATAAACTCGTATATAGCCGACGTCAAGTGCACAAAAACATGTTGGCCACTCATTGCCTAGTCCCTAGGCCTCACTATTCCGCCGCACAGCCAATGCGTCTCGGGTCACGTGGTCCAAGCGAAGAAGTGAGGCGTTTCCCACCTGTTCGCCTCGGATACGTCACCGAAGTGAATTGACCGAGAAGGCCTGAGAAAACGCCTTACAGGGACTAGGCAAGGCCACTCACTCACCCAAAAGAACTCAGCGAAAATTTTGTTATTTTTCAGGTCGTATTTTTCGTGTATGTTTAAAATGTGGAATTTCTAAAAAGGCAGGTTAAATTCATACTGAGTTTTACGGTGTGAATTTAAATTTAAGGGGACACCAGCCACTGTGACCAGCAAGACGTACCTTACTCAACATTTATTTATTCCGCCTTGTGGCCTCTCAGAACAATTTTCTACTTTTTATCAAAACGAAAACCAAAGTAGTAAGTTCAGCCAATGAAAACAGAAGCAGAAGTGCAGTCAAATGAACCACGCAATCATAACTCACAGCAGTCATGAACCTGTTTTGAGACCAAACTGAGGCCCGAAGGGCCGAAAAAAAATTTTTTTCGCACCCCCCCCTTATCTCAGGGTCTGGATTTCCGGCCCCCCCCTTCATCTGAAGGTCTGAATCCGCCACTGATTTGGTTCACTTTTGGTCGGTTAAAGGGGCACGAGAGTTTTTTTAGCCAATGACGAGGCGTACAAATAAAAAAAAACAGGATATCGTAAGTGAAGTTTCTTCCGACGCTCAAAAGGAAAGACTCCTACTATAGATCTTGAAAGCAGTTACCAAAGACTCGTAGCGGCCGACGCCAAGCGCAGGAAAAAAGTGTCGGCCACTCATCCACCGAAAATAACTGGAGTAAGAATAGAGTTATTTTCAAGCCTACAAGCCATTACAACAAATAACACAATTATTGTATGGCTATTTTATAACAATGCTAACGCGCAAATTTCTATTTTTACTTCTTTTTGAAGAATTTACTGACTTTCATGATTAAGTGTAATCTGTTTTAAGCTTTTCTATTTCTTCGTTTTGTTACCTACTGTGTTTATTTTCCTTAATTTTTTGTTGTCGTTAATCTTTTGATCCAATAAACCTTTTTAGCTTGGGCTGTTTTTTTTATCCATTCAGTAGCGTGTTTTGATACTCTAAGCCGGCTTGTTTCCATATCATGGTTAGAATTGCATGGATCCCAGGATTTATCTAGGAATGTGTTCAGGTGATGAAGACGGCCATGAATGATCGGGGCGATGACAATCGCCTGGATAGAACTGAAGTCTGCCTCTTACCCATGTGCTTCTGGGATTTTCGGCGGTAGTCACGGCAAAAGGGGTCATGGGAGTTTTTGGTGTAGAGGGAAAGCTCAGAAAGAGCAAAGGCACATGGGAAGGCTCAACGTAAAAGGCGCTAGGGTTCGAGGTTACATCGGTTTCGTTCAGATCGTCCTCGAGTAAGAAATTTCGAAACGATCACGACAATTATATTATTGCCTAAATCAAATTAAAATTCCCATAAGAGTGTCATGTGGTTTGATCATGAATTGGGTTGGGAGGAAGCCAAGCTAAAAAGGTATATTGCTTCTTTTTGTTATATTATTGCGTGCAATGCCTCACTAACAATCAAAATTACCTAATTATCTAAACTATTCTTTCCACGACAACGTGTCTTCAGGTAAGAAGTCCTATTGGTAATTGAAGAAAAAAGGAAATAATTAAAAACAAGGATGAGTGAAACTGTATAAAATCCACTGAATAATCGCAACAGCTTGGCTAACAACAACAGGCCTTATTTTCTCTTGAGCGTGTTAAACAGTAAAAATATTTCTTTAAGCATTTTTGATAATAAAACAGAAAGACTATTGCCAATGCCAAAGGATTAAACCCATCTTAAATGACATTCATGAGAGACCTTTTATAAAAAAGGCGCTCACCACTAACCTGTTGACACACCATCAAGTTTGGCCTGTTGGCCGGGGACACTGAAATAGAAATTAGAGATAAGTCACTTTCCTTGAGGTGAGGACTAGAGCTTTTTAATTTAAGAGCGTTGGAAGGACAAATTTATTTGAAGTGTACACAAAAAGTAGTTGTGCACCAGGGGTAGGGGTTCACGGTAACAAGAAGTTGGTGCCTGAATTCAAATTACATTTTTTGCAGACCATATTCTTGATCCATTTGAGATTTTTGGTTCAATGGTTGGATGGTTCCATGGTTCCATGGTTCCATGGTTCGATGGTCATCTGTGACTGCAGCGCTGTGCAGTCAGCGGTTTGCTTAGCTGCCGCGCCTGTTTTTCTCGTAGGAGCAACCCGCCATTTTGTTTTGCTCTAATGTAAGATCTGTGCGGAAATCGTAGTTTATCGGATGCTTGCTGTCTTTTTAAACGGCCTAAACGGTAAGAACAGTTCAAGACGTATTGTACGGAACATTTTTTCGGTTTATTTTTTTTTATTCAGGTTTCAAGATTAGTTATAGCGAGTATTCTTTTGTCACACAGATTGTTATCTTGGTAATCAGGATTGTAAGTTACATAAGTGAACGGCATGTGCTGTACATCTTCCTGACCTGTGAATAAACAAGTTTTGGCCTTTACGTCATTTGCTCGCAACTCATCTCATCGATCCTGTGTACGATGATTGTTCGATGAAGAAACAGCCTATCAGCACTGCTGTTGTTTTAGAATGTCGTGCATTATTAAAATGAATTGCAAAATGGTATTGAAACCTTAGCGAGTTATATGAATGTAACCATGTTTGTCATCGTGATCGATTCATTTTTTATATCACGCTTGGAGTGTTTCATAATGCCAGCAAGTCTAAGTTATTGACTTTAATAAAAAAGAATTCATATGTTCAACTGTCCTACGAACTGTCTTTGTCCTATTCCCTTCGCAACTAACGACAGCACTTTCCTTCTCAATGAGAACTTCTAGTAGATTAAATTTTAAAAAGTAGTAACATATTAAGCTTACCCATATTGGAATAAGCATTTTTCGAATGTTGTTTCCATCAAAAATTAACGTCATTTTGAGATGATCCTGTGGTGGAGATATTTCTCCAGGTTCCACGGGAAGACATTCCACAAAAACAGTAGCTATGGGTCCTGGCATCCTGTACTGGTTTGAGGATTTTATAGTAGTCAAAGAAACCTGAACGTGAAGAAGGTAATAGTAAGAAATACAAAAGGAGGAAAAAACTGCACTTTACTTAACAGCCCACCAAAGAATAACATAGCTTTCCGAGTGTGTCTTCTTGCCCCACACCCTCCCCCACCCCCCATGCTTTCAAGCAGTAGCGCTAGAAGCTAACATATAGTTCACTTTGTTGTTTGATTTGATATTGATTTGAGCGATAACCAGGGAGTAATTTCTTCATTTTTTAATTGGTCGGACACTCGACTTCCAGTTCAGCGATACAAAATCTCTCGAAAAATAACACATAAGATTTGTTTGGACAATTTTAAGAGCGAGAAAAGAGCCTCTTTGACGAGCCCAAGTTGTGATATTTACATTAACATGACCTTGCCAATCTCAAGAATAAACTCAATAAGTACCTTTTGAGAGCTTTTATTTACTTACTCTTTTAGTTGGTACCACATTTAGAATTCTAAACTGCCCGTTCAACTGTTGAAAATTCACGTCAACATGGTTCTGTATATTCTCTGTATGAAATGGCCAGTTTTCTTCTTGGCTTAAGAGTTCGTGACCAGTTGTGACTACAAAGAGCATATTTTCTTCAAGCCATCTTGCAAATGGTCTCTAGGAAAAGTGTTAAGAGATGCTTAAATTTTCACGTCAACTACAAGAAAATTTTAGAAGATATAATACACATTTAGTTTTAAAAGCAATGTCCATTTTCTTCTCACATAATTTGCTCAACACCATTGGAAAAGTTTAACACTGCCATTCTATTTAGATATTTTAAAGCCACATACATTCCAACGAGAGTTGTTTTTATCTTTTGTCATAATAAACCTGCATACCCACAGAAGTTCCCTTCTTTAGATCTGACCTGGTCGACTTCCTTTTTGGTGAATACAGTTGTCGATACCTTGGGGAATTTTCGACAACGAACAACAGAATAGAATTAAAGATTTAAAAAAGCTAACGTTTTCTTGCAGCTTTCTTTCATTCTCGAAATCTAGCTCCTAACTCAGTTTGCAAATAATTAAAGGTCTTATCGAGTAGCAGCAGTTTTAGAGACCACTCCAAAACCAGACAAACAAATGTGCTGCATTACCGTAGTGAATCTGATTAATAAAAATTGAACCAAATGACTTGTACCAAAACATGCAGCTTCGTCTAGGTTCGTACATTTCGTGCACACAGTCAAAGAGTATTAAGCCTACCTCTTGAAATTGATCAAGAGTAAATACATACAGAGCAACCAAGAGTCCATTTGCTTCTGGTTGATGACGTACAGTAACGAAAAATTTGCAGAAGGTAGGGACGGGTGGCATCTGAGCGGGGTAGTGGCAGTCACCTGAAGAGCAGACAGTTGTGAAAGATGTTCAGAGAAACTTTCAAAACCCTTGCCTATTGACATTCCCTTTAACCTTCCTCTTTATTTAGTTTCGCTTTAGCTTTGTAGTGTTTATATTGACAAGATAGAATACGTGGGATTGACCGAAGCACTGCCCATAGTTTCATCTTGTATGTGGGCATTTAATGTAACAATTTTTTCCCAAAATTTGCTTTAAAACGGTATGTGAACTGATCGTTTAAGCCTGACTTATTTCGCTTCATGGCACGAGTAAGGCATACACATGAGTTTACAGGTAGTCATCTGTTTCTTATCTGTTCACTAAAAAGTTCACCTACCTTCAGTAGGGATCTGTCCTTGGTCCACAACAGTGGCCATTGGTCGTGCTGTCGAATTCAATCCAACGCTCTGTCCCATTGAAGAATTACTGCTGCTTTGGAAGGAAGATATCTCGTCAGCGTTATCGGGAAGGAAGTTTAGCCTATTAGCAAATGCTTCGCCTCCCAAAACATTCACTGGTTCTGCAGTTCCTCCAGCAAAATGAGGTGGTCTCGAGTCTGTGATCTCCTGACCGCCCCTTGTAGCAGCTCTCTCTCCTAGCGCTATCAATTTGCCGCAAAGAGGACATCGTTCTTGTTCGTCGCTGTCACTAACAGCAACTTTGGCCCTGGCGCAACCACAAACATTGTTTTCACTATCGACCTGAGCCTCGCTGAATTGATGTTCTGGGGGAGATTCCTCTTGGCTGTTGCCTTGAAGTGCGCGTGTTTCGTCTTCTCTATCGACGCCATTGCTTGCATTTTCGGAATTAACCTAAACAGCAAACAGATGATAATCAAGAGCTTGCACTCTAAAAGGGGGGATTTTAAAACTCAATCGTCTTCTTTCTAAACCTGCACGTTACAATGGGAAATCTGAATGCCACTTACAGATAAAAGAAAGAGGATAATATATGATCTTTCCTCGTCTTTGTGAAATATGGAAAGCGAAAGTGAAATAAAAATTTCGATTCTTAGCTCAGATTTCTTAGTATATAGTTTTCCACTTACAGAAAACCAACCAAAAAAGGAATCGCTTTCATTTACCTCTTTACGGTCCATTTTGACTCAGATATTGTTGTTTATAGGGTGCAGGTGATTAGTTAGGTAATTCAGTTTGAATAAAACCAGTCGGAAACTCGACAATCCACTGCACGGAAGAATTATACTATAGTAATGATAAAATACCAAGGCTTATCGAAAAATCGTCATCACTAACTATCCAATCAAACACGGTGAAATAAACTAAGTAAAGTATTTGATTGGCTCATCTGGGCAAGGGAAACCCCCTATAAGACATTAGCAAAAGTTGAATAGAAAGCGAAACTGTTTGGCAAGCCGGAAGACGATTCTTTCTCGATTCTTCTTTCTCGACGGTTTGAGTTAGAGTATTTCTTCGTCTAAAAACACTTTCAAGGGAGTGATTTGGTGAAAACTCACTTTCTTCTTGATCACGTGAATCAGTCTTTCTTTCATTTTGCCAATTCAGTGGACCTCACGCTACCGTTAAAAACCGACCGCGGAAATGATCGCCGTCTTTGCTCTCTGTTGTCTGGTGAGTTTGCGACGAATGATTGAACAAGCACTAAACTAGTGTTTAACTAAAGGAGGGACTTAAAAGCAGTCTTCTTTGTAATCAATGATTATGGTCCCCTCGGCTTTAAAGTGTCGTTATCGGTGCCTTCCTCGATCGATTTTTGTAGCTGATATCGTTCTTTGAAATGTTTTCATAGTGTGCGATGGAAAATTTGGCGTATTTCAGCTCACTTCAACTGATATTAACAATGTTTTGTTGTAGGTTATCCGAGCAACGACCACCTTCATGGTTTGCCGAGAAGGTCATCTTTTGATGAAACTCTCACATGGTAAACATATCTGTGTGCCGTGTCCGAAATGTCCTCCAGGACAGGGAGCAACGGTTCCCTGTGGAGGTAATATGCCAAAAAACGTTCCTGTAACCTGTAAAGCCTGTGAGTCAGGAGAGTATTCTGATTCGCTTTCTTTTGGAAGTTGTAAACCCTGCTCAAAATGTCTTCCTGATGAGGCCATTGCGGCAAAATGCACCAACGTCTCTGATACACGTTGCAGCTGTAAACCTTGCCGTAGGGGTTACTACCGCAACAAGACCATTTCGAAATGCCTCCCTTGTTCAAGCTGTTGTTTCTTGGATGATACAAATGAGGTTGTTCCACAGTGTGTCAGTCAGGGACTACCTCGCAGCCAAGTATGCAGCAACCTGAAAAGGAAACCGTGTGACTCTGTTAAAGATTTCGTAAAGTCCTCTTGGGGTCTTAATAACTGGACTCTGGTTGCAGGTTTTTTGGTGTTCATTTTAATTTCTTATTTTGCCTATACTTCCATCCTTCCAAGAAAGAATAATTTAGCTACAAAAGTTCAGTGTGGCTCTTATCCAAGCCATGAGACAACAGAGCATGTGACACCACAGCAAAAAAATGAACCAGAAACCACTGAGGATACCTATCAAGGTGAGTTTGATGATCTTAAAATTTCTCACATAAGGCTTCAACTGAAAAGTCTAAAGTTGTGCTGTGGTGGGGGAAGGGGTTGAAACTAAACAAAAGCACTAAACCTTCTACGTCGGCAAACCTAACAACGAAAGGTTGTTTGCTGTAGCTGAACAACATATGCCAAAAAGAGAAAGATGTAAGCGTTTTATTTGAAAAGGCCATAAAAGATGAAGTAAATACTCGCACTCCTGACCCAACAACGAGGTAACCAATAGATGCTGAGTGTTCATATAGGGCATATGGAGTCGGTTGTATTTCACTATCGTTTACCGTGACGCTAGCATCTTTAATAAGCTCTATTCACTCCATATCATTCATGCATTTTTATTTGTAAAAAAATACACTTTGCAGATACCAGAGAGGTGGAGTCAGAATTTCCTGTGGAGCAAAACCCTGGCCATTTACTGTTTGAGAAGACAGGGGTTGAAGTCATTGCTGAATCGAATGACCAACCTTTATCAAGTCAATTAGCTTTACAAGCCGCCTCACACTCAACCAAGCCTGGATTTCTCGAAGAGGATGAAATTCAACTTAGTCCTGTAATAACGTTTATTACAAGCAGTACAATTGAAAAACCGCTTGAGATTAAGATACCACATGGGGTAAATATGATTCTTTCAAATGCGAAGTGGAACTTCATGCTTAAAGAGCTGGTGAATAACGTATGGCTCACTATTAGGCAAAGTGGGCAAGGAATTCAAAACTTGATTCCTAAAAGCAACTACATAAGTTTTAAAACAAATCACCTCTCAACCTTCGTGGTGACTGGTAAGTTAGAAAATATCTCCCTTCCAGCCTTCAAACGAATGAAGGTGGCAGTTTTCTGCAGAGAGACAAGCTTTGGGGACGACGTTGTTCTGAGGCTGTATTGTTTTGATGACTGCGAATATTCCTTCGAGGTATGTTATGAGGACGTTTATCTTATATAACCTTCAACTCGAGTTGACGCACAAGCATTGGACAACATTTTTCTTTAAGCGTACCGTTTTAGGATGTTTTGCTTACAAAATTATTCCCGTTACAGGATGATAGCTCAATAAAGCCAACAGTCAGGCATTGAATATTTCACCTTGTCAATTCATATTTGTGAAATATTTCAGCTGATCATGATTTGTGAGAGAACTTTAAAGCTTTCTTTTAATGTCTATAGATGTATACCAATAATAGTATTGGACCATATATTCTTGCCGTAAATCGATGACACCCCATTTTTGTTTTTTCAGCCAGTTAGGGGACTGAACAATTCTGGCGTTGTATTTTCGTGCAAGCCTTTCTGTACTAACCCTGTTTCATGATATTTTTCTAAGGCATTTTTATTCTTAATTTTTATAGAAGCTTATGAAGAAGGAGCAGCAAAAAGGAGGGAAACTCGTCTCATCAATGGACTCTCTCGACTTTGATGTCAACAGCGACAGGGATGTGGAGATTAGTATAACAGATAATAAAGGCTGGCAACTTGACCAGGCCAGCCCAATGGTACTGAGACATCTCTATTGTCCAATCGGTTTACAGTGTATTAAAATCAGTCGATTGACTGATTTACTCGTAGATGTTTTGCAAATAATTATGTTTTTATTGTAAACACGCAGCATATTCTTGCAGTATCCATTTTCACTGCTATTATTTGTCACCTTCCAGAAACTAAGCAGTAACTTGTTGAGGAACTCATTTGACATCATTCCTCAGTGCAATCTGGTGTTTCATCCTACTACTGCACCAGACAAGGACAATAGCAGCTTCTTTGTTGTGTTGACCTTAACTCAGGACCCGTCCACTCAAACTATGCTGTATGCAAGTACTGTTATAAAAAAGGTACACCATGTTTTCGTTTGGTCCTTAGGAAACTTAACTCACTTAATCTGCTTATAGTATTAAGTATAATTCATTTCCTTGTTGATGGTAAGTATTGACATGTTTGGCTTTATGCGTACGTATTTTATGATGCACCGTTTGTGAAATTGTCGCTAGTTGTCGAAAATGTTTTTTTTTTCAGTTTTCGACTAATTACGACAAAAATTGCACAAAGTAATAAGAAAAAACTCATTTAAATTCTTTTCAGCGGAAAAATGCTTGCTAATAAGCTCTAAATATGAAAAATTGTCTGTGTGATACCTTTGAACATATTTTAACTTCCTCTTGAAGAACATGCTAGGCGAGTTGATGTCAATTCATAACTCGATTGCAAAATCATAGTACTTGATTATAACCAGATTCTTTACTTCCACAGGCCCCTTGTTCTCAGGGTTATCGAAACGGTATGGTATTCCCGCTGTTTATTTCCTTCTTAACCCACTACTTAACAAGAAACAGCCTAGCCGATTGTCCTGTCGTTACTGGCCACATATTCACCAATAAACGTTTTTGAGTCGTTCTGTGCGAGTTTTGTTGCCCTCGACATTTCTCGTCATGATATCTGCACTGAATATGATGATAGCGGACCCTGACAAGTTAAACTTTAACACACTTTTTAATTAAGATATTCCCTAAGCAATTTGTTTTATACCTTGATATCTGTACAAGGCCTCTCACTGTTGTTTTTTCTTTCCTTTTTTTTTTTCTATTTCTCGTTAGAACTACACAGAAACAAAGATTTAAGAACACATGTAGGCATTCCGATGGAAGCAAAGCAAATGTTTGACGGTGACGGCAAGTGCATCATTCAGATGTAAAACGTGGATCACAATAGTTTTAAAAAGTTACTTTAAGCCATGTCGGTACAAAGTCAGAAATATAGCGTTTCCGAATGAGTTACCTTTTAACACGAGAAAAAAATTTTTTTTTCACATTTTGCAGCAACGAAATATTTGCGAAGATCTTAATCCTTAGTTTACGTTTAAGACAAGGTAACAGTTCTCAGGGTAGGTAAGTTCCTAGATTTCACCAATAACTTTTAAACCTCAATAGGCTTTTTGCATTAGTTGATTACGTGATCAACTTTCGATAAACACGAAAACAGTTTGCTTTTGAAAAATTTTGCTAGCACGAGCTGAAAGAGCATATTAACATTAGGTAACCTGTACATTTTCATCCGAATATCTCAAAAGTAGCGATTGCAACGGCCGCCGGAAATTAGAAAAGACAAAAGACTTGACAACTGATTCATTCCGTGGGATGCCTGTGGCACTCCCACGGTAAAAATTCGGTTCGGTTGTACCCAAAATTGCAAAGCCAGCTAATAGGATTGCGTAAAATCTTTATCGATTATCTCTTCTTCCAAGCCGACCAATCAGATTGTACAAAATCTGTATCGATTTTTAATCGATTTGTTTCCTCTGAAGAACGTTGAAAGCCAAATTTGTTGCCCTTGAGTTTTCCCACTCGTGGTTTCGTATGGCTGAGGATGGCTTATTAACCAGCGAAATCCTTCGGAATACTGGCAAGCCGCTGGCAAGTCACGAAAGGCGACCTAAGCCAAATTATTTCTTCCCTTCATGATTCTTTTTTGTTTAGGTCTAGCTTTTTCATAAGGTTTTAGTAGCGTCTGGTTGCGGGCCGTCATTTTCGAAAGTTTTTCTATTCGCAGTTCTCATTTTTTACCGAGCACAGCTAGAGTTCAGTTTTTTTTTCCTTATCGAAAACACCTTGACGATGGGAGGTTAAATCGCGTAAATTTCAACTCGTACCCTTGACTTGGCGGTGAAATATCGTCTTCGTCGATCGACGACTCGCTTTCGGCATGGACTGGACTTCTGGATGGGACACGGATCAGGACCTGAGTAAACTTATTATACTTTAGAATCAGGGATAATCATTGGAACTATGTTAACTTTGAGACCTTGGAAACACATTGCAATTAATTTTTAACCGTATCAAGAGCATCTTGGAATATTAAACTTTCATCTTGGATTAAAACATTGGAACTTTATCGAACTTTGCAACCCTGGGTTCGACCACCTGGATAAAGCAAGCGGATGTTTTGTTTTGTTTTGTTCCATTAACCTAAAACTACAATGTTTATTTCTCTTCGAAAAAGTTACCTGTGGCAACTTACTACCAAGATATGACGTATAACCTACTCATCGATGCTCATAACAAGACACATCTTTCCGGTTTCCTAATTTTTCCAAATTCAGATAGAACGCCATTATGCTTCCATAGACCAACGCATCCCACGGAAACGACTTTAGGCGTCTTGTTGTATTGTCAATTTATTCTTCGTCAATAAAGACTATTGGTACTCCATTTAGAGGATGGTGAGACAACTCATAACTTATTGAATACATGTTGTACCGTTCGTAAGAAAGTTGGGTAATAAGACAGTCAGTAGCACCCATATCAAAATATGACCCCTAAAGACACTTGCATCACTGTAATCAGTATTTACGCGGAAGGATAATCAAATATTTCGCCTCTCAACACTTCTAGCAATAATAAAAGACAAAAAAATGCAAAGAACCAAGATAGCAGTCGAAATTAAAGTGCCCTTACATAATCTTCATCAATGAAATCTTTGAATGCCAAAATCTCATTGGTTCCTAGTATCACTTACCGACTTTAGTACCTTAAACCTTGGTCCATCACCCCGCAACACACATACCAACACACCGAGCCACAAAGATACATACGGCTTTAATCACTGACCTGATATGAACAATTTTTTTCAGATTAATTCAAAATTCGCATATAATTCTTTAAAATCAGTTCAATGAAGGAAGAGGAAGTACAGACAACAAGTTTATTTGTACTATTGAATCCTGCTGGGCAGCAATTGATGCTGGTAAAGCTAAAAAGAAGATCATAATAGGTTGTGTCTACATGCATCCCACTTGTAATTTAGAACAGTTTTGCAGCCAACTACGATGGAGATATGAATATAAATTTCCTGAAATTTAATGAACATACTCACACTGAAGAGTTCTTAGATATGCTTTATGCCAATAACACCTTGCCGATCATTACTAAACCTACGAGGCTTACTGATCACACAGCAACACTCATTGACCAAATATATACAAATTGTTCACACAATTTTACAGCAGGAATCCTGACAGTTGATATAACAGATCATCTTCCAATTTTCTGCTTTGTCAAAACCCAGCCTACACGGAACAATAGTAATGAAAAATATTTCGAGACTACTCTAAATTTAATAAAGATCTATACTCAGATGATAAAAAACTGATTGATTGGCAAGAAATCCTCAACCCAAAAAAGAATCTAAATGAACAGGTACGGGAGGCAATCAATACCCTGATTAAAAGTGTAGACAAACATGCGCCTATATCAAGCTGGCTAGCCAAAGCAAGCAAAGGCAACTCAATAAGCCATAGCTCACTAAGGGTATCCTAAAATCGGTAAAAAGGAAACAGAAAATGTACCGTACACATTTATTAAGCAAGGACTTACAAAAAATCGGGGAATATAAACATTATGCAGCTATTCTTTTACAACTTAAAAATAAAAGTAAGCCAGAATACTATAACATACAATTTTCAAAGTACAAAGACAACCTTAAGCAAACTTGGAAACGTATTGGTACTCTTGTTAAAAGGAAAACCAAAGGCCAAACTTTCCCCACGAGAATCACTCACAATAACAGGACTTTTACACAAGAAAAGGACATTGCCGAATTATTCAATAACTTTTTTGTAAACACTGGACCAACTTTAGCAAAGGAAATCAAAATCAGACGAACATGTACTAAATGGACTAACCACTTACTATTTCCTGCTAAATAAGGAAATACATTTTACATAACCTTTGTACAATATCGTTTTCTTGCACATAACTACACTTCTTGTCCATGCCTTATTAAATAACTCGCTTGAGGAAGTAAACAACGATGACATGATTTTTCACCAACGATGAGAGACAAGATCATGCGGTTCACAGCATATTATTGATTCTGCAAAGTTTCCATGATAGTTTTCTTGGAAGACAGCGCCTAAACCATTTATTAACATAGCAAAAGGTTTTCTTTGGCACGTTAAGCATGACTTCCTTTGTGTCATGTTATACTTAGGTCCCGTCCACACGTATCCGGGTATTTTTGAAAAGGGACATTTCTCCGTTTTCCAAAAAATAAACATCCACACGTAGCGTATTTGAATCGTTTTCGCCCGTACACACGAAAACGCTAAAATAATGTAAATACGATAGCATGCCTTAAGGAGCATGCGTTGTGCTAGAAGTATATGACGTATGACATCATCGTATTTGGAAAACCTCCGTTTTCGTCCACACCAAATAATTGTGGACGGGATACCAACCGGAGAAAAACATCTCCGTTTTCAACCAAAACAGATACGTATGGACGGGGCCTTAGAATATGCCGATTTAAACTGCTTTTTCTTCATTAGTAGGATTTACGGTCAACTCGCCCGAAGTTTTGTCGCCCGAAATTCTAAGTTATGTGGCTCGAAATTTTATAGTGCTCAACAATATCCTAGCATTCCTATTGCCATTTGCCGTGCTTGTTTCTTCTGATCGAAGATTATACAACGAGATATATTAATCATTTATCTCGCTTGTTTCGTTGTTAATCAAGGGTTAAAGAGCGAGATATATTACACATTTATACCGCTTGTTTAGTCTGATCATCATCGCTTAAAGAACGAGGCATGTTACACATTCATTCCGCTTGTTTCGTCTCATGATGTTTTAAAGAACGAGTTATATTAAGACACACTCTTTATTTAACAAAAATGAACTTTGTTTCTCTGTGCACTTCACCTGATAAAATTCGAGCGACATGACTTCGCATTTCGGGCGACTTGACCGCTTAGCATTATTAGACGTACATTAGGAGTGCAATAACTCACTATTCGAGGTACGAGTCCTTCAGCCTTGTGTAATTGTTTGTGGCATTGATCGTAACCAAAGAATTTAAGTATGCAAGATATATTTACAAATATTTTTCTTGACTGGCTTGAAATGTTGCTTGCACATTTCGCATCAGCCAAGTATATTACACGTCTCCTCGTAGTACAATGTCCGTCTTGGATATTCTGCTACGGAAGGAGAAGGGCCAGTCCAAAACGAGTTGGACAATTAAATCAGTTTTCTTCACAACTGCCACTAAAGCATCACTTTGAGGACTGCTGTGGAAATAAACCAACATTGTTCACTCTGTGACAACATCAAATTTTAGTTGGCCTTGTATCAAATCGTTACGCACTTTGATCGGTCTTTAACGTATCAAATGGCACACTGATGAAAAATTAGTGCCATTTTGGGGTAAATATAGCAAAATAATAACTTTTTTCTTAATGGGTACAACAATATAAAGCAACATGAAAGAAGCTTTAAGCTTAAAATAAATTATTTAAGTTGGCAAATGTACGGATGTCTTTGACATAAACTCAAAATAGCTCTTTGTTCTACTACCTTCTTTATCAAAACAATACGACTACACTCTTTTTTTTATATAAGAATATATTTTATAAGAATATCGAGGCTGAAATTTGCGAAATTTTAAGAATATTTTGAGAATAAAGCCGAGGCTGAGATTTTGAAAAGGATAGATATAATTTTGTGTGTTGAAACATCTGTGAATACAATAGAATTTTATGTTTTAAACTTAACCGTATAAAATTAGTCCTTTCTCTGAACGGCGAATTAAACTAGCCAACAAAACGGAAAAACCTGCACTAGCTATAGCAAAATGTTCAACGCTAATGACGATGAACGGTACATGTAATACATATGTATAGTATTCAGCACAAAAGACATAAACTAAACCGCGAAAAAGTATTATGACAAATTCTTTCCTTTTTAAATAACAAAACCCAGCGAAAACAAAAACGGCACTAGGCTTTATTTAAGAATAATACAAGAATATTTTCAGCCTAAAATCAGCAGAAAAATAAGAATATTCAGCCTGGGCCGGAAAAACAACATTCTTATGAAAAAAAAAGAGTGTATAAAAGCCACAACATAAAAACGGTATATACACCTGTTGGTTATACAAAAGCTTAAAATCTTAGTAGTTATTACTTTTCTTACAGGAAAGTTAATCTTAGCACATTTGCACTTCTTTATCTCTCATGATCTCCTATTTCTATACATCTGTTCCTAACTATGTAATCTGAGCTGAGAGAAACAAAACTGCAGTAGACCATTTCCCAGTTCCAAGAACCCTCACTTTCAAAACGAGGCTAAGTGCACAACCTTTCTTATGAAAATGAGTGAGTTCATTTGCATGAAAATAAAAAAATAATTCTCACATCATAATCAAGGGCTTTGTAATTAGCCTTGCTTTGAAACAGAGGCTTTTGGTAACTAGAAAATGGCATGTTGAACCCTGCTATTGCCACTTAAACAGCTCTTGTCTACAGTGTATGTCGTGTCAGTAAAGGGGGATTGAGGTCTACTGCATTTAGAAAATAAGTGATACCTCTTCCAAGAGAAGGTCAATCACTAATCAAATGTACAGTGCATAAAGTCGTTGCGTACTAGTTAAAAAGTGTGCAAGGCATATCAAATTTCACTGTTTTAGACATAAAGGCAAATGTTATGCCTTGTTTCATTACAAAAGTCAAACTCATAACCTGATAAAAACACATTGCTGATATGTGTACTCCTTGAGGCCACAAGGTCTTTTCACTTAACAGCACCACTATACACCTGGCATCTCATCTTCTGTAAAATGGCAGCTGCCCCTTGATTTTCCCGTTTTGCTTGCATTACTTTGATAAAAAAGTCAAGAACATTCCCTCTGGTCTGAATTTCACGTAGTACATAAGCATTGCGATCCCTCCTCTTTTTTAAACCCTCAACCTCATCAAGGTCATCATTGTCAAAGATGTCATGTTGGTACAACTGGTCACAAAGAAACATGACATCACCAATATTGTCCAGAAGTGCAACATGACATCTGCGTAAAGCTTGTCTGTCCTCGTCCGGCATACATGTGACTAAAAAAGAACGTCATTTTGTCAGCATGTTAATAAATCGCTGTTGTGAAGATAGCCATACTCCTTAGAAAACAAATGCTGATAAAATTAATACTATTGAATGGTGAACAACGTGTGCTTCCTTATAGAGCTAGTAAAACTTTCTCTGAAAATTCTTTTCCTGTATGGCTTTAACTAACTTTAGACCAAAGATATGGTGATACCTCTAACCACTATCGAGAATGCTACCTATATCCAAGCTATTTTGAAAGACAAAATAGCAAAGGGCAGCAAGGTGTACTCAACCTGGTAACTGTAAGGGAAGTCGTTGATTCCAATGGACAGGCCAACTCCTCACCTCATTTCACTCACCTTACAAGGTATTATACAATTAAGAATAACTCACCTTGAAAACACTTTCTAGATAAAATTGGAATTTGGGCGTGCTGGTTTTTGAGGACAGGCGATAACAGATTACCTCGAGAAAACCCTCTCACAACAGAGAATTTGAAGGAAACCCATAACAAGCTCAAGCTAGGAGTAAGGACTTGAATCCAGGCCACATTGGTTGTAGGCGAGTGCAGTCACCACTCACATAATTATTATGAGGTCTTAATTAAAGAATGTTTAATTTAAAACAATTAAGTCATCAGTTATATACCTGATGAATCACGCAGCCATGGAAAAATACTTGCTTCATAATGCTACAAAGGAGGAAAGAAAAACGGTTAGCAAGCAACACTATCCTATATGAACTATCGGCTTTCATTGTATTATACTCCTACATGAGAAATTTCTGCAATTTAATTGGCTCAGAGCAGTGGTATTTGAGCTTAATTAGAAATACCTACATGTGAAAATTACAAAACTTTTGCGGGTAGTAGTATAAACAAATAATAGCATGATTTGTACGTGATATTTGGTATAAATGCCACTCGTGATATTTCAAAATTGTCTCAAATTTCACTCGCCTAACGGCTCGTGAAATTATGTACGACAATTTCGAAATATCACTCGTGGTATTTATGCCAAATATCACTACAAATCATGCTATTACCTATACAAACACCAATGATTATCAGATAACCAAAACGGCAACTGACTGATTGGCAAGCAAAACATATGATGCAGTTGGTTTCAACAACTAATATTTTCTACACTTGAGCAGAAAGATACTCTTGACATAAGTGCTGGAAAAGGACTAAAGATTAATAATTAAAAATGTAAATAAGATCATAGCAGTTGAAGACGCAGTTGCAAAACGAAAGCCTGAAAAATTTCAGGCTTGCCGGGATTTGAACCCTGACCTCTGTGATACCAGCCCAGTACTCTAACAAATTAAACAAGCAAGGAAAATGGAAGCTAGTCCTTACATTGGTTTGTAATATACCAGGGAAAGATAGAGTTGAAACAATGAATATATGACTTTCATGTATTAGAACTGCATGATACAGTAACAAATGCAAAGAAGATAAAAATTTCTTATCTATAAATAGCTCTGCTGTTACTGAAATGCTCTAATAATCATGGTTAACACCATTAATTTCAATAATGTACTTACACTAACAGGAAAAATTAAACGTAGACTTGTGCTGCCAGATTGTATGATTACTCTAACTTTATCCTCATATAACTTGTCTGTGCTACCATGGCAATTTATTATAATTTTCACTGAAAATCCAGCTGTGATACGTTCATTACTCTTTGAAAGAATTTCAGACACAGTAACTTTCGTCTGCAACATAAAAGAAGAAAGGATGCTATTTATAGATACTAGTTGATCAATTTAATCAAACTCAAACCTTTGTGTGGTACATTGTTTTATGGTAACAAATAGGACAGTGTTTTAATAGCAGCACTCATAACAATAAACGTGTTCCATAAACCAAAGAACGTTTTAAAGACTTAATGCAAACACAGCAAACTTGTCATCGCCCAATTTAAGTACACTTCTTGGCTGAAGTAGTGTTCAATTACTACATCATTTGAACTTCTTGTACATGTACAAAAATAAAATCTTTTTAGATAATTACTCTACATACCGTACAGGGTTCTTCAACTGAAAAAACATGACCAAGGACCATTTTACAATGGACATATAAAACATCAGCAATTTCTAAACGACGGTGAAGTGAACATTCAAGCATGGTTTTGTCTTCTTCACCCATCGGGAATTCTGTTCCATGATGAACAAGAGCTTCATCCTTTTTTATTTTGGGGTATATCTGGTATACAAAAAAAAAATATCACGGTGCAATGAACGCAAGCACACTATATCCGCCAAGAATGTCACTAAATCTACCTAAACTGGAAAAGATGAACTTACCTCTTGATATTTGTTCCCAGGGATAGCGTATAATGCATGCTCAAGTATATCTCTGGCAATTATACGTCGTTTAAAAAGACAGAGTAGTACATAATGGTCTGCGTCACCTAAAAATGATAATTACAAGAAATAAAGCTGATAAGTGATATCGTTACAAAACGAACAAAATTACCAACTGCAGATTTGAAAAGTAATTGGAAAGTAGTGGTTAAGGTCGCCGCGGGGTTAAGTCCTGTCCAAAAACTCGTGCAAACTGACAAACTTTACGACTTGGCGGCAGTATTCTAACCGGCTAACTCGATGAAAATAATGAATAAGAATGCTTCAATGAGAAAAATCTGGGTAAACTACTCTAGTAAATGGCAGAATTTTTTACGTACCGAGAAAACCGTCTCCATTCGCATCACCCAATTTTCCATCTTTGGCAATACCACTAACGATGGGATCTCTTGCAATCCTGCCAGCCTCTTGCTGAGGAATGGTGGTACACTGACATACACTTTCTATTGCATCGGCAATTTCCCGTTCAATTTCATCAGCTGAGGATACACAAGTCACATCACCTACTCCTAAACTTGCATTCTGCTGTGAAGGTCCAATCGGCGATTCAGCATAACTGGGGCATTGGGCGCTTACATTGTCGGTGCCATTTGACTGACCTAACTGTGGTCTACAGGTAGATGGAAGCATCAAGCCTCTCGAGCACGCAGGTATCGACTCCTTGAATTCGACTTGATCGGGGAAAGCCTCCATAGGACATGGCAAATTCTCTTGGGAGCTGGAGAACCATGATTCATCAACGACTAGTTGTAACTCTCCCTGGTGCTGATCCTCGAGAAGCAGACCATCTTCCCTGTCATCAGAGCTACGTCGAATTTGTGAATGGTGCGCGTTGTTGTAAACTCGACTACGCGTTGTGGAACATTCTACGCTTGAGTGTACAGGAGAAGCCAACGTGGACGGTGGTTTGGCAACAGCGGCTGTATTGACTGCTTGTTCGGCGCCATTTCCAAAATGACTTTCCAAAAATTCGATGGCAAGGTGACTTTCTTTGTCTACCATGTCGCAAGGAAAAGGCAGACAGAGAAAGATTCCTAGACTCCTTATCAATCGTCCACCATCATTCGAAATAGACCTAAATTGTTTATTTAGCCTTTTAAACAGTTGCACCATCACAATACTACGCTTTCGTAAGCATTTATCACAAGCCAATCCCAACTGAATCCGTTATCACGTGGGTAGTGACTCGTTCATGTGATTGGCTTACAAGCCAAAGACCCAAAGTCAAGTGAAGGGGAATCCCCCAAGCTCAAAACTTTTTAGCGTATTCCCCGTTTACCCCGATTTCTTAGCAGCCCAAAGTGCGTCGGTAGAGAACAACTTGGTCGCAGGACTCTATGAATCGGTAAGAACTGCAAAGCACTGAAAATTATGCAAATTATTCTGCTTTTGTAGGTCGCATTAAGTAAACGCAACGTTCCTTTACGTTGCATAACGTTTGCTGAGTTCCAACAACACGTGCATTTCCCAAAAAGCTCTTTCAATTACGAGACATTTCAAGCAAGGTTTTGCATCTAGCATGATCCGCAAATCACTAATTTTTTTCATTGTTTGAACTCACAACAAAGCTGAAAATTTGTTGATGAGTAAGCAAAATCTTATCAAAACGTTGAAAAAATGTGATTAGCAAGCAGTTTCGAAACCATGACGTCAAGGCTTTTTTAATTACCATTCTGTCTGTCTGAAAATCTAACTTTCAGGTACAAAGTACGGAAGCATGGGTGTTCTTCGCATATACCTCATTTGCCTGATAGTTTTTCATCTGATTTTTACTGTAAGTATGCTAACTAGACGCAATCATGTACAACCTTTAATATATTTGCTGCTGAATAAGTTTTCAGATTCTATTAAACATTGCGAACAAAGCATTGCATATTTTAAAGCATTTGACGGTACAATTGTAGTTCAGTTGCTTCTTTCTGTAGTGTATCTGAGTAAAGATGCTGATAGAAACGACTGAGCTGTATTTAGTCTCTGGTTACTCACGTCCAGGACTGAATTTAACCATAATCAGCATCACTTATTGCCTGTGGCTTTAATTTTACTCTGTCGTACTTTGTTTATTTAAGTGAATCATTAGGAACTGTTCAGATTCGCAACGTTAAAATCCATTAAATGTTTCTACTTTTGACAGGAGCACGTCAAAAGTTAAATAAGAAGCAGTCGTCTTGTTCCTTACAGAATTAGTCGTTATTAAGAGGTGACTTAATTGTGGACGAACTGTAATAAATACACTGGAATTTCCTTATTCTAGTCTTTTCCAGCAGAACCATAACACTATTAGACAATTAGAATTAAAAAACGAAATTTTGTGCTACGTGCTGAAACTCGTTAATCGGACTCTAAGGCAATTATTTTATATCATTTGTCTGCAAAATAGCTCTTATGTCTTTAATATATTAATTTGAAATCATTACCTCCTAAGGATGAACCGTTTTGCTCTAAAAAGGGTCAAATGATAACCTACCCTTAAATATCGCTTTTTCTTTTAATGCTCTTTTTTTAGGTTTACTCAAGGTGTGGAGGTGATGAGTTTACGATTGTTGATGACTCAGGCAAAATTATCTCTTGTATAAGGTGTTCCAACTATATGTGCAAACCTGGCTTTGGGTTGTCTCGTCAATGTGGAGGTATAGTTCAACAAACTGAAGCACAGAGAATTGTTTGTCAACCATGTGAACTTGGGAAAACATACTCAAACACCACAGATTATGGTTCTTGCAGGCCATGTCAAATATGTCCTGACTCTCATACAGTAGTGAGAAAATGTACTTTGACAGCCAATTCAGAATGTAACAGAGACTGTGGGAAAGAGTCCTATTTTGATGAAACAACAGGGTCCTGCAGGAAATGCTCATTTTGTTGTGATGGAAAGAACGAAAAAAAAGATGACTGTAAACATATGCCCTTCTACGAGCAATGTGATGCTAATCTCCCTCTTCAAATTATTAATGCCTGTAAACCGAAATGTAAACATAATCAGTACATTGTAATGACAAAGAATGGTTCACATTGTGAGAACTGTAAACACTGTCCTCTTGGAACTTCCCCATCTATAAAATGTGGAAGTATGGTGGAAAGTACCGCTGCCATTGAATGTTTAGGATGTGTGGCAGGTCAGACATTTTCAGACAAGCTAGACACGGGTTCCTGTAAAACTTGTACTAAATGTTCTATTGGACAAAAAGAACTGATACCATGTAATGTGACAAGGGACAGGGTATGTGGTGAGTGTGCTAAAGGTTTTTATAAAGATGACACTAGTAATACATGCATGCCATGTTCAGCATGCTGTAATGATGACGAAGATGTACATGTTGAAAAATGTGCAGAAGAAAACATGCCATTAAGTCTGCAGTGTAGTTATACTAGGAGAGCTATCAGTGTTTGTCAACAAAAGATACAAGAAAATACAAAGCAGGAAGACTCCAGAAGCTTGTTAGCTGTTTACATAGCCGCTGGTGTTACAATGGGACTTGTGACTTCAATTCTCATAATGCTATTGTTGAGGTGGAGACATCAAAGGTACAAGAGGCTGTCAGGAAGCCATTCACTTACAATGCTACTTCCATCTGAAGAAGAACAAGAAGAAGAAGGTTACTATATTTATTATTCATCCAATTCTAAAATTTTGCGTTTTTTTATAGGTTTGAAACCCTCAACCGCCCTTGGCCAAATTTAGACGATGTTAGCAATATACAATTGATCTAATGGTATATTTTCGTGGAAATGAGGTTGATCAATTGTATATTTGCCTGGAAACAAGGCCTTCACCTCAGTGCAGAACATTCTCCTGGATTTGCATAATTCTTGACTCCATACACAGCCTCATTCAATATACGTGCTAAATATACTCCATATATAATGACATCCATATTGTCCACACCATTCTCTGAATATTCTTTGTGATTATTACAAGAAAAAAATTGATAAGAAACCATGACATTTTTCCTTGGCAATCATTTCCTTTACTCCTATAACCTTGTGCCCCATTCACATCAAAGCTTAAACATTTTTAAAAGCTGTTTAGTTAAACACGGTATAAAATTGTTTCCTTCATAAAATCTGCTTACTGACTTGAGTTATTTGCAAATTTAGTGGCTTAGGGGAGGGGTAGGTGGGCAGCTTCCAAGAAACGTATAAAGATCCTTTTATGATTACAACATACAAATATAGCAATGATAAAAGGTCAAATGGGGTGGGGTGCTGCAGAAACTTCAACTCTAAAAGGTAGAGACTGCTTTTTATGGTATTATGGCTGCTTATTTTTAAAATTCAAATCACATATGTGCAGATTGCCCAATGAACATGAAAATCCCAGTCAGTGTGCTTAACAACCCAATTTAATAATTAAACTATGAATTAGGGAACACAGAAAAGAAGTATTGATGATCAGTACGGTGCTTAGATGTCCCCTACCTTTGTTTAAATCCCTATTGTGGAATTTATACCACTGACATCCATCTCATATATTTTTTATTTTCTATTACAGCAACGAGCCATTCAGCAGCAAAACTTGAGGATCCAACAGTAAATGTTTCACAGGAGACTTTATCCTTTGAAAAATGTGGAGTCTTACTTCAGTTCAATGATCCACAAAGCTTCTTTAATGATGCTCAACAGATAAGAGTAGAAATATGTTGGGATAAAACTTCTTTTCCCGCTTTGAATCAAGATGAAGTGCAACTCAGTCCCATTATTACGTTTCACCCTAATGGCATAAGACTATCCAAGCCTGTGCAGATTAGAATACCACACAGTGCGCTAGTATTTTATAGTCATGGTTGGAATATAAAACTCAAAAGTTCAGCATTTCAAAATGGAGTAACTGTATGGAGGGATGAGGAAGTGGATGAAATAAGTACCAATGATGTTTGCTACCACGTGGATTGTCTCCTATCCTATGTTGTTGTTGGTACACCAGCATTCAATTCCAAACCAAACAAAAAGCGTTTCAAGTGTGCAATCTTTGGTGGTGAAGGCAAAGTTGGTGAGAACTATACAGCATATCTGTATGTATTTGATGACTGCGAAGCATCGCTTGAGGTAACTTCTTGTCTGTGGCTTATAGTTAACAGTCTCTGAAACCAAGGGGTGCACATTAAGGCTGTCTAACACTTTAATATTTTATGTTTTTTGTGGGAACGCTTCAAATTCACTAGAATCCCTCTAGTAAATACATGTAAGAACTGAAGAAAACTATCATTAATTCCAGACAGATTGATTACGTGTACTATACAGTACTCCTCTCCCCTCCTTCCCCCCCCCCCCCCACATTATTGATTATCATGGTCGCAACAAAAAGCCTTTCCACCAGCTTGTTACATGTCGACTGCATGCAAAATATTATAATGTCTGTCCTTTAAGACTTTTTCCCTTAATCTTCTTAAACAAAAATAAATCTATACTATATTTCACATTATTTCGTTCTATTTTTCAGAAAATGATGGAGGAAGAGAAGTCTAAAAACAGGATTCTTCTGGGATCTCTTCAGTCTTTGTATGTCGAGACTGTACAGGATACTGATATCAAGATTTCTGTTAAACAACTTGTTCAAGGATGGAAGGAAGCATGCATAACTCCACAGGTTATTTAATACTCTCTGCAATGAGTCCTACAAATTACACATTATTAGTATGTGTAATCAAATGGTGACGAGTGAAATTAGGGAATAATTTCACGCGCATTTTGTCCAAATTCTTATAATTTCCCGAGCCTTTAGGCTAGGGAAATTATTAGGATTTGGACAAAACGCAAGTGAAATTGTTCCCTAATTTCACGAGTATACCATTTGATTACCTATTAATATTTTGACTTGTTTATCCTCAGAATTATCCTGGATCGTATCGATCGATCGTGAACTCCACTCTCTCAAACGTTTAGAGCTCAAATTTGGCTAAGTTTTCAGAATTTTTCGACAACATACCTTTAAGAATCCTTCTTGACAAGCTCTTTCGTGTGTTCAGGTTTTCTAAAACGTCTTTTTATGCCCTGACATCTTCATTCATGACCATTCATGACATTTTAAAACTTCGTCGCCATCTTGAAACAGAGACGTACGGCAGGCTGCCATGGCAATTTAGTAATTTCACATGTGAAATTACAAATTAACGCTGAAATTTCGCGCCAAAATTAAGGAGTAATTCGTCACCTATGATATTATTAATGGTATATACTATTTTTGTACAGCTTCTTAGACTAATGTGTGGTGCTGACAGGTGTATAGAAGCTACACTTAATAAAAATAAAAATAAGTAATGGGTATGATGAAAAAAGAGGTTAGGTGCATGGTCTACAGGAGGTATCTCCCACAAACAAGTTCATTAATTTTTTGTTAACCATTTATTAAAAAAACCGAATGATTTATTCATCATTAATCAGATCATTTAATGTTTTAGTATATTAGAAATTAGGAGTGTTTGTACTGTTTATATTTCTACACAGGTGATAACACACAAGAGTTTGAAGGAATCCTACAAAACAATACCACGATCAGAGATATTGTTTAAACATGACAATGGTAGAAATCGAGACTTTCATTGTACTCTTGAACTAACAGCAGACAACACAACAACAACAAAACTTTCCGCAGTGGCTTCAATCAAAGATGTGAGTTTCACTTACGTTTATTTGAAACCTTTTAGTGAACATTTCCTCTACTGTGAGTTGCAAAGTACAGTCATTTGTATGAAACTGTCCACACAAACAATAAACCCATTTAAGTATGTGTTCACACTGGAGTAGAATGCAGGAAAGGTCTACATCAAACAAAAATAATACTGGTATATAAAAAATTAATGTAGAAAATTAAGGTAGGCATAATACAATGTATAATATGTACCTTTAAAATTACATTAATTTGAATTTTCTGCAGGATCCATTTAAGAGATACCAAGAGAGCAATCAGGGCCTCGGTCATAATGATCTGATGGTGACTGGGAGAAATCTTTGTGGTAAGCTGTTCTCCATACAAGATAGACATGTTTACTGAGACATTAGCCAACCTTTAACACCACACTATATCCTATACCGCACCACATACATGCTAATATATTATAGACTTAACTTGCTTACAACCTGGGCTTCTTGCAGTCTGGTCCCAGCACTTACAAACAAAATTTAAGCTGTTTATCAGTCATTCTAATTCAAAATAACTAAATATGAAACAGTTTAAGGTATTTACGTACCGCTAAAATGGGTAACAAAATGACCTGTCTTTAAGTATTTTAGCTTCTTTTCTTTTCTTGGTTTCAGTGACCATTGTAGAATCCGAGTTTTTCACATTTTAGCCGTACATAGCACCCTAAGCTAAATACTATTAAAAAAGCACATTTTAAAATATTTCAAAATATTTTCCCCTATTGCGTAATCAGTTTCACACAAATCCTGAGTAACCAACTGGCAACTTACAACTCATGCTGATCTTGTAGATCCCTTGATCACTGGTGAAGGCAGACCATCAATTTGCTTCCATGAAATTCCAAAGGAGGTACTACAAGCTGTTGCCATGAAACTGGACCTCTCATGCAGAGGTGTGGGAAACTGGAGACATGTTGCAGCACACCTAGGCTTCACAGAAAAGGAGATTGATGACTTTAGAGCAGAATTGTTGAGTCCTGATGGCAGTCCTTGCACAGTTATGCTTCATGCTCTTCAAGAAAAGCAACCAAAGTTTACTGTAGCAGAGTTTGTACACATTCTTCAAACTCGCAAAATTCAGCGATTTGATGTGGTCAATATCCTAGAGCCTTATGTGTATGAGCAAATTTCCAGTTTTTCTGAAGAATAAGAAAATTCTTAACTGTTCTGATGAAGGATAAGTCGAGCAAAGAAAGCATCAATAACGCAAAAAAATAGTATAGGATACTGTCAGATATCAAAAATAAAACAATAGAAGCAGGGTTACCGGGTACTGTAATTCAAATGAGACAAAATATATTTTGTCCCATTTTCTGACACATAAGAAGACATTATAAGGACAATAAAAGAAATACAAAATGTACCTGTAATTCTAATATAAAAACTTTGACTCCGAACATGTCCCTGCATGTCTCAGCTTTTATTAGAGTGTGTAAAAACGTTTGGTTGGGTTCATGGGTTTCGGGTATATTGACTGGATGAGTGCACTTGACATATCTGTGTTATGTACTGTTTAAAAAATGAGCAGGAGTGTATTATCAGGTTTAAAAACTCTCGGCTTCACCTCGAGTTTTTAAACCTGATAATACACAACTGTGAGTTTCTTGAACTGCTTCAAAATCTCTGAGATAGATCAACTCATTCTTGCACTATTGTTTAGATTTGGGGTTATTTTGGTCTAAAAAATTGGACGTAAAGTTTAGCCGTGTCTTTATAAGCGGCTATAAAGACACTCATTAAACATCAATTTCTTTGTTTGTTTTTTATTTTAATTTGTTTTTTCTTTATGAATTATAATGCATTTATGAAGTTATAATAAAGGGATCTATATCTACTACCAAGGATAAACCAAACTGGGCTAAACAACATTTTCATGCGTAACTGGAACAGACTTGAACTAGAAGTCAGAGACAGTCAGTAGGTTTACCTTTTGTAAACAATTTTAAATTAAGTATCGTGAGTAATGTTGTTTATTTTCCATTCTTTTTATAATGTTAACGCCCGTTTCTCATGTTTACCAGTTCCGTAAAAAATATCACAGCAAACCCCTAAAAATCACAAGAGTGAGTTGAGTTTCCTGTTTGATCAATTACTAATTTTATTATTTATTTTTTGTTGTCATCAAAATTAAAGTAGTCCTAAAAAGGCCACTTTTTAATATTAATGTGCACCAACACTGGAATCACAGCTGTCACAGCTGTCTTTATCTGGGCTGAGCTAGCTATTTTGTATGCAAATAAAAATATCCTTATATTAGCCGTCATACTTTCCCCTGTGTTGTGAAGTTAATACTTAATGTGTTCAATGTTTACCTGTCAGCTTCAGTTCATATTCAACCCATAGTTTCAAATGAATCACAATATAAAAGGGAATTTATATATAGTACTATACAGAAAGCCTCCCTGTAAAAAGTGAGAAAAGAGCATGAAAGGTGACGAGGGACTGTCGGAAGGGTCCCTCTTCCCCACCCCTGCCCTTGTTAGCCCTATATTGGTGTTGTCAAAGCCTTACGATCAGGGCAAATTCGTTGTTAAGTTGTTCGCTTTATGTCACAATACCCTATCAAGGCAATATAGTTTCCATGGTTTCCGTATCTACTTTGCCTCTCTTTCAATAATATCTCGGCAAGCTCTGGTAATTCGAACCCTATTTCATAGTCCTATTCTCGCATTCTTAAAAGTTTACTAAATTTTACGTTAATTACATTCCAGGCGCCACAAATTCTCGCTTGAATTAATAGTCGGATGAATGGCTATATTCAGCTATACTTCGTCGCTCGCTTCGCTCGCTAGGAACTTATGAGAGGTCGACTTGTAGCAAGTCCACATAATCATGCACCCTGTGCAGGATGTTTACATTCATCATGGAATGGGATAATCCAAAACATGTCTAAGCAAAGTTTGCCTGATAGTGAACTTCATTAGCTTTATCCCTTTACTCCCTACATACCAAGTGTGCATTCCACTTCTGAGAGCAGTTGAATTCTTAGTAGGGAATTCCCCGCACCATTTTTTTTTAGCCGTACTCAGCCGTGCCATGTTATTGCGTAGTTCATTTATGGCATGATCTCTCGAGATCCTGAACGACCACTGGCGATTCAAAACAATTTCAAGCCTTCGCTGAAGCGATAGAACTGAAACGAATGTGCAAATTATATAAATCTTCACGTGCTGACTTACTGATCTATGAATTACGTAGTAGGTGAAAAACCTCCGTTAGCTCAACTGGCACAACTGTTTCGCGCCACTTCGCGCCAAATTCCCGTCATACCATATATTTGTCGCGAGTTTCTCATGTGACTAGCGAACTTTGTACTTGCTTGAACAAAGAAAACTTCGTTCATTGGCCACTGAAATGACGTCTACTAGAAAAACAATGAACGACGTCATGTAAACATACTTGCCATTTATAAATACGCTCATTCATTGACCGTATTCACCTCGCTTTTACTCACGGAGAAGCAAGGTTCTGCGATTGTTTGAACTCTGTTTCAACGTTCTAACTTCTATTTACCTTCAAATCCTGTTGGAGTCGCGTAAAGGAAGGAAAGTAACTTACCATGCAAAATGGAGAATTATTGGACATCTTTTGCACGAGTAAGCGCTTAGCATACCCCTTACATCTTCGTTTCGTGGGCTTTTACGTTTTCAGGAAGGAACGCGTCGGAAATGGTAAGTTAAATTTTCAGCGATTACTTCGTTTAAAAATTACTCTTAGCGTCCCCCATATTACTTTTTAGTATTAATTGTTTCAGAATACTTCTAGCCTTTCGCGAATATTGTTTCGAATCCCTTTTCATCTCATTGTTTATACATTTATATAAAGCGAACGAAACGAACGAACTCATTCTACATTCTATAACCTGTTTCACTTGCAGGCGGATAACAAAACGCAAATTTACCGACGAATAAATCCTTATTTATCGTTTAGTCTTAAGGTGAGTTTAGTTTATTTTTCATTTTTAAAAAGTGTATTAGGTTTCATATCACCACATACAATCTGTTAGAGACGTAGCGTAGTTCTGCGTAATTGTGCTGAGCAATCGTATATTATCAAACAAGCTCACTTACGAGATATTTAGTTCTAAATTCTGACAAAGGTTAGAAGAGAGATTAAATGATCTTACTGATTAATTCGATCCAAATTTCATTCCATTAACGCTGAATTTTTTAAGACCTATGTTGTAATGGAATGTGCAACGTAATTAAGAAAAGTTCGTTAATGACGTTGATCTCAATAACCTCATTTTTCACTCCCTGATAGTCTTCACTCTTCACAAGTGTACGTACACGATACACTTGACGTTAGATAGTAATAGTTTGAAGCATTATCTTTCTTAAAAAGGCTTCTCCATTCACGCTTTACCTGTAGGATTGCTCATTCACAGTTGCGTCATCTTGTTTGTTTTGATATGCAAATTATCTGACCGACTGTGTTAGTACTTATTTTGATCGGCTTTTTTTAAAAATTAATTATGCGTAATCTTTGATCATGCTCAGAGAGAGCGTGACGGAACAAAAGATTATTTGTCATTCATCTATATTCAATAATAATCGTAATGTTCTGTCTTAGAGACAGTCATCCAATGTAAGTAACACTTTATTCTGGATTTTGGAATGAACGATCTCAAAATTCAGGTTTATTTTAATTCCTAGTTTTGATTTAATATGGGCTTTGCTTTTTGCAGGCATTGTTTACATTACTTATTTTTCCGAAGTTACTGGAAGTACTTCATGTCAGTGTAAGTGTCTTTTTTGCTACTTTTTTTATCACCAGAATTGAAACAACTAATATCAAGTCACTATCCTTTGCAGTTAAGAATGCGACTCACATGAATGCAGTTGCCAAAAAAGCGTGAAAAAAAAAATCAGGCAAATAATATATCGATAACTGTGATGACCTTCTTTGCATTTTTTTGTTCCCTCTGTGCCTCCAATTATGAAAGTCATAAATTCACTCTTTAGTGTACTTTGTTGGGGTTGCATACACATTTGGTGGTAAAGTTAACATGCTTTAGAGTTCTAAATATCATTTTCACAGCAGCAAGAGTGTATACAGCTCACTGTTAGGGGTTACATCAAGCTTAATAAAGGTTTTTATGATTTTCCTGCAGGCAACAAATCGATGCACTGAATTTCAGTTTTTAGTGCTTCATGCAGATGGAGCAACTTCATGTGTGGATTGTGAAAGCTGTCCACCTGGTCAAGGGCTTTCACATGAATGTGGAACAAAAATTTCATCAACTGAAATGGTTCACTGCATACCATGCATTCAAGGCAGTTCATTCTCCACCAATTATGATACTTGGAGCTGTATTCCTTGCAGTGCATCGTGTTCAGAAGATCAGTTGATTAATCAAACTTGCACAACAACATCAGATGTCAAATGTGCACAACAGTGTAACAGCAAGGACAGGTATTGTTCCTGCAAATTTAAAAAACGGAGGCTGAACTTTAATCAAAATTAACACTTCCTTAATAGCATTTCTAGTTATTTATTACTCCTATGAAGACTGTCAATCTCACATACAATCAGTTGTTTTTGTCTTGGCTTACCAATCCTTTTCCAGTTTGAGTTATCTGGCATACCTACAGTGTTCTCAACTGTTCTACTTAGGTCTGTTGTAACACAGTTCAATGAATACAATGTATGTAACTTCTTTGTTCTTGTGGACGTTGCTTATAATTCAATATAATTACCATTGGTATGTTAACAAGTAGAATTGTACTTTTTTGTCGCAAATGACAGCTTGCTTAATCAGGGTTAGCTTTAGTTTATCTTGTGCTCAAAATGAAACTGACATGTGCATAAGGACCTGTCTATATATAATATAGCTAGTGGTAAGAGGTTGAAAATGTTCACTTTTAAATTTTATTCACTTTTATAGTTGCAACAGTTTTCTAGCTTTATGTTGTTTTAACTTTACAGGTACTATGATGAGGAAATTGGTGACTGCAAAAAATGTTCAAAGTGCTGTGGGGATGATGAAGATGTTATCGAAGAGGAATGTAAAAGTAAAATGGGGGCTGCTTCAAACATGATCTGCTCTTTTCAAAGCAGTGTAAATCGGTGTGACAGAGATACTGATACTCTAACACCATCACCACAAGAAACCAGAGCATCTCAAACTGAGGCAAATGCAAGTGCATCCCCAGCGGATACCACAGGATCCAAAAACATATCAACAGCAGCATCTCTGGACAAAACAACAGCATCTCAAAAAGATATAGCAACAGAGTCTCCAAAAGTGACCATGACTGTCGTTCAGAGCACCTCTTTTCCTGCCAATTTTCTACAAAACGTTACTGGCACCATAACAACATCTGGATCTCAAATAAGGAGTTTGCAGAATTCATCTAAAGAAAAGCCTTCCTACCACAAAGTTGGATTAATTGTTGGTATAACCATGGCAGTATTCTTGGCTGTTTTAATTAGCTATTGCTTGTGGTCAAAGTCATGCTCTTGCTCTCTGGAGCTCAAAAGTACTGATCTGGAAAAAGGTGTGTAATTCAGTTGATAATACTGTAGCTTGTACAGTGGCGGGCAAAGGTAATGTTTTTAGCTAATTGTGTGTGTATTGAGTTTTGATATTTACTATGATAACCCAGAACTGCAATAGGTATTAAGCCTTGAGATATTGAAGAGAGCTCCGAAAATTCGGTCACGAAGTAGTAGCCCTTTTGATTCTTTTTTAAAATCTTTCCTTAAAATTTATCTGCATGATGTCCAATTTTAAAAATTTTTCTAAACCTATACGTGATCATTTTTTGAGTTTGTTGTTTATGGAGATATAAATACCCCATGCATTTCAGCATTGTGTAATGGTAAAATTTGTTGCCAGTGAATCCATGAATTAATATTGTTTTTCCAGGAGACCATACAAGAGAAAACATGCCTTGGATAGCTAAGTTTACACAATCAAAATCAGAATCAAGTGAGCCACTATGTGAGAAGGTACATTGTAACCAAACAAGTCTTCTTCTACTATTAACATTACATAGGTACTCAAGAAAATGAAAAACAAAAAAAGTAGTATCTAACAAGCAAGCAACTAAATTAATAAAGCAAAAAAAGATCATTGTGAAATCAAGTTATCTATTAATTATTTACCAAACTTGTAGCTCTTCATTCACTTGTGGTCGAGAAAAAAATGTCTGTCACCCTGTAATTAACCTTCAAGTCATTAATCCTGAACAATTTGATATGAGTGCAAGGAGTCTCCATATCGATCCTTGAATTTGATTTTAAATTTTATGCGCTTTATCTGTAATTTCAATTTTACAGAATCCAGAAGATCTAGTATGTGCTAGTCAGACGTCCACTCAGAAAGGTACAGCTACTTTGTTAATAAATCTGCATGAGGGCTATCACAACAAAGTTTGATGCAAAAAGCTGGAGAATTTAGTTATTATCTGGAATACTTAATTTGCCAGGTGACATTTGCTTACCCTCAAACCTCAAACCTGTTATGTTTTTGGGCAACGGTTATTACATTACATTACATAATCAGACTAATGGTGGGGATGTGGAACATAAAAAGACTATTACCCTTCCTTTAAGGCCTGAAACTCACTAGTCAAGAAAGAGAATGGATTTTGTATGAGTCAAATGAGTCAGTGAGTCATGAGTCAATGAGTCAGATCTGAAAAAATAACATTTTTGGTAGAAACAATAAAATCAAGCATTACTTTTGTTAATATGTCTACTTGCTTTATTGCTGCCTGCACGTGCAAGGCTTATTTCTGACATGAAATCTCAACCTGGGCTGTTTGTTAGCAGTATTCCAGGATCTTCCGCTCCTACTACGTGCATGGCCTGAAGAATAGCCTTCCCAGACACCCTTTAAGAACCATTTAAACCATCAGATCAGACAATCCATATTACTAGATGTTTGTTCATATTGGTTGATGCACGAGTTTTAAACAGGCGAACTAATGTAAATAAACACAAACATAATGCAAACAATGAATGCTCAAAGATTTTAATCAATCAACGAGCCTTGAAAGTTATTTAAAATAATTTACAATGGGTATACAGTAATACCTTAATAATAATTATTCGTACACTGTGTGTTTCCAATTTAAACATTGACTGTGTACAACTGTTCGACTCACCATGACTCACTGTTTCATACCCCTCCTCGGGCAAATTACAATTCAGCTTGTTCGCCTCGTAGCATCATTCACCTTCTGAGGCAAGTAAAATTGATTGGAAAAAGTGGTGAACTACGTTGGGAATTAAGGTTATCTACCCAAAACAACTCCGCAACTGATTGTTGGAACAAACGCTTTAAAACATAAATTGTCTGCATGTCCTGGATCGTCTTCAGTGTGTTCAGCGATTTCTTGTTAACCCCTAATGAAGGTAAATTTTATTGTTTCTACGAAAACTGTTATTTTTTTCATATCTGACTCATTGACTCATTCCTACTTTAGACTCGTCAAGAAACTGAACTAATTTTTAACTTCCTCTTATAGTGATATGATTCTAAAACAGGTGTGGGGTCATCACAACATGTTGGCATTTGGTAAATTCACTATTTGTAATTATTGTTTTTAGAGTCCAAGCTGCTGAGCAGTCTGCTTAGCGATGAATCCTCCCTTCAAAAACTCTGCGAAATGCTAGACACGTTTGGTGACTATAGAGTTGTGGCTCAGCATTATAAGTTTAGCCATTATAAGATAAGTGCAGTACTTGGTCAAGCAAGTTATCCAGGAGGATCAGCACGAACCAGAGCACTGATTGAGTCACTTGCATGTTCTCATCCAGACCTAACAGTTGAGGAGTTTGCAACTGTAGTGGAGGAGAAAGCGGGGAGAAAAGACGTCAGTAATATGTTGAGGGCCTATGACATGGCAGAAGAGGTCACTGAAGAACTGTAAAAGTTTTTGCCATAAGAAGTGCTGTAAGGGTGCAGAGGTCTCCTATTGAGCTTAAAAAACAGCGAGCCTGGGTTACCTGTGCTTGAGGCTGTAGGCTTTTCATTCTTTTTTGATTCTGTAGATTTTGTTAGTAAACATGTGGGTATCTACGTTTTACAATTACGTCAGTTTTTAACATTGTTCGACTCTATAGGTTCATTAAGAACATCTTGTCGATTGTAGATAGAATACTTAAAAAGGGCTTCTATTTTGATATCTTAATTCTATTCTGATATCTTAATTTTCGTTAGTTGTACATGTGTTTCCTAACGTCGTAGATATATAAATTACAAAATATTACTGATGCTGTAGTGACGGGCATCGTTTTTTAGCCATGTAATGGCATATATCGAAGACAAAACTTTAAGAATAGTTATTGGAGTAGTACTTCTTTATGTTTTCACTACATATGTTTGTTGTAAATCAACAATTAGCTTTATGTAATTAGTAAGTTACTAAGATTCCTTAAACAAAAACATCATTCTTTTCAGAATGAAGAGAATCTTGAGAAAATCGAACTCAAAGTAACATATTGTATCAGTATGACGACCTTATTTTCATTTAATTTCACATACTTTTTTGTTTTAGACAAAGGCTTAATAATTACTTTTTTTCCTCTAGTTAATGTTCCGATAATAAACTTTGATCTAGTGATGGAATTATATTCAGGTAAATATCCACAAAATACTTGCTTGTATCAAATGCACGTTAGGGATGTTTTAATTAGACAAATTTTACCAAATTTTGAGTGTCGTTTTAGAAAACTGTCATCTTAGGGCTATATGATGTTCCTGTGTAGGACAGTTTGTAAATTTCCATTTTTTTGTTTGTATGAGGAGTTGAGACACCAGGTCAATCCGGGGGGGACTCCCATACAAAAGTGAAGGGGATGCTCTTCGTCTCGCTTTGGGGTGTAAATTACAGATTTTGGTCGCACTTAGGGTGTTTGGGATGGAAAGTTACTATATTTGCCCATTCAGGTATCACTTGGTACTATGCATACAGAAATGTACAAAAAATGTCCTGACATTGACCACACAGAAATCTCCCTTAGGGGTCAGTTTAAGCTTGAACCACCAACATTGCTCTACCTGAGAGGTTAATTTGAATTTTCCGACGTTGGAGCATCCTCGTCACTCTTATACGGGAGCCCCCCCGAGGTGTCAACATGATGAGATGCCTTCTTGCTAACAGACAAAACGTATTCATTAGGTGCAATTATTGGCGATGACATGAGGTAGCGTTTTACAGTGTTATGACTCCTTTTTACATCAAAATTGACATAGGACAAGAGTATCTCATATTCTAATTATCCAGCAATAAACCGTGTTTCATATAAATGCCTTGCCACATGAGCTCGTTATATTAACGGGAACAAGGGAGGAGGTTACGGCTTTTCTTTCCCTCACCAAACAAACGCAACAGGTTTTTAAGTTAGTAATTCGCATATTTCGTCTTTGCCTTGGGTGTTTGAATTGGCATCTTCCAGCCATTTTCCCATATGGCTGACTCTAGTCTTTCAGGGGCGGATCTAGGGGGAGGGTGCGGGGGGGTGCGCACCCCCACCCCCTGAGATGACCTGCGGTTTTCTAATACAACTGGTATTCTGCAAAAAAAAAAACTATCTGGTTTATTGGTGTTGAAGTAGAGCAAGAGACGAGTGCACCCCATCCTAAAAAAAATCCTGGATCCGCCCCTGTCTTCAGTATCTCCAACCATTTTTTAACCTTTTTTCTTTCATTCTTCCTCTTCTTTCAAACTCAAAGACGGCACTGAGATCACTAAGCACTCACTCGTTCGCTTGTTTGTAAGCTAAACCTAGAATGCAGGTTGTATCGGCGGGAAACCAACAAACTCGTACCCAAGTACCACTTGCTCTGCCAAGTTACATTTTCACGGGGAGATTAGTGAGGAGCTTAACAGGCTCTTCTCTCCCTCAGGGGTCTCCACCCCTCGCCTTGTCGCATTTTCTCGCTTTCACTTCGCCGATCGCCCACAAAGAGATGTCACAGGCTAAACCAATCAACTCAGCGGTATTAAACCTTCTCTTTATCGACTTGATGTGGAATACACTAACTAAAGAAAGTCTCTCCAAATTACGTGCTTTAAGTGACTTTCCCCGACCCCCAGCCAGCTCACGCATAAAGGCTGGCATTGTGACGCGAGTAACGCAAATAACGCGGGGAATCCCCTTGTTTTTAATCAATTCGGTCAGCCAGTTTTCAACCAGTTTATACCTTGTTGCAAAGCGCAAGTAAGTTTTAAGATACCAGTTTCGTTGCAACTTTCTACTTTCTGCACGGTACACGGCTTGATTGGTATTCAAATGAAGATGACTAAACAAGACTAATGGTTACTTGTTTAATTGGCGTGAAGGTATGTCTTATGTAATGGTCTTTGCTGAATAATCGATTGGACGTGCTTTTAATCTAGTATGACTAATTTCTTTCATTAAATAGAAAGCGTCCAATCTTGGAACAGGCAAGCCAAAACGAGGACCTAAAAAGACACGAAGCACAACAAAAGAAGCTGATTTCTTAACTTGTGTCGAGAGAATCTTTTCAAGAGCGTTGCTTTTAGTATCGTTGGTAAGTAAACAATTGTTCGCAGCCATCATTGGTAACCCTCTGTTTTACTACTTATAGTTGCATGTACGTATCAACTTTATTATAAGAGGGTAACGCAAAACAGTAAACTGATAAACCTACGGCCCTCATTATGAAACAGTTAACAATTTCAATTAAAGATATACATAGAATAATCCCAAAATTACAATTAAAAATACAACAGTAAAAAGTGCAATGAAAAGTTGTGAATAGGAAGTTATCAAACAATAAAAATACGGCAAAGGAAACTAAGAAGATGCATAAACGTCAATTAAGGCCTTTTTAAGACTATGTACACGTTCAATACGTTTTACTTCATATTATAAAAGCCGAAAGTCAGATTTTTAGACCTAAATGAAATACGCGAAAGTAAAATGTCCTGACTCAGTGCATTTTTATGCATATGCATGACTTACCACAATGGATTTTAAAAAATGTCTCGTGATCACACACAAGTTAAGGGTCACCGGATTATAATGATCGAATTCCGGAAAAAAAATGTCAAAAAAAAAAAAAAAAAAAAAAAGCACCCTGTCATTTCGTGTTTTGGTTTGATTAATTAATTTATGAGAAGTATGAAACGGTAATAAATCTTTGGACATGACGGGGACATGACTCCTTCAATGCTAAGGGAATGTGACAGAGCTGTCTTATAATTTATATACCGTCAGGCTTCAAATCAAGAAAATAAGGTGATTGTTTGTTAGTGGTAATAATTCTAATTTTCATGGATGTCTCCAGTTGGTGACTTCAAAAAAGAAATTCGAGAGCCTTGCAGAAAAGAAAAAAAAGGATAAACAAACTTAAGATTAAAAGTTATTAAAGTTGCAGAACTCTCGAGTCGTAAGTCGTTTATTACTAGTGACCCTTATCTAAAATAAATGGCTGTCCATTTTTTAATTTATTTTTTATTGTTCTAATTCATCTTAGCTCCAGATACAGACGAGTTGTTGTTATGGTTGCGGTGGAGACCAAGTCACGTGGAGAAGTGCCAATGCGGCACAGAATGACACGTGTCTGCCCTGCATCGACTGCCCGGATGGAATGGAACCCTCTATTCGGTGCGGAGGGGTTGCCAAACATGGAACAGACCTGCACTGTGTAGCGTGCCAATTGGGAATGTATTCTCATTCCTATGGTAAAGAACAGTGTAGGCCATGTTCTTTGTGTTCAGAGGGGAGGTCAGTTAAACGTAACTGTTCTGCATCGCAAAATAGACTGTGTGGCTCGTGTAACTATGGTTACTACATGAATGATGTTGTCTCCAGCTGCCTACCTTGTTCCATCTGCTGTTGGGATGGTAAAGACCAATTAGAGAGTCAGTGTATAGAACAGGGATTACCGAGCCATCGGCAATGCAGACCGAGACACAAAGACGGCTGTGATCTATCGACGACAGCAACGAAAGAAAGCACAAGAACTGAGGGCAGGATCGTGATCACCCGTCCAACTACAATGAAGAGAACAATTCAAACGAGAAAAACAACCACGTCGAGAATTTCAGTCACGGTACAAGACGACAGCACCAAAATACAATCAAATAAAAGTACTACACCTTTCCAGTCGCTCTCAACTGCCACGGAACAGCTGGAAGAAGAAATAATCAATCGTAAGCCCACGCACCAAACAGCTCTGACCCGACACCCGAGAAGAAAGAACCGAGAAAACACTGCATCGACACACTTAACCACGAGGGTGTTTTCTTATGGTAAAGATAGAAGATCTCTGGCAGAGAGGAGCGAAAACGAGAGGAGAATTATCATAGCCGTTGTTGTCAGTATGGTGGTTCTAATCCTCTTGGCTGTCGTTATCAAAAGGAACACTGTTGGAAACTACTTGATATGGATGAAGTGTCGTCCAGTTTGTAGGTCTCGCGATTCCGAGCGCGGTGAAGGCACTGAGAGTAGCAGTTTAGACGAAAGCAGATCATCAGTCGTGGTTGCCCCTGATATAAATGAAGTTCAGGGCGGTAAGTGCAGTTTTCTTCATGTTCTTTCTTCCATCCTTTCTTTCTAAATTTCCGGATTCCAGTATAAAGAGATTATGGATGGAACTTGGTCGCTTTTGCAATCACTTTATGTACTTGTATGGGCTTACAAATGAAGCTTGTTGTTGTTGTTGCATAAAAAAATAGAATAGGCGATATGCTACGACTGGAAACAATATGATGCAAATATGTGCCGCGAAACAAAGCCTGTACCTAAGGGCGCAAAAACAGAGAATACTGCATCCAGAAATACGTTTCACTCTCTCAGGAGACTTCTAAAAGTTTAGTACCAGGTGGCAAAAATAGACAAGAGACTTCCGTGGAAGTGAACTTCCAGCATGAAATTTACGTGGTACCTTTTTTGAGGTTTTAATCATTTCATTTCTATATTTGTTACAGTTCTGTCTCCTTTGAATGCACTCAAATCTCTTTCATTAGACGCTTACGAAAAAGTCTGGAAGCGACTGGACAAACGGCCCGAAGGAACAAATAAAGGTGACTTTAAAACTGTAGCTCTAGAGTTCGGGTTTGAAGAGGAAAACATTTGGGAACTAGAAAAGGAATTTAAGACGTCTGGATCAGGAAGTCCTTCAAGACAGCTGCTAGAAGCCCTAGAAACAAGACGACCTAAGTTAACTGTGTTTGAATTTATTATAGTGATGAAGAAGCCAAAAATCGATAGGGACGATATCGCTGACATCCTTCAAGATTACCTTTTCAAATGAACATCACTTTTTCAAAACTGAATACCTTCACGCTCTGTAATTACCATTCCACATAGTAAAATTGTATCGAAACTGTAGTACCGTCCAGCTGAGTACCATACCTATCGTAAAACGGTAAAGCCCAAAAAAGCAGGGTGCGTTCCAGTGTTACGACAGCTCACCCAAACACAAAAAATCCAATATGCCGACGCACATAAGTCCTTCAAAGAAGCCGGGAGTTTGTAAACTCTTTCTAAATGTTATCTTTCTTTTATTGTCATTATTCAACGTTTTTTTATGAACAGGAGCTCTGCTTTAATGTATATATTAGTTTTTCATTTAAAATCGCCATATCATAACCAATGAGTTGCTTGAACGGTGGTAGTGCTGGTCACTTCCCTCCTGTCATGATGTATCTCTTTTAAAAAATAAATAAACAAGTTACCTGACATTTAGAATTTTGAAGGAGTTTTTTCCTCGTACCAAGATCGGAGTACCGCCTTTCACAGACCCTTTTTTAATCTACGGATAGAGGTTTATTTAACAATAACCTAGTTACTTGACACTTGGATTAACTTTAAAAAGCAGTTTTCTTCTTGTGCCGAGATTACGGCATCGCCTTTCACAACTTCTTTCTTAATCTACGGACAGAGGTTTATTACGTTTTTTGTCTCTAAGGCGAAACTAACTGTTTTAGCGTTTCGCGTCCTTGATTTAAATTTTTAGGGTTGAGATTACCCCTGACTGGATCAAGGAAAGTCCTCTTTTAACTTTGTTTGCAAGTACGATCTTCCTTTTAATCAAATGAGCCGCGGCAAGAATCGAATTCCTTCTTAGAGCGAGATTTTACTGACACAGCGAAAATGTGGATACGAATTACGTATACATGTATAGTAAATCAGTGGCTATATTTAGACCCTGTTTACATGGAGTGGGGGACCCCGGTCTAGTAGGGTAAGTTTCTTTTGTTTTGTGTCCCCCAGAGCGTGAAAACAAAAGAAACCAACCCCACTAGACCGGGGTCCCCCACTCCATGTAAACAGGCCCTTAATGACTTACACCAGTCCTACAAGTTTGATCCTGTTTGCGACATGACTGTCTGACGTACTGATGTAGTAGTAGACCTATTTTGACCCTTTTACGGACATGTCAAGCTGTAATGAAGACTGAACCCTCATTGTAGGGTACCCGCCTTGAAGGACCACTTGGTCTTGAAGATGTACATGGTAGCAAAAGGATCCTAATTCTAGGGAAACTGGGGAGCACACTCCAATCTTCAAGCTTTCTAGGTTTTTGCCTCAAAAAGGGGTATAGACTTCAAGGTGGCCAGTCCTTAATTAGGGTATCTTTTTGTTATTATGGTCCTTTGATAGCGTGCCTCAAAGCACATGACCTAAATCGCTATAAAGAATATAAACTAGTCGTTAGTTTACTAACACAACAATTGACAGTCACGCCTGGTCAAGCATATCTCCATAGATTCTATTAATGACTCGATTATTTGAAAAATGAATCCGTTGGTCATTGCCGCAACCAGTATTAATTCAAATCTGCATTTCTGCATACGCAATGAGCTTTGAGTTTTCTACGATAACTTCTCTGTATTCGGTCAAATAAAAAATCTTTGAGCGGACAAAATTGCTTTGAACATACTCACATGAAATTCAAGAAAACTGAGCTGGTAGAAATTTCCTAACTACCTTACTTGTATTAAAATTCGCGCAGTACTAGAATTCGCGCAGCGCTGTGTGCGTTAATTTTATTACTGGGCGAATTATAATCCGCGCGAAAAGCTTTGTGGTGTAATATGAGACACTCATTGTTAGTAATGCAAATCAGTTGATTTATTAACGCATATACTCATCTGACTTATGTTTTAATTTGAATTTTGCTTGCATTACATATTAATTTACATAATTTTGAGGGCATTTTTTGAGGGCCACCTAATCGCTTTTTATTGTAGTATTTATTGATAAAAAACACTCATTATAAATACGTTAATTGTTAATAGCTCTATTAAACAAACCAAAAAGAACGAACACGGAAAATTACTTGCGCGAGTAAGTCTGAACAAGGTGCGCGAAATTAAATCGCGCGAATTTAAAGCTGAGCGAAAATGAGTACGACGCGAATTTTAATACAAGTAAGGTATGCAGTCTATGCAGGGATGCAGAGATGAATCTGAAATCTACAACTACTAACGGGATCAACTTTCGAATAATAAGTTCTTAATTGCGTCTCGGGGGGTACGCATGACCAACTGGCTTGACTGTAACTAACTTTTCTCCAAAGTTCTATTTTTCAGTCATGAATGTCCGTCCAAGTAGAAAGGAGAAATAAAAACGACGTATCCACAAACCATTTTCCTTTTTCGGTCTTCTTTAAAAAGGGTGTCGTTGTTTCGTTTTTGTAGTTTAGGGCCTTGCAAAGGGGGTCAATTTTCAATGTTATTTCATTACTTTTAGTATTCCTATTTAGTCAGACATTTCGGTATTTTTAACTTTTAAAGTTTTTGCCATAGGCAGACAATGAAACCATTTGAAAGTTATCCATTTAACTAATGAAATCATTATTTAAAAGAAGGAAACAGTTCACTCACTCGAAGAATTATTTATTCTGTAAGCTAGTATTTTACCCATAAAGTAAACTAAAATATAGTAATTAAGGCAAGCAAAAACTCTAAGATTTGAAGTATCTTTTCTCTTATTTCTAAGCAGCAGATAAAATACTTTTAACATGGCCATTTTTCTAAAGAAGAGTAACATTAAGGAGCTTTAGCAACGGCTACGGCTGCAAAACGTCGCTTTTAAAAGACATCGCGTTTTTCCAAACTTTGTCGAAAATATTCCAACTCGCTTAGAACGTCGCTGATGATGAAGGTGAATTTCGCTGGAGATGATTTGTTACGGACCAAGCCCAGGTTTAAAAGAAGAAAGACAAAGTTACCTGGTGGTCGTTCAGCAACAGCAAAGGTGTGCTGCACGTGACGAGTTGTTGTTTCACTAATTAAACCTATTGCTCTTTTTCCATCGCCGTCGTCGTTGCTAAAGCTCCCTATTAACTAATCTGAGCACGCGTTTCCTAAAACAGCATAAAGCGAGGTTCAAATACTGTGCCGTGTACTGCTTTACAAATGATTGCTTAGACATAATAAATGGTTTGAACCCACAAGTCCTGCCATAAAATGATGGAATATGATCGTCCAGGTGATTTAAGTCCTGAATAGGAATGTTGTTGACTTTGAGTGACACTCACCCGGACGATTTTATTTCACCCACTTAAAATAGCTTTGACTTGGAAAATTAAGAAGTGAAAGGTCTAGCATACGGATGACAAAAATATAACATATATATAGTTTAATACATTAGCTGAAGCATTGAAAGTGGAAGTTTGAAGCCTGCTTTAGATCGTAGGGACGTTAAGCTAAAAGAATAGTTTCGGAACTTTTTGAAGGGACGTTAAAACACGGATTATTAGTCAAATGGTATTTTGTTGTAGTAGTACACATTCAACACAAGCCAGCATTTGAACCTGTTAAAAACCTTAGCACCTTTTATTTACAAATTATATACATTTGAAGAGTCTTATGCAAATCTGTTGTAGGGGACCAGTTGTTTTCTATTTATTATTTAAGTCTGAAGTATGCACATTAATAAAAGTGCAGTAGAAACTCGGTCTCGAGTCAAGAAACTTTCAAAGGAAAAACAACGTTCACAATAGAGGCAACACAATTGTGGCTATCATTATTTCTATTATTATTATTATTATTATTATTGTTTTTATTATGAATGCTTCACGTTCTTAGACATGATGAATGACATTGGCATTGACAAAAAGCAGCAACGTTATATAATCAAGAAAATGATAAATATAGCCATTTGAGCAACATATTACATCTTTTGTTATAGAAATAGGAACTGGGATAGTCCAGACTTAATGCAATTTTGATTTTTTGCTGTTGTTTTTTTTTGGTTTTTGGCTTTTGTTTTGTTTTGTGTTTGTTTTTGTTTTTCTTTTTAATAATCCAATCTCAAGCAGCATTTGTAAATTGCCTATATGTAGCGAGATTTACAATTGTACATTCAAAAACACAAATAAAGTTTCCATTATTATGATTATTACTATTATTTACTCTGAATAATTAAAGGAAAATGACAACACTTTTGCAATTCTAAAGCAAGACATTGGTGAAAGTTACATGAAATGAGTAAATTAAACCGTCTCAGTTACAGGCAGAAAGGACACCTGTTTGTATTTAAAAAACGCCTGAAAACTTTCGCTCGGTGCGAATTCAAATGGGACAGTCGTTTCTAATGGAATTATATTTACCCACTTTTCCACGTTATTACCGGAATTAACTCAAAATTACTCTACCGCCAGCAAGAACCAGTATAACTTCCAAGACCGAATGTTTGGCAGCTATATTTTCTGTATAACAACGCCTCCACAATGGTGGAAATTTTGACCGGTATTCCATGCAAATTGAAAGCGATTAAGGTCCATGCTAGCCTGCGCGCAGACGAAATTAAACTCTGGTTAACTCCGTCTGCGAAACAGCGTGGAAATCCTTGTTCTGGACTTCCAGCTGTGTACCCAGATTTGAGTACGCGCCACGATTGGCCAGTTAAAAAAGGTCTTTGTTTTGTTTGTCGTGATTGCCAATCAGGTTGAAGAGGAATTCGAAACGCACTTCCGGTAATTCGTTGTGTCCGTTGGGGGTCCAGAACAAGGATCTCTGCGCTGCTTCGCAGACGGTACTAATCAGAGTTTAGTTATCGTTTGCACGCAGGCTAGGTCCGTGCGAAAACAAGTAACAAACTGGTCACCTAAAATAGATTTGCATAATACTCTCCAATGCCACAAATATATGTCACACGCACAGACCCACAGCTAATCAATAACCGTACATTTCTATGGCATTAATTTGTTAATCATAGAAATGAACTGGCTGTCATCATCAGTTCCCTATCCTCTAGTGGGGAGCGGGGCAAGGTGTACTGCACGTACTGGTGTGCCATATATTTGTGCAACTGTCAGTTCACAAAACCAGTTATAATTATCATCGTTATTACTAAAAGCATGCATATTGTGACTTAACGGTACTTAAACTTCACTATTATAAACTGAATATTCTCAAGAAAGGTAACACGATTTACTTGCTCACGAATATGTTTGGTTTTGTTGTTCTGACAGTAAGAGTCTTTTTTAAGAATTCCACATTGCCTTTGGAGACACGGAAGTAATTTCTTTACAGCCCTCTAAGCATGCTAGGTTTGTTTATATCATACCAAAATGATTATAATCACTTGTCTCTAATCAAAGGTAAAAAATAAACACAGGGGGGCCAGATCTAATCCAAAACTAGATTTTAAATTTCGCCCGAAGACAATTAGTAGCCGAAGCTCATTCAGACTACTGGGCACTGCTGGAAAAAATCCTTTTTGGAAGAAAAACACGATACGTGCTAGGTTCCTCTCCCTTATAACATAACAAGTTTAATTGTTCTGTTAAAACTGTCTATCCATAAATGTTCGGAAAGGTGTGGAATTCCTAAAAAAGGTCGGGTTCAGCTTGCTAAAGGCAAGCACAATTACAACTTCTTTATCATGAACTGGATAAGATTTTCATCTCAAAATTCTCTTGACACCTGCATCTTCCGCGTATATTAAAACGTGGATGGCGAGGCAAAAACGTCCTTAACAACACTACCAAAAATGGATAGAAATTTGTTTTGGACGTCACGTATTAATGTTTCACAGGTAACCCATGTTACATTTCACTCACGCTTAATCAGGAAGCTTGCTTCCTCGACTTCAGTTACTGAAATAGTGTGCGTTAGTACCTTATAGAGAAAGCACACAAGGTTTATTACCACGCACAGAACATTTTCTGTACCTGAGTTAAACTGCCTTAGCCTTTAACTTGTTTTCTAATGTTCCTTATCTAAACCTACAAAATACACATGTTCATTAAGTTCCTGTGCACTCTTGAACTGACAAGTTATGTCCATTCTACACAAGAGCTTACACAGCACAAAAACTATGTATCAGCAGATATTCTACGTACAGCACTGATGTGTAACAGGAGAAAGAAATAGCTAAACACCATTAATTATTATTATACCTTTCCCACGTCAGTGAGTGTCTCTTAAGACAATCCTTTTATTAAGGAAACGAAGCACATGGAGTTTAGTAGGAATGTTGCTTTCTAAAGAGCTTTCATTTACTGCAACCCATTATTGTAGTCAAAATTTGACAACGGGGAAAGGTATAATAACTCCTAACAGGATAACCACCTTGATGGAAAGCTAGTTTGCTTTTACTAAACGTTAGCACAAAATGGTTCCAGTGATAACAGAGTGAGGTAACCAATGTCGATTGTGTGTTCATTCGTTAGGTTATTGGGTCTTCCTATTCTCCACAGGTGTTGGCTAAATATGAAAATACACAAAAAATGAATGTGTTGTGGTTATACTTTCCTTTGTTTCGAGCTTATTATCATATCGGCTAACATAATCCAAAACAGGAAAAAGAAAGTTAAGCCAAGAGTAAAATTGAAGTACAACATGTACCGAAAAGAAAGGATGATTTCCGGAATTAAAACAGTTATTTTGTTTTGCACTTAAGGTTTGTTTTCAGACGTCTGGTGACTGAGACGTTGGAGACACCTTATCTCTTTTTGTAACATTTAGTACCTGGCAAGATTGGAGGTCAGGTCTTAACACTGTAAACCAATTTGTAGTACAATTCATAATCCTTGTTAGGTGACCTGTAAGCAACGTTATCAAGCTTCCTTCTTACTAAATAGCCTTTAGAGTAGATCCTTTAGGGAAAAAATGTCAGCCATGACTCGACTCATCTTTTCTCTCCACCCCACATGTTCCAGTTGAACATGTAACCCAATAAACTTCAGTTAACTGTCTATCGGCCCCTGTTTAGACATTTTTACTCACCAGATCAGACTCAAATTCGACGTAAAGACTGAAATAGAATGAAATAAAATTAATTTTTCTCATAATACATTGTTAGGGTAAAAGCAGTCATGCGAATTGATGTATTGTATGAGGCGAAACTTAAAAGAAGAAAATTCATCAATTAATAAATTCTGCCATACTGCTCCTGATTGTGCCTAGAAATGTGTTTTTGTGAAAAGAGAAAGAAATTATTTCGGAATTCAGATCTTAAAGACTGTCTAAAGTATATTTGCAGATATATTTTTAAGAAAATTGGCTGATAAAATGGATCAAATTTACCCAAATTGGGATAAGAATCCGGCGACTGACGTTCCCATACTTCAAAGTCATCCTCAAATGGTCTTGACAAGTTTCATTGATATCAGCAAGACACTCTACAAACACCCTGGCTATGGCACTAGGCAATCTATCCTGGCTTAGCGCATAAAGTCTGTGCAAAGGAACCTGTGATAGAAACAGTTGTGTATGTGTCAGATATGTTAAGTCAAACCAAGGAAAAAAATATTTTTCAAAGTAAATAGCACTGAGTTACAAAATAACAACACAATTTCTGAAAAATCCTTTACAGTTAACCGTTTCTTTCGCTCTTCCCACCTCAACTGTAACAAAACAATCACCAGTTGCAGGGTCTTACCTCGCAAGCTGTTTGAACATCCCTTATTCTAAATTTTATTTCCTTCACCAACTCAAAAGTGATCGTAGAATGTACATCGGTGTCGATAAACACAGTGTGAAAATATCCACTTTCGACCTGGGATAAATATTCATCCCCCATACAGACTATCCTGATGCCTTGTTGATCCTGCATTGTCTTAATCAGGTTAGAAATTCGTCCCTAAAATGGAAAGAAAAGTATTTACTTACTTAGAAATACTAAATCAGTAAATGGTGATCACGGAATTATTTTTACGAAGTAATTACATTGTATTGGTTTTGAAATATTCATGATAAATTTGGAGTTAAACACATTAGGGTCACAAATTTGCAGCAACCGATAGTCGAGGACAGTCCGCTGTATTCTCGAGGCTTGATATCTCATTTAATGGTGACCCTTGCATGGTATCTCAGTGTTATACCTGAAACCTCAAGTGTAGGTGTAAACAAGTCTACGATTTTCCCGAGAAGCCAGTAAGATAAGCTGGTCAAAGAAAGGAAAACGCGTTAAATTAATGTTATCACATTATCATGGAAACAATGATCGATCCTACCTGCTCAAAACGTTCTGTAGGCACAAAGTGTACCCCGAACCATTGTTCGTTTATTTCAGGATGGTCTTGAACTAAGATGAAGAAGGTGAATTTCGTTCCTTTGCATGGTACTTGTACTGATGAACCTATATGACCTGTAGAAAAGATATTGAGAGCTGACCATGGCAGGTAAAGGAATTTAGCATAGCTCTTGGCACAATATTGACAGTGTAGACCTCACCTATATGATCTTACCCTCATCTAAAATAAAATAAACCAAAGATGTATTCCAGAAATATTCCGTCAACTTAGGCACTAAAAAACCGGCTTTTGCTCCTCGAAATGAAGGACGAATAGCTTTAAGCATTTCACGTAATTACGAATGTACATTTTAATAGTCTTTTTTTTACGACAGACTGAACATTTTAGAGGAACAGTAGCATCGACGTAACTACCACATCACTCCCAGGTAAGTGCAAGGTAAATATATTGAATGTGTATTATTTCGAGCTCGACATTTGTTCAAATGCTTCTATGGGGAAAACGCAATACCATTGTTATTATTCTTATCACCACGCTTATCGTTGCCTCTCATGATATTGTAACGAATTCATTCAGAGATGTTTTGAGATTTTTAAAGTTAATAAATCTTGCCAGTCTCGGGGAATGTTGTTATTCGTTCATTCGTGACTTACTGTGGACGGGACTCTTTTCCGCAGATGAGTGACCATGTTGATCCGAAACATTAACTCCTTCGCCAATCGCACAGTTGTTACCCTCGCCAGACGGGTCTGACTCGGCAGGTAGAGATGGTAAGCCGCTTACAAGCACTTGTGAATGATAAACGGTCGTAGCGGAACTATCGATTTCCCTAGCATGTTCGAACTGCAAATTGCTCATCAAATTTTCTTCACTTTCATAAGCCATATTTCCACAACGCTGGCAGAGTGTTCCTCCGTCACCAAGTGCTGGACCCTCGGTACATTGGCATGTACCATGGAATAGATTCTGAAAAAAGTGAAACATTCGGTTACAAAGACGCACTTCCACTTCCAGAGCGCCATTTGCTTCCGAAGTCTCACTGCCGGTTCCGTATAGTAGAGCTACAAGTATGTTAATAACATAATCATAACAAATTAAACCTACAACAAATGATCCATTTCTACAAGGGAATGATATTTCAAAGAAACCGAAACCCTTATGAGTCATATTCCATGTGTTTTCTCGGGAATTCTTAAACTTTGAATGGTGTTCGTTTTCGTATGACTTTCGAAAGTGAAAGAGAATTATCAATTGGCGGCTTTCTTGTCTTATAATTTCCTAACCTTAGAGGTAGAGCAAAGTCATCGACTTAACATCGAAATTGACTGTTGTACATTACCGTGTTTTTTGTTGTCTTATCCATTATTTCTTCTTTTTCCACGATGAGATTTTTATCACTTCTCCGCTGTTCGCTTTTAGTTCTGAAACTCGTGGAATCAGTTTTCGCTAGTGTTTTTAAGGCCTACTCTGACGTCATGGCCTCTGTGTGTCTGTCAGTCGCACGTCACTATTACTAAGTTCTGACTGGTGAGAAATATAATGGACATGTCAGGATGATTGTTTACAGAAAATCTGATTGGCTGGAAGTATCTGTCATTGACTTTTTGTCGTCAAGGTGATTGTCTTTAAGTCCACTTATTCAAACTGACATGCGTAAACAGAGGAGACCTCCTTCCGTTAGGCTTGAAATCGAAAGTAGCTTGTGTAGGCAAGTTAATTACCGTTTTGGTTCCATTTTATAACTTCAACATATTTACATTTTTATCTGTAGGGTAGCGATTCGACAGTAGGTGACTTTTTTTACCTGATACTGAGGTTTCAGTTACTTCGACATTTAAAACTACCGCTTTAATCGCTGGTCCACTGAACTGAACGGCCCCGGGATCCCTAAAATGAGATATATATTTCTAATCAGCTTCCAGGTTAGTATCCTTTCCTCTCGCATTACAGTTCTAGTTTTCAAGTTTCAACTTTACTCCAGCATTTTAAAGGAGAATTTGCTCTACCCGCCGAAATAGCAGGGCTAATCTAGACAGGTAGAGAACTGAGGTTAATTTAAGTAGACATTATTTCGTTTGTAACGAATTAAATTTGGCGTATGTTTTGGAATAGAACTCGTTTTAGCTATAGGTAAAACTGTTTATTCAGGCAATTTCACATCTGTAGACTACCTCAATTAGCCTACTCAGATTCTCGTGATGTATTCTAGTTATTTTCGACTCGGTCAGGTTACTAACTCCTTCCAAATGATTTCTTGTTTCAGGCCATCCAAGTGTCCGTCGCACTGCTTTGTCCAGATGGCCAGCTTGTGGTCAAATTGCCAAGTGGTGACCTCTCTTGTGAAAACTGTCCAATGTGTCCTCCAGGATTCGGCGTAACGTTACCTTGTAGAAATACTGATCATGTCCCCTCTAGCACCTCTATGACTTGTAAAGCTTGTCTACCAGGCGAGTATTCCGATTCACTGTCCTCTGAGAGTTGTAAAACCTGCTCGAAGTGTCTCCCTGATGAAGAAATTGTGGCAAATTGCACCGTCGTCTCTGATACACTTTGTAGCTGTAAACCTTGTCCTAAGGGCTACTACCGCAACAAGACCATCTCGAAATGCCTCCCTTGTTCAAGCTGTTGTTTCTTTGATGGAACAGACAAGGTTGTCCCACAGTGTGTCAGTCAGGGGTTACCTCGAAGCCAAACATGTAGCTACCAGCAAAGGAAATCATGTACCTCTAAATGTTGGTACGATGAGATTACAGTCCTAAAACGTGATGGAAAGCGGCACAGCTGTCAACTCTGCCCAGTATGCTCAAAAAACATGGGTCTAACTGTACCTTGTGGAACTATTACTAGTGAAGACAAGTTTATTGGGTGTGAACTTCCTACCTTGGGAAAAACATTTCTTAATTTTCAAGGAGTAATACAATCTTGTAGCATCTGTCCTCCTGGACAAGGAGTGGTTGCTAATTGTTCCTATAAATCTGATACCTCTTGTGGTGGATGTAAAAAAGGATTCTACTATAACCCACTTTCAGGAAGTTGCCAAGAGTGTTTTTTGTGCTGTAGCCTTAGTGATAGTGACGCAATAATACAATGCATAAAAGAAGGAACGTTTAGTGGGATAACCAACTACATACACTTGTCTTTGTTTAGAAACACCCAGCAATCTGTTAGCGCTTATGGAAGGTATTGTCTGAAGTCATTGTGGGAGCTGAATACATGGACTCTGACCACAGGGTTTATTATGATCATATTTGTCTCTTATTTTGCCTTCAACTTCGTCACTACAAGCAAACATAATTCAAATAGTAAAGTGCAAGACCCTTTTCCCAGTCCAGTTCAGACTACAGAACTAGTGACTCCTTTGCAGAGACCACAACAACACGAGATTACACCAGAAACTGCTGAGGATCCTCAAGGTGAGTTACACAGCGTCACGCTATTTGCTATTTTTAAAAAGCTAAATTGGGTCGCGCTTCAATTGAATTCCAAAAAAATGGTCCAGTTTTTGTATTCAAGGCTGTATTTGAGCATTACAACTGTTTCCTGTCGTCTGTTGCGACGAATGGAAAGGATGGACGTCGATTGAAACTTCAGACCATAGGCGACCTTTTTCATTTCTAAAGGCTATGCCTCCCTCACTTCGAAAAATAACCAGTATGTACGTGTTAGTGCTCCCTGATGACATTCGGTTCATATGTTCATAACTCTACAGGAGCCTTTTTTTTCTCGGGTAAAGTCACCAAGTAATGACTTCAGAACATAATTGACCTAAACAACAATATATTCTTGTGACATCATCTAAGCCCCTTTAAGTTGCGGTTATACCTTCATGTGTTTGTTTTTGGTGGGGCTGGAAGTGGGTGGTATTCAACTGATCAAATTGTTGCCTTTTCTTTTTTTTGAACCTCGGGTCTTCCTTTCATATTATCGCAGCTGTCTTCGTCGGTTATTTCAACAACGAAAAGTAACTATTCACGCCATCATGGAGTAACGAGTTTATTAAGGATAATAAAAGGCTGATCGAGTGTCAGAAAGAGGGAAATGTAAACATTTGCTTGAACTAGTTTATAAATACAAAACAACTGAAAGAAACAAAAAAAACTAGCCAAGTATATATACAATAGATAACATGCACACTTAACACAAAGACAACTTAGAATCGAAGTTATCCAGTAAGTGTCATGATCACTACAGTCGCCATCATCATTTATTAGTCTCCTTAATTCCATGACCGAGATTGTTCTCACTGGTCTCAGTATACATTTGTAATTTCCAGGTACCAGGAAGATGGAGTTGGAATATCCTGCAGAACAAAACACTGGTCATTTGTTCTTTGAGAAGACAGGCGTTGAAGTTATTGCTCTTTGCAAAAATAAACCGACCGACCACTCTCTCTCAAATCGATTAGCTTTACAGGCCACGTCAGACTCAACCAAGCACGGATTTCTCAAAGAGGACGAAATTCAACTAAGTCCTGTAATAACTTTTATTTCAACTGGCAAAAATGATGAACCATTCGAGGTTCAGATACCCCATGGGGCAAATGTGATTCTTTCACGTTCAAAGTGGAATGTCATGCTGAAAAAGCTGCTGAACAACAGATGGGTCACTGTTAGCCAAAGTGGACAGGAGATTCACAGCTTTAGCCCTAAAAGTAACCATGTAAGGTTCGAGACCGATCGTCTCTCAACCTTCGTAGTTGTTGGAAAGTTACAAGACCACTTTCTGCCGGCATTCAAACGAATGAAGGTGGCAGCTTTTTGCAGTGAAACAAGCATTGGGAAAGACCTTACCATGAGGGTGTATTGCTTTGACGACTGTGAATATTCTTTTGAGGTATGTATTAACCCGGTGGTTCTCTGCAGAGTGCACTTGACCCATTCCGGGAAAAAACAATTCGAGATCCTTATTAATTTCAGCTGCAGCGAATGTATTATAACTGATGTTCTGTTTATTTACGGTGAAAACATGTAAAGCTTAATGATTTACCAGCCCACCTTTTCATGTCACGAGGAAACGGCGATCGAAAACTCTCACACTGTTCTTTTAATGGAGCTTTCCATGGAAGAGGAGGCAAACTTCAATGCAGCATTAAAGCACGCTATCAAATATGCCCCTTTCCTAAGGCTTTGATGAGGTAAACAGAGTTGTTATTTTATGTTTGTGTTAGTGAAACGAAAGCTTGATTATTGGTCTTTTTTTCTCTTTACCCCGTTACCTTTATAGAAACTTATGAAGAAAGAGAAAAGAGAGGGAGGAAAACTTATCTCATCCATTGAGACACTTGACTTTATTGTTACCAGTGAAAAAGACGTGGAGATTACAGTAAACGATACTGAAGGATGGCAGCTATATCAGCCCTCGTTAATGGTAGTACATATGGCCCATTCATTTCTGTGTTAAAATTTTACACTAAGCATATTAACACAATTCCTCCATATGCAGATAAACACTAACTTTGTACTCTATTGACTTACAGATAGCTCTCTGCCGTTTAAAACGTCTGTGGTGTGACGAATCAAAAACAGTGTGTCAGTGTAGAACAGCAATGATTAATTTTCGAAACAGTAGTTATGTTTTGATGTTCTAAAGTACATAACTTTGTAGTACGTGAAAATAAACAATTTCATCACAACTTTCATCCAGTTTTGATTTCACACATAAAAAAATTAAAAAATCCGGCACTGAGTTTTTAATACCCATTTAACAAAGGTCAATAACAACAGTCTTTAATCTCTCTTGATTTTTACTGAAGGCGTGAATATCAAATTCGTTCTGGTGCTTCCTTATGTATTGCTTTTCTTTTCTTTTCTGTAGTTTTAAGGGAGTTTCCACTTCATCCTTATTAATCATTTGGCACCTTTTTTTTCATTGACGGGACAATGTTATTAATTTGCACCTCTTGATATTTTCCAGAAACTAAGGAACAGCTATTTGAGGAGCTCTTTTGACGTAATCCCTCGCTGTGATCTGATATTTCATCCAACTACAAACCCTGGAAAAAGTACCTTTTTTGTCATGGTGACTTTGGCTCAGGAGCCATCCAATCAAACTGTGATGTATGCAAGTTCTGCAATCAAAAAGGTACTTAAATTAAGTACTACTTGTTTTTGCACAAGCACATCAGCTCAAGCGTTGAGGTGTAATTGTGATTATCTGGCTTTTAATCGACTGAAGTGTTCTACCCACGCATCTAATTCTTAGTTTCCTCAAGTTAAGAATTTTTAGATAAAAATGATGTCGAATGATCTCCCCGTATAATAGTGATGCTTTCTTCATACAGATGCCACGACTGCCACGGATTCAGAAATACAGAAATAGTATGTTGTTAATATTTTCTGCTTGTTTACTTAATCACTCCTTCTTAACTGAGACTAGTTTCTATCATGATGATGCCTTAACTTGACCAAAATTGTGCTCGAGATGATGTTTCCCACTTACGACAGTCTCTCCTATCCAATTATTAGTCTCATTTTATAATTTTCAGTGGTTTTTAACTTAAATTGTAACGTTATTCTTCATTTATTATATTTAAATATCTATTTTGTCACTGTTGGGAGGGCCATTGTTGCTTCCTCTTTAAATGAAGACCTACTTATTCTTTTATTTCCTGTTTTTTTATTAGAAATCCAAAGAGATGATGAGTTGCACCTAAAAGGAGGCAGTGTCGTGGAAACAAAACAAATTGATAGTGATGAGTGCATCATTTAGATGTAGTACAGATATAAAAACCTTTAAAACTTTTAACAGACCTGTTTCATATTTTGGTTAACGCAGAGTAGGTTGGGGTAATGAACCATTACTTAAAATGGCATTTTGCAAAAAAAGTAATGGTTCAAATGTGTAACACTGGGTACAAAGATTTCTAACTGTAAGAATTTCAGCATTGAGTATGTTCCTTTGTGCATTTGGCAGAATGGTGTAGAGCGTAATACATCACATAAAAGAATCTGTACATAGCATAGATCCTATAGGTTCTTAGAATCAAAAGATAATGCAAACGTCATAGATCCTATAGAACCTACCGTATATAGAGACCCTGTAGATCCTATATATAGACCTTGTAGAGCCTAAAAATCCACTTTATCTGACTGAATGATCAAGGTTGTCTTGCTTTGTCGAGGTATCTTATCTTTGAATCACTGATACCTGTCTCGAGTTTAAGAAAAGGTGAGTGGCAAATGTCAAGATTCCGTTGCTGAGGTTCTCTTTATAAATCGCCAAAAGTTTATCCCCGCTAGTAAAAGTAACAATAAGGTGCCAGTGATACATGGCAAAAGCTGTGCCGAAAGGGCAGGCGTTACGCAGTTTTCTCGAGAAAGTTCCTGTTTGTCGTTAATACATCAATTAAAGATTTAGAAGTTTTAATAACTCTGGTTGTTCATTGCACTTGTGCATTGTCTATAAAAAGCAGCCAGTTTACAAATTTGAATCAAATCTAATTTCCAGTAACTTCAGTTCACATTTGGTTGGATAAGGGGGTTAGGGTGCAGGCGTTGTTGGTTCTTTTGCACTACCTGGGGCTTTTTCAGTCTCAGGAATTGAAAACATAATTACCAAAGAACACTTGATCATGTTTAGATTTTTTTAATAACATGTAGTTTAAAATCACCCATAACAACTAAATACACCACTTTTAAGTCCCTTATAACAACATAATATGACCCAAAACATCACCTAGCAAATACATATTTCCCGCTTAGAAAATTGAAAAGCACATGATCGTCAAATAAATATAAAAGGCTTAAAAGATCAATGATGCTATTAAAATTTCAGATCCCAATAAAAACGCACCTAAAAACCTACTACTGCCAAATTGTATTATGATATTACAAAGCATTTAACATTATTTAGCATTAACGAACTGGTTCTACAAAATCAGTTCGTTAAATGCAGTCTCGTAAGCGACCACCTAAAAATTCATGTGAATACTTACTGGTCGCTAAGTGGTCGGGAGGTCATGATCGCTTACAAGAATCGAACTAGAAGCGGTCCTTTTCGAGAGGAGGTCTCGTCACATCTACCTCAGTTTTGGAAGAGAATTTATTGCATGCAATTTCTAAGTTACGATATGTGTACTTCTTTGTTTATACTCTGACTGGCGTTTTACATACAGCCAACAGCAAAGCAAGTGGTCGCTAACAGGAGGTTAAGAACAATGAAAAATTTTAAAACCCCTAGTCCCAAAAGTGGTCACGGCCGTTTACAAGAGCCTCAGATTATAGGGATTTCACTGGGAAAATTTTGGTATTTTGGATGCTCGGTATTTTACATGGGGCAGTTGCTTACGAGAGGTGGTCACTCATGGAGGTTCGACTGCATCAACAAAGTATAGAATGTACTAAACTAGGAAAACACTCTTTTTATCTTTTGGTGCGAAAAATTTAGTATACCCTGTTAAAGTATTACTAGTCTAAGTAAGTGCAAAAGCCGTAAAATTTTATACATACACCGGTAAGTGCCACATCAAATTCTTTCCTGAATTAAACTAATGCCTGAAGCTTTTTGTTGTAAGGTTATGTGTTTAGACTGCGTGCACGTTTGATTTAATAATCAATTTGTCACTGAAAAATAGTATGCACTACGTTTTGTGGCGTACTCCAGTGTGTAGTGTTATTTATGGCTGACATTACTTAATTTTTTCCAATTATATAAAAACCATTCTCGTTATTATCTTCATTATTATCATTATTTCTTATATTATTATTTCATCTTATAAGATGATTTTGGAAAATAGTTTTGCTGAGTATATTTAAGAGTTGTGCTGCATTTTGAGGAGCCCGGGCGGGGGGGGGATATACAAACAACGAGAAAAATGACACAGCAATACTACACGCCAAAACATCCAATAAGCTACTGGACACATTTTCGCGAGATTGACTAAGGAAACGTCAACTGGGCAAACTAATTTGTGTAACAACTTCCACATCATAATCAGCTATTATTTTCCTGCTTTTTTCTCAAATTCTCTGACATATACATCTATATGTATAACTGCAATCTAACTGCAAGTACGAACATGTACAAATGGAAACGGCTCTAATGAAACCAGTCAGAGAAACTTCTCTATGCACTAAACACATCAAATGTATTATACTCTTTCGATATTGGCAAAATAACTGAATTTGGACTCATGTTTGGAAAGGAGTTTCAAACACCCTCTTGAAGACCTGTCAAGCAGGGTCTTGTACTGTACAAATAACCAACTGTACAATATCGAAGGTTTGTACTGTCTTTTTGTACAATAACTAATAAAGTTAGATAATAATACTTCCTGAAAGTAACAATATGATGAAGATTGGTCTGTGAGACTGAACAAACATTGGGACGATTCTTTACTACATTTTTAGTCATTCAAGAGTTTTGTTTGGATTCTTTAAAAGATAAAACCATCTCAGAGTTTGGCTTTAAAATGATGCTATATGATCACACTCCTTGAAATCACCGCCGTGTAATGGCCAACTACACTTTCATAGGTCACGTTTGCCCTCTACAGTGATGGCTACATATTAGAACTATTTAATGGACATAAGTTTGAACCAAAAGTATTCTGACTGTATCTTCAAAAACAACCTGAATAAGCGCAGTTATTCGTCCCTTGGTTAATCTCTCTCCTCCTGCCTCTCCATGGACCTCTACAGAAATCAAAACATTTGTGTAAGCATCGCCGTTCATGTTATTTTTCGATCAAACCCAGACCTAAAAAAAGACGTCTTACCAAACAACGACTCTAGCTCCGAGTAATGTAGCTGTTGCAGTGGTTCAGTTTTACCCTTGGTTTTAATTTACTTCTCTTTGTCTTAAACTCATTATCATACATTACCAAACCCCCTCAAAAAAGGAAAATAAATTTAAACCAGAAAACAGCCACTGAAAATTGCTGTACACGCATTGATGCAAATAAAGTGACTTAACATCGTCTTTGCAAGAGCGTGACATTGGAGTTGTTTTGTTTAACCACTTTTTCCACATGCTTGAGTGCGCCTCCGTTTTAAAGGTCTCGCAAAAAGTCATGATTTCTTCGAGCACAGCTACACAAGGGTTATCGATCTTGAAGCATATTGCAAAGCTTAATTCTGCACTAAAATGTGAATGCCTTAGAGTAATACTTAACTTTAACTTAAACTTTGCGGATGGGCGAGTTCAATGGGCCGACCACTCGGCCGCGCTTCCTCCCCAAGTCGTCGTCCCTGGTTGGTATTTTATGGTTTTTTTGATGTTGTTAGACCTTGAAAGCTACGTCGTGGAATAGTCACGTGATAGTGCATGGCGTTTTCAAACAGTCACATGATTATGAAAAAATGTTATTGTATATTTTTATTCCATACTCAGTATCTTTTTTTACTACCATAGTAAACTGAGATTAACTGAAGTAAGAGTAACCCTCGAATTCGACAGTTTTAACTGCGCTTCTGCATTTCAGTCTGTGCCGGGTTTATGTGGTTGCTACTAACAGTTTAGACACCAAAACAACATGAACAGCCATGGTATAAAGGCAGGTTTAATTCCCACACTTCCCAACAAATTTCGACCTTAAGTACTGCTCGATGAGCTAGTCAAACGGTAATTTTTGTTTTATCACACGCTAATAAACTCCCTGTCGAATTCATTACGTACAAGTTAATCTACAGTTCACTTAATAAGTCAGTTTCAAGAGAGGCTCGTTCAGTGCCAACAGTTTCTTCATAGCAATGATGCAGTCTTAGCAATTCTTTATAAAAGCTGAGACGGAAACAAAGAACCCGCTGTTATTCCACATCTACCTTATGACAGTTAAAAATGGGACTTACCCAAGAAGAGATTGAGAAAAACAATGTGGTCTGACTGGTTGAATCTATGGTGAGGGTTGCCTTGCCTTGCTCCTGACATGCCTTTCCACATTCCCCAACATACTGCACCACAAACTGACACTTTGATCCTTTTGCCAGCCGGCTTTTGCTTTCTGATTTGATTATTGGAACTCTGAAAACCTGGGAGTAAAAGGATGAGTTTGCTGTAAGCAACGGTTGATTATGTTTCAGTGAAAAACACATACGAAGCAAGACTTTTTGATGTTACTAAATCCAGTCTTTATACCTAACTTTACCACACTTTAAAGTGCAAAGGCAGGAAATATGCCCAATTGAAGGGTGAAAGGTGGTTTGTTACTTTAAGAAAGAGTCTGAATTTGAATTTAGGCACTCTACTGAGAATTAATGGGTAACGTAGAAGAGCAATTTCTAGTGATTATAACAAAAATAATAAACACTTTTTTTCACATTGTCACTTCCTCAAACCTATCTGACCAAGCTGATTCCTCAGATATTTATATTTCCTCTTTTGTGCATCCTTGGACAAAAAATATCCAGCCGAGGTGTGAGATGTTTGTTTAAAGTAAATATTGCGAGGCTGTTAATACAAACTGTTCTATACTCACAGATTCATTGCCTTGATTCAGGGTGACAAAACTTTCTTGCATGATGTTCTCTATTTCAAATTCCACTTTGATCTCTTCCTGTACTAACAATGTATAAAAATCTTGGCTTCTCCTGCTGTCCACAGTCACAAAGGAAACTTGTCTGCTGAACCCTTCCTTTTCCTTCAACTCACGACAAATTTCTTCATAGACCTATTTTTTTAAAAGAGCCATGTCAAAGAAATCACGCTACGATAAAAACATCGTCACAAAGCTGTATTTGTGAGAGTATGATTAATAAGAGGTCATTCAATCACTACGTGTACCTCGCAGTCTTCCTCTGGGAGTAAGTATAGGAAAAACGTCTTTTCATTTCGTTCTGGGCAAGTATATTCCATGAGAAAAATCCTGATCACTATTCCAGGAGATGGCACCTGGAATGAAAGCTCACAGACATCTGAAAGATAGACAAGATATGTTATGCATGATTAACCGAGACTCGTAGTCCTTTATTTACTACATCAACCGAACATGAAAAGGTTTTCACGCAAGGTCACTGTTTACTTTCGAGGTTCCTAAGTATCCGGAAAGACATTTACGTTACGCAAAACGCACGAAACTTGAATACCACTAGTTGTACTACTGTAAATAACAAGCGACTGCCTCGACGAAATTTGTTTCATGGTCTCTTCAAAATGGTCCTGTTTTGGGTGAGACAAAGACAACGTCCTTGTTGCCGAAACTGATGTCATTTGAAAAGGAAAACTGAGTTGCTAGTTGGTCCTTGATGTACCTAAATTAATCCATTCAAATCATATAGTTAAAACACAAAAATATAGAAAAGAATTCGCATCTCTTCACACTTACTTTCCTTCGGTCTTTTTTCCTGCGGTGATGGTCCTGTATCAAGGCGTTCGCCTCGCTCAGAATTTACACTTTCTCCATCTTCTAACGAACTGTCTGGAAGAGAGGGAAGAGTAGCACTATATACTCGAGAAACGACGTTAGCTACATGCGGAATTTGTGTTGTTGTAAAACTTGCTCTATTGCTGATGTTAGTGGCTCCTCCGTCGCAAAACCCGCACTGCGGCGTTCGATGAGCTACTGCCATGGAGAAACCTTGGGCGCCATTGTTGTCACACGAACAGGGTTCGCCTTTATCGCTGGGGGCTTCATTTGTTGTCCCAGTGACAGATAGCTGTCGTACGGTACCAGGAGATGTGTCTTGTTCGGAGTCCTCGCTATCATGGTCTAAATTATTCCCTTGGAGACTTAAGTTAGACGCATCTTCATCAGCGAACTGCTCGTCGATGGTTCTTCGCCTTTGTTTGGAATTTCGGTCCCTTCCATCATCCTAAAAGAAGCAAAGTCATGTCGATGAATGACACATTCGTGGCAACATGCAATTTCACTTAGCCGTTAACTTCCAGTCAAAGAGAAAATGAAGCCACAAATGACTGACTCTCGGAGGTTTTTAACCGAAAAGCACAGGTCACAAAGCTAAAGCCGAAACAATTAAAGAAGAACGGGTACAGAAAGTAAAGTTTCTGTTTTACCGAAGAGATTTTGGGTAAAATATTACGGATGCAACCTGAGTAAGAGGAACACTGAAAATTTTTAACCAACCATGTTTTCTTTTTCCTTTTTTCAGTCCTCTGAGACCACTTTTTCGAGCTCCATGTATTACTACGAAGTTTACTCATACATTTAAATTTCATTCACACATTTCATTGATTCAGTCTTCAACCCACTTGATAGAACAAAACTGTCACGCCAATTTAGCAATTTGATTGGGTAAAAGAACCAGTCGCGTAGGGGAATCCCCGTTATGTGAAGACTTGAAACTGAAAGTACTTGCCTAATCACTTTTTGGACTGAAAATGTGCTTACCAAATCAACTTTTACAATTGTAGAAATTACGTTTTACTGTTTCTTGAGGTAAACTAAGTAACGCTTAACTTTCTCGCTACCTTTTGGTATACCACAGCACTCGCCACAGTTAAAAAGTATTTAAGCTCAATACAAGTTTAAACGGATCGATTGTTATATTTTAGTTCAGGCTTCCTCGAAGTTTACAAGAAAGGATTTGGACACTGGGATTGTGATAATACCGTGGTTTGTCCTACAGCATCGCGTTTACAACTACTCGATGGAAATTGTCATCTTTTTTCTTTCCTTCTTGGTAAGTATCAAGAATTACGTTAATGTAAAGCGGTCTCACTGTTCCGAAACTCGAACTAAGCAGTGTAGAAAGGCGACTTCTTGAGTCTCTGAAGGCAGAAACTTAGGAAGGACTTGGCGAGAAATTAAGCTCTTAACCTTAAATTTTGACAATGTCTAGTTTAATTATGTCCCTGTATCGATAACTACCTGACTTTTCTTACTAACAGCAGAAGCTTGCGTATGTCATTTCTCCTCTTTAGGTGAAATTAACATCCTCATCCATATTTTGTGAAGAAAACCAAAGGGCATACGGTCTGTTTGGATCCTTGGGACTTGATAACTTAACTGTTCAGGCGCTTGGCTTTAGCATCATTATTCTTGTCTTGGCTTATAACCTTTTGAGGCTAAAGCAAAATGAAAGTGTAAGAATTGAGATCGAGCCATCGTCGAATAAGGATGACTCTCAAGATCCCGGTCCAAGTGAGTAACTGGCTATCAGGATAAATGTTATCTCCTGTTGTTTTTATTCCCTCAGCTATCAAAGAGATCATTTGACTCAGTGAGCTATTTTATGAGACTGAGCATTCAGCAGTGGAACTTGTACTGCCAATAGCGGTGTCCTCTACCATGAGTTCTGTATGCAATTCATTTTGCGAGGAAAAGAGCAAGTGTTACCCACTGTCAAAGAGATTTTCCACCAGTCTTAGTAAACCATGAAGTCAGTCTAACTTTCAAGCACATAACCGAGTTTCTCTTCACAATTTGCCTTCATTGAAGGCTTCAGATGCGACACATTTCACACACAAAAAAAAAACAAGTAGAGCAAAGACCAGAAAGACCATTCAATGTGCCGAAGTTACTGAAATAACGTAGTTCGGCGCGAAATCGCCTTTTTGTGTATATTTTGAAACTCCTCGCATGCAAAAAATGTAACGAATATTACAAGTGCATGGTCAGAACTCGATTTACCGGTTTGATGGTGAACTCACTCGTACGCACATTTAAAGAGTTCCGCAACCTCTAGTACGGCATTAAAAAAGAATTAATAATCATTTATACTTCTTCGTGTACTAATTTTGTTACCTTCGGGTCATAGAAAGGTTGTGCTTTGAGCGCCGGTCTAGTGCTATTAGAAGCTAAAGAATGTAGAACTCAAATTCAGTTTGGATCAAGCTAAAACGGCGAGCATTTATGGGGTAATATGCAATATTACAGTTTTCAGTCCTCTCAAAATTACAAGTGCATTTTATAGCCTGCACATCATTATTACAACTATATCATATCATTATAGCACAAATATGTCATATTCAGTTATTATTACAACTGTTTTTTTAAAGAACTCGAAGAGATCATCGCAGATCCAGAGTATCCTAACAGATATACAAAAGACCACGCAGTATTTGAGAAGGCAGGTGTGGAAGTTTTAGCTTCCAGAAATAGCTCTAGACCAACTGGAAAACAAGTGCGAGTACCGTGTGATATGGCGTTGCAAGCTTTATATGCGAGTGAGTCAGCAGAGCCTGATCTCTTGCAGGAGGATGAATTGTTACTAAGCCCCATACTAACTCTGATGTCAAGTACAAGGTTAAATGAACTGCTTGAACTTCGCATACCTCATAGTGCTAATATGGTTTTATCGTGTAAGAATTGGACAGTAATTTTGAAAGAGAAACTAAACAGCGCAAAGTGGGCCTCTGTAGCAGAGACTGATAAGAAGGAAGCACAAGGAATAAAAAATTTTGTAACAAACAGCAACCATGTGAGGTTTGACACCGACCATCTGTCGACATTTGCTATTGTTGGTAAATACCACAAGTCTTCTTTGTCAGTGTTAAAACGAATGAAGCTTGCAGCGTTCTCTACTGGTGCTAAAGTTGGAGAGGACGTTTCAATCCGGATTTATTGTTTCGATGACTGCGAATGGTCATTAGAGGTACGTCAGTTTCTTTTGATTCGCACGATTTAGTCAGATTTTGCATTAACGAAACTACTTTCATTTTACGACCAGTAAGAAAGAAATTGGAAGGCTAAGGGTGGCGTATGCGATTTGGCATACATAGAGGTACATGGGCCGAGCTCAGTGCTGCAATCAAAGGTTTCCTTTATCGTCACTGCGACCTTCTGGTTATTTACACTGTGATCGTGATGGAGTGGCCAGCTTAATTACCTGCCTCAGATTTCACTTCCTAAGTTAACTTTCAACTTTTTCTTAATACAGAGAATAATGGCGAGGGAGCAGAAGGAAGGAGGAAAAATGGTATCATCAATTGAATCACTAAACTTCTCTGTTACCCTAGAGAATGATGTAGAAATTACCGTAAAGGACGTTGCAGACTGGCAGCTAAACCAAGATTCAACAAAGGTATCAGATCTCACTGTCTCAGTAAATTGGCTAAGCTATGCGCTTTGAGCCTGGCCATGTTAAATGGACTAGTAAGAAAGGCTTAGACTAGATATGGCTGTTTTTGCTTTATGTCGATAGATTCACGAAGATGTTGGGATGTTAATTTACAATGTAGTACACAAAACTTGGTTCGCTGTACCTTTGCTGTTTGTGTAGCTCTGGTACGACTCGTATATGAATAAAAAACAAAAGAATTGTACACCAGCCAAGTTATGGGGAGGGGGGGAGGGGAATTTTTGAGCCGCAGGAATTGTTTTTCGTTATCAAATTCCTTGAATGAATTTTTTTTAGGCCGTAGCATGAATATTTTTTAGAGTTAATTAGCGTGCATGAATTTGTTTTAATTTAATTTTGCCTTGCGCGAATATTTTTTTTGTACTTCGCCCGCCCCCCCATAAGTTTTCTAATGGTCCGTCCCTAAGCGAGTTCGGATGTAACGTCACCTGTCTAGTTCAGGAGGCGCTAAGTTCCAAGCCTCCTCCGCTCACTTGGATACAAAGACGTAGCCACTGCACTTTATTAACTATGGTGTCTTAGACCTTTGAAATACCTTTTGACCTTGAACCTCTTTCTTCACAGAAACTCAGTTATACTTCCTTGAAGAGCTCCTTCAACCTTATCCCTTACTGCGAACTTATGTTTCATCCTACAAACAATACAGGCAATGGCTTTTTTGTTGCAATGACCTTTGCTCAACAGCCGTCAGAGAAAACCGTGCTGTATGCTAGTGTAACAATAAAAAAAAGGTGATTGAGTACCGTATTTATTCGATTAACCACCCTGGGGCTTATTAAATTTTTGGACCTTGAGAGTTGCGCTTATTCGAAGCTTGAGCGAAGATGTAACAAAGCAAGGTTTCTGTACAAGACCCTGAAGAAAACTCCGTCTTCGGGAGGGTCTCTTATTATCTCTCATTGGAGTTTTTGTGGGAGGGAGTGGGGTGGGGTGGGTGCTAATTCGAGGTTGGGCGCTTATTCGAATAAATACGGTATCTTCAGATGATCCCCAGTTTAAGATTTTCATGCACAGTCCAGTTCCATTACAAATAACAAGGTAAATAAATCTAAAAAAGGAAATTAAATTTCTGTTAAAACGGTTTTTTACAACTGTATAGTTGTACAAAAAGCTGGATTTTTGCATTAAAAAAAAAACAGTATTTCTACAACTGTATAATTTTTAAGCTTGTTTCCAAAAAAGTGCCGCTTTTTTACAAGGACGGCTTTTTTATGCAACGATGTATTATGTAAGCAAACATACCATGTTCCTTTTGGTGGTGCTAGGACCAGGTCTCAATTTGAGAGGACGTGGTGCTAAGTTCTAATTACAAAGCCGTTATGATCTGATAATTGAATTTTTAACCAGCCGATAAATATAATACATTTTGACGACCTTCTTCTGACCAAGTGTGTTTCTTTCTTTTTCGATATCTTTGGAAAGAAAGGGTAAAAGATTCAACAATATGTACGAAGAGTGAAAGTAAAACCACAAGCATGCAAAATTCCGCAATAAAGCAACTGCATATTATATTAGTGTCAAACTTGCATGTCAGATAAAAATGCATATATTTCCATTATTAGGGAAGGTGCAGTTTTAGCACATAGCTGAATCCTATTCCCGAATCTGAAATTTAAGTGGATGCCAATTCATTCTACGGCAAAGATGATTCCTTTGCCTGACCTGTATGATCATGTCACAAGAAAGCCTTTATCCGCCCATCATTTGCAACAACTTCCTATAAGTACAATCAGGTGCAGATCTCAGCTAGCTCTATTGAACTTTTTCAAAGAGGATCCCTAGCTTTAGTCTGCTATTTTACACTGAACCAAAAGCACTGTAATCTACACCTTTTAAGCTTGTTGTCACAATTTTCTGCTACAAAATAAATGTTTATCATCAGATTACCTGTGTTTGCTCATCTTGTTGACAACCCTTCCTTTACAAGTAGAAAGGGAATACATAGTAGAAAGGAGTTCAAGTGGACCAAGGACTCATGCCGACTCATTATCAATGCACTTCTCTTAGTGTATTATAACAATAACAACAAACCATTCGCCGAATTTAAAAAAAAATACAAGAGAAGAATAAATTAACTAAAATCGAGGCAAAAAAACTTCACAGAATAGCAAAATCTCAATGCACGGAGTCCTTCCGACAAAAAACTGCATATTCTGGGTTCTGACACACGAAAATTGAAGAGGGGAAAACGGGGGCGGATCTAGGGGGAGGGTGCAGGGGTGCACACCCCCTAAGATGATCTGCGGTTTTCTAATACAACTGGTATTCTGCAAAAAAAAAAAAAAACTATGTGGTTTATTGGTTTTGAAGTAGAGCAAGAGACGAGTGCACCCCCTCCTGAAAAAAATCCTGGATCCGCCCCTGGGAAAATAAATAACAGAGTACACGAGAAGATAAAAGAACGAACCAGTCAAACAATCTAATTAATCTAAGGAATTCAATTAAGAAAAACAAATAAAAAAGAAAGAAAGAAAGAGCAATGTGGAATAGAACGGTTCCAGATAGCAGTAAAGTTTTTATCAGTTACTGAGTTATGGGCTAAGGTGACAGGTCTAACAGCGTTCAGCTTCGATACTGGTAGAGTTCCATTGTTGAACTTGAGGTTAGATTGATACCACATCGACAAAAAAAGGCGAAAAGGACTGAAGAAAATCATAACTAGCACTAGAAAAAATTGTCAAAATTGACGCAGCATCTGAAAAGATGCCACCACTACATGACAACCAGTGACTTGTAACTAGATGGTAATGCTTAAAACCGTGTTACGAGTCTGATAGGAATAGACCTTTCGCGCATTATGCTCCAGTGAGCAAACATAGATACACCCGAGCCTCGAGTTGGTGCCTTTGTTTACAGGAATGCGGGAAAGGTCTATGAAACAAGCCATTCAGATTATTTACTATCCTTTAAAAGAAGTACGAAAGCCATTTCCTAAACGACGAGTTTCTTATAACTGTAGACCCTGTAAATAAAACAAAAGTTTAACGAAAGGTCGATACTTTGAAAAAAAGCAATCAATAAATAAGTGAATAAACTAGCCGATCAAAAACTTAAGTTTAGATAGCCATCTCTGATTTTTATGACCTTCATTTTGATTATCCCCAGGTAAACAAATAGCACGACAGCCCAGCCAATCTCTTTTTGTTGCAAACACATCACTCATAAAAGGTCGGAAAGATTTTTTTCTCTAACTGAGCCTTTTCTCGCATGAATGCTTTCCCGAAAGCTTATTATTTTGAAAACAACAAACTCTTCAATGTTGCTGAGTTATAATCGCTTTATTCGTTTTTACCCAAATATTTTGTTACAAACCGTTCGAAAAACTGATGCACTGGGCACTGAATGACTAAGTTGGCAGCGCTCTTTAAATACCTACCAAAAAGCAATTAAATTATTTCCAGTTAAAGGAAATTCCTGATTTTTTATACAAATGTTAATTCTATTTTTCTGAAATACACCCTTATTTTAAAAAATATATATCCCAAAATAGTAAAAAAAGAACAATGAAGCAACTTTTCATGGACAAAATATTGAATCCACCTTTACACGGTGACACAGCTTAATCAATATTTTTATATACAGGTTGACAACAAGGTCAAATCAAATGTGTGTTTCACATATTAAAAACATTTTTCTCTTGCCTCACTTGCCTGAAGTGATGCTGACACCTTTCAATAGATTAATCAGTGTCATGTTGGTGTCTAAGAACTAGATATTATCCTACTACTGGAGCAGGGCTAGTCCAAAACATGGCAGGTCCCCGGATGTGATCAGTTTTCTTTACAACTGCCATAATGCACCCAATAGAAATAAACCAAAACTGTTCACGCAAGGACTACAACTGGCATCATTAGCTCTCCTCTTATAATGAAAAAGGGTACGATATTGTTACTGATGCTCGTTTTTTTCTTCCTGACACAGTCATCACATTCAGTCACATCTGTTGAACATCATAAATGCGAATCCAATCTCGAAATAACTATTCAGTCTAAACTTCCAAACTTTGACATATTTAGCTATGCATGTCATTTACAACAAGTAGTATATCTAAAGCTGAAATTGAAAGCAATATGATAGTAAAACTGTTAAAAAGTAAAATGATCTCACTAGCTATTACAAAAAAGAACAGCAAAATTAACACGTACTAGGGATATTACTAATATTAACCAACTTGCATTGGACAAGATGATTAAAAAGGACTGCACAGGTTTGCAAGATATGGGCATTCCACCTGTCAGAACAAATTGTTGGCTTCACAAACCACAGAGTACGATGTCAACAACAAACAATAAATACACTTTATGTTAAGAACGATTGTTTTTGAAAGTAACCATCCTTGAGATCATACTAACAACTATTAATATCACACGTTTGAGAGTGACTCTAAGTTTAAAGGCTTTCAAATAAAATATTATTGCACTCTTTCCACGAGAAAGGCAAAACGCCTTTGTTTCATGTGTATAGCTTTCTGCCATACTGCATAGGTGAGTAGCAAAATGAAATCTGATGATTATCATTTAACGAATATGACTTCCATGAAGCCATCAACTAGCTTCATATATCAGCTCCATTGTGTCTCTTTTTCTGTAAAATGGCAGCTGCTCCTTGATTTTCACGCTTGGATTGCATAACTTTGATGACAAAGTCAAGGACATTTCCTTTTGTCTGAATGGTACGCAACAAATGAGAATTGCGTTCCTTCTTCGTGCGTAAAGACATGACGTGATCCACGTCATCAGTATCAAGAATTCTGTGTTGGTACAAGTGGTCACAGAGTGATATTGGATCACCAATATTGTCCAGAAGTTCAACTAGACAAGAGCGCAAGGCGTCTCTGTCCTCATCTGGCATAGTTGTGACTGAAAAATAAGGACATTTTTGTTAGCATCACTATCTCATTATTACTAAAAAGCTTTTTTCTAAAACAGCATTTCCCATTGCAAGGAAGACCAAATTCAAGTAGAACTGAATTATGTATGAAATTCGTAAATACACACACGGTAAAAAACCACTTGATTTTCACAATATAGACGAAAATACACACCCATCTACCCATCTATCAAATCTATGTACCTTTAAAAACTACAAAACATAACTTTTTTAATATTTCAGAATATAGGTCATAGATGGTGGGAACTCTGCTGCTCACTTCTTTCTTGGTTAATGAATTAATAAAACCAATTTGCACCCGTAAACAGCAATAAACGATGAATGGAAGAAAAATTGAACTAAACAACAACTAACGACTCTATACCTGGACAACCACGTGGCCAAGGAGAATTGCTTGCTTCGTAATACTGGAAATGACAAAAAAAAAATACTTAACAATAAATACGATCTGCTTCTATAACTGGAAGATGTAGATAAATTACCTAAAAAAATAATATTTCCAAATACATGTTAACTAAACTGTACCACAAGTAGGTTAACTGGGCAGTACCTTTGAATTACGTCACACCATGCAAGCAGGTTCTAGAAATCAAACTTACTCTACACATTGTGAGAGATGCTATTGACATGAGAACTTGACCCAAACTTAATGGCAATTTTCACTTAATGTAGCTCAATTACTATGCTCAAAATCTGTCAAATTGTAGATACTAAGGCAGGAATTCTGAGGAACGTAGCTTACAGCAACAGGAAAAATTAAACATATAGTTGTGCTTCCAGTTTGGAGCGTTACTCTAACACTGTCCTCGTAGAGCTTGTCTCTGCCACCAAGGCATTTGATCAAAACTTCAACTGAGAATCCAGCTGTGATGCGCTCATTACTCTGAGAAATGATGTCAGCAACAGTTACAGTTCTCTGCAATGTAGAAGAAATAAGAAGCAATTTTATAAATTAGTCCAAATTATACTTGGTGTGGTTCAATTAGAGAACACATATAGCAATGCCCTTTTTCAGGGCAACCACTCATGACAAATCAAAATTCTTTGACTTCCACATGCCTTTGGCCTCGCCTCTAAACCATTTTTTTGACCTAGCTTGCATTTACATTTTGCTTCATTTTCAACTCTTTCACATAGCGTGAATATTCGTCTCTTGTATATGTTCATCTAGGGATATGGTTTCCTAGAGCATCTTGTATCAAATCGATTAACCACTTAATACTTTTCTGGTTGAAACATGCCTCTTTTATTATCTCATGAAACACCAAAAAACAGAGTTACAATTGTAACTGACCTTGCCAATAACTATAATTATTTCCTATTTAATTTTTTTAATTCCCTGCTCCTTAAAAGAAGATAAATTTTCCTATAATTTACCTTACTCAGTACTTGTGGCAACCTTCAGTTGCTAAATCACGTATTTACAATCAGTATAAAACCATCAGTCATTCAAGACCTTTATTCAACCGTCTAACCTCTAGCTGGCCATCATCATCTACAAATCGCGACACTGTACTAACATAATGAAACTACTTAAGACTTATTACAATACATAAGCTAGAACAAAATATATAAACGCATACGCGTTTGTAAAATTAATGAACGGATTGTTTTCTTTTCAAAATCAGGTTACACTTAAATATATTTTTCTATTAGTCGTGTTGTTGTTTAGCACACTTTCAATAGTCTGTAGTGGGTTTTCTCGTGTTTCAGTTTGAACAGCTTTGTTGAGTAAAGTTTTACGCAAGGAGAGCGAACTTCTTATCGCTGTCATTAAAGTAAACCTACACGGAATAACTGCTTAATTTTTTAAGAATTTTAGCACTTATGTACTAACGCTATGATCAGTTAATTTTACAACATACCGTGCAAGGTTCCTCAACTGAGAATACCTGACCAACAACCATTTCAAACTTGACATATAATTTGTCAGCAATTATTAATTGTCGATGAAGTTTACATTGCTGCATGGGTTTGTCTTCTTCCCCCATAGGAAATTCTGTTCCATGACAAACAAGTGCTTCATGCCTTTTAATTTTGGGAAATATCTACAATACAAAAAATATCCGTCAGGTATTGAGCATGACACAAATACACCGTGTCATAGATACAGATAATTCACATGACTAACCTCATGATATTTGTGAACGGGGATAATGTATAGAGCATGCTCAAGTTTATCCCTGGCAATTATCCGTCTTTTAAAAAGACATATAATATAGAGGCCTTCGTTGAGTTTCATGGTACCTAAAAAGGATGATAATAATACAAAACGGTAAATGAAATCTGTATAACCCTTACGAATTAATATTATCGATATCAGACTGCAGTTTTATAATGAGAAAAAAGGTTAAGGAGAGTTTAGGTTGTCTTACGTACTAGGTAAAACGTCCAAACCCAACTTGGTATCCTTCTTTCCACTTGCGAAGAAATCTTTCACATTACTGCCAGCCTCTTGCCGGCGAGCAGCGGGGCAGTGAAGTGACGGTAATGCTTCTGGTAAATCGACAATGATCCAACCATCAGTATCTTCAGTAGCAGAAAACACAGGATCACTTGTCGCACCATATTCCGCCCCTGATCTCGAAGCCAAATATCCCTCATGACTATCGAAATAACTGGAGCGGTGGGGGTTATTCTCGAAGCCATTATTATTATTATTTAGCTGTATTCTGTGAGGAGAAGAACGTTTTGAGCACGCAGACATCGACTCCTCAGGAACGGATATCGGTCCTGAAGAACTAGGCACTTCGACGCGTTCTCCTGAAATCTCCAAACGATCCACATGCACCTCTTGAGGATTCGAGAACCACAATTCATCAAAGTGTAATGGCTGCGATTGTCTCTCATGTTCTGCCTCAAGAAGTAAATCTTTCTCCCTGTCATCGGAACTACGTCGAATCCGAGAGTGGTGTGAATTACTGTATGTTCCGACTGAGTTTACAAACGTTCCGTAAGACGATGTTGACGGAATAACCGCTCTTTCGTGGCTGTTTCCGAAGTTACTTCCTGAGAAGTCGATGTTTTGGATTTCTTTGTCTACCATGTCTATGTGAACATGCAAACAAATAAAACAGCGCCGGCACAAACTTAAAGGTAATTCGCCACGATGTTAATGAAGCTTTAAGTATATAATTCTAGTGCTTATAAAAGAACACAAAATGCTACCATAAGCATCGTTACCCTAAGCCAATAGCTGCTGCGTCTTTAAGCACGTGGGCTGAGTTTTTTGTTTGATTCAGTTATGTGATTGGGTAGAAAGGCCTTGAAAGTGAAAGTCATGTGAGGGGGAATCCCCCGAGCACAAACTTTTTAGTGTTTGTGCGTTGGGGAACTTTTTTATTTCCCGCATACGCAATGACAGTGAAACAATAAAGTGGATGCAGCGATTCTAGAAAAGTAAGTATTGAAATTCTGCATTTTCTTCAACTTTTTCAAAGTACACATGCAACAGAGCATCACGTACACACTTATTAACGATCACAGGACAAGTCCGAGCATCAGAGACAACATACAAAACTTTAGGTTTTATTGCAATGCAAGCACCTTATGTGACAATGAGAATACATTACGTGATTAGTAAGCGATTTCTAAACTACCTTATGACGTCAAAGATTTATTAGCAACGGCGGCTGTCTGGCTGCTGTCTGAAATTCTCTGCATTAGATTTCAGGTACTAGTTACAAAAGACGGGAATATGGATGTACGTGCCATATATCTGATTATCTTGTTGGATTTTCATCTTATTTTAACTGTAAGTATGGCATAAAACAATAAGTCACCAGGGCTTGATAAGACTAATATTTCAGAATCCACCACATTACCTTTGTACAGTATGTCTTGTTTAAGGTGGACCAGAGCAGATGCTAAGTAGGTGAATGGGATGGGCTAAAGTCTAAGGAAGGTTAACATTCCACGGGAGAATCAATCTACTGTTTTATTATATACATACTGAGAAATACTCACCAAAAAGCTATGTCGTAAATTTTCGTACGCAAATTAGTTATAGCCAATCAGAGGAGCGAACGATGGTTTTCACACGTGAAAAAAACGATACGTCCAATCAGAATCGCGAACGATGTTTTTTCACGTGTGAGAAAAATGATACGTCCAATCAGAAGCCACAGAGGTGTACGAGTTTCGCGCCAAAATTCCCGCCTTCTATTGCAGCTTGCAGCGCCGCTTCGCACACATTTATCAACGAGAAAAGTTTTACTCAAGGAGTTTTTCTCGCTAAAAAAGGGAAAAACATTTCGGAAATGGAGTGGAATAGTTTCGTTTGTTTCACTGTCGATAAAAAAATACGGTAGAGAGCCGGCGAAACAACAGCGGAAAGGGATAAACAGAACGAGACGTAAGCTTTTGTTGTGCTTTTTGTCGGAGCTACTTTGCCTTTCATTTAAGCTTAACCTTATATTGAAACCGGCCATTTTACTTAAATTCACTCATTTTCAATTGTGCATTGAGAACAAACAGTTAAGATTACGTATAGCTCTTGGATTAAACCTCATATCCTCACCGTCATTTATGTTTTTAACAAACGTTTTTACTAAAAAGCTGATACTTCGTTTTCGTTGTCATTTTGCGGTAAGTGTGTAGCGGCAAATTTTAGCATTTTTGAAAGATTTAAAATAAAAAGGCCCGCAAAATGATGAATGACTCAGTATGTATATAATAAACACAATACCACAAGGAAAGTGCTGGCGTACGGTATTTACGCACTCGTTGTTTTTGTATCAGAAATCTTACTCGTTCGCTGCGCTCACTCGTTCGATTTCTGATACGTCAACAACTCGTACGTAAATACCGTACGCCAGCACTTTCCATGAAGTATTCTCTATATATGGCTACATTGACACTTGAAAACAGCACTTGTCTCACTCAAAAGTGAATCTTTAGGAACCCTGCAGAAACACTGGCAAACCAAAACTTCCTACTTCCGCCTTGATCATAACGAAGATAGAAAACTTTTATGTTCACACTTTAAGAATGTGATCTGTTTGATTGTCTTCTTAAGGTTTATTCAAGTTGTGGTGGTGATGAGTTTACAGTTGAAGATGACGACTCAGGCCGCGTGATCTCTTGTATTAAGTGTTCTAAGTATATGTGTAAACCTGGCTTTGGACTGTCTCCTCAGTGTGGTGAAATAGTAAAACTAACTGACGTAAAAAAAATAGGTTGTCGGCAATGTCAAGTTGGAAAAACGTACTCTGATACCAATAAAGATTATAGTTCTTGCAAGCCATGTCAAATATGTCCAGACTCTCATACAGTAGTGAGAAACTGCACTTTGAAAGCCAATTCGGAATGTAGTCGAGACTGTGGGAAGAAGTTCTATTTTGAGGAAACAACAGGGTCCTGCAAGCGATGCTCATTTTGTTGTCATGGAAAGAACGAAAAAAAAGATGACTGTAAAGATATGCCCTTCTACGAGCAGTGTGATGCTAATCTCCCCCTGAAAACTATTAATGACTGTAAACCGAAATGCAAAGATAATCAGTACATTGTAATGACCAAGAATGGTTCACACTGTGAGGACTGTAAACACTGTCCTCTTGGAACTTCCCCATCTATAAAATGTGGAAGTATGGTGGAAAGTACTGCTGGCATTAAATGTTTAGGATGTGAGGCAGGTCAGACATTTTCAGACAAGCTAGACACTGGTTCCTGTAAAACGTGTACTAAATGTTCTATTGGACAGAAAGAACTGATACCATGTAATGTGACAAGGGATAGAGCATGTGGTGAGTGTGATAAAGGGTTTTATAAAGATCACACTAGTAATTCATGCATGCCATGTTCAGCATGCTGTAATGATGACGAAGATGTACGTGTTGAAAAATGTGCAGAAGAAAACATGCCATTAAGTCTGCAGTGTAGTTATACTAGGAGAGCTATCAGTGTTTGTCAACAAAAGATACAAGAAAATACAAAGCAGGAAGACTCCAGAAGCTTGTTAGCTGTTTATATAGCCGCTGGTGTTACAATGGGACTTGCGACTTCAATTCTCATAATGCTATTGTTGAGGTGGAGACATCAAAGGTACAAGAGGCTGTCAGGAAGTCATTCACTTACAATGCTACTTCCATCTGAAGAAGAACAAGAAGAAGAAGGTTACTATATTCATTATTCATCCAGTTAAATATTTTGTGCTTTTTAATAGGTTCAAAGCCCCCAACCGCCGTTGGCCAAATTTAGATGATGTTAGTTATATGCAATTGATCTAATGGTATATTTTCGTGGAAATGAGGTTGACCAATGGTATATTTGCTTGGAAACAAGGCCTTCACCTCAGTGGATAACATTCCCTGGATTTGCATAATTCTTGACACCATACACAGCCTCATTCAATATAATTGCTAAATATATTCAATATATGTAGCAACATGCATATTTTCCACACCATTCTCTGAACATTCTTTGTGATTATGTCAAGAAGAAATTGATAAGAAACCATGATATTTTTCCTTGGCAATCATTTACTTTACTCCCATAACCTTAGTTAATGTTTGATTGAGCTGTGTTAGTTTTAAGGAGAAACAAGGTACTTGTCACTTGAAAGGCTTGAAGGACCTACCCATCCCCTAAGCCAACATTAACACTTACTTCTCACTTACAACAAAAATATTGGCTTAGGGGAGGGGTAGGTGGGCAGTTTTTCAGAAACGTATAAAGATCCTTTTAGGATTACAAGACACAAATGTAGCAATGATAAAAGGTCTAATCAGGTGGGGTGCTGCAGAAACTTCAACTCTAAAATGTAGACACAGCTTTTTATGGTATTATGGCTGCTAATATTTAAAATTCAAATCAAATTTACACAAATTGCCCAATGACCATGAAAATACCAGTCTGCGCGCTTAATTAAATTAAGCTAATAATTAAGCTAAGAATTAATTAGGGAACACAGAAAAGAAGTATTGATGGCCAGTCTGTATATATCCCTATTGTGGACCTTGTCCCAACCAGTGTCCTGACAAACAATAGTACCAGCCTGCATTTCATATATTTTTTGTTATTTTCTATTATAGCAACGAGCCATTCTTGCACGAAACTTGAGGATCCAACAGTAAATGTTTCACAGGAGACTTTATCCTTTGAAAAATGTGGAGTCTTACTTCATTTCAATGATCCACATAGCTTCTTTAATGATGCTCAACAGATAAGAGTAGAAATATGTTGGGATCAAACTTCTTTTCCCGCTTCGAATCAAGATGAAGTGCAACTCAGTCCCATTATTAAGTTTCACCCTTATGGCATAAGACTGTCGAAGCCTGTGCAAATTAGAATACCACACAGTGCACTAGTATTTTTTACGCATGGTTGGAATATAAAACTCAAAAGTTCAGCATTTCAAAATGAAATAAATGAATGGAGGGATGAGGAAGTGGATGAAATAAGTAACAATGATGTTTGCTACCACGTGGATTGTCTCCTATCCTATGTTGTTGTTGGTACACCAGCGTTCAATTCCAAACCAAACAAAAAGCGTTTCAAGTGTGCAGTTTTTGGTGGTGAAGGCAAAGTTGGTGAGAACTATACAGCATATCTGTATGTGTTTGATGACTGCGAAGCATCGCTTGAGGTAACTTCTTGTCTGTGGCTCATAGTTAACAGTCTCTGACACATAGGGGTGCACAAAGGCTGTCTAATACTTTAGTGAATTCGATTTTATGTTTTTTGTTGGAATGCTTCAAATTCACTTGCATCCCTCTAGTAAATACATGTAAGAACTGAGTAAAACTATCATTAATTCCAGACAGATTGATTATGTGTACTATACAGTACTCCTCTCCCCCCCCCCAACGCTATTGATTATCATGGTCACAACAACCAAAATAGTGTTACAAAAAAATTCCAAGAAACCTTTTCACCAAATTGTTACATGTAGACTGCATGCAAAATATTATAATGTCTGTCCTTTAAGAGTTTTTCCCCCAATCTTCTTAAAGAAAAATAAATCGATGCTATATTTCACATTATTATTTTCTTTCCATTTTCAGAAAATAATGGAGGAAGAAAAGTCTAAGAATAGGATTCTTCTGGGATCTCTTCAGTCTTTATATGTCGAGACTGTACAGGATACTGATATCAAGATTTCTGTTAAACAACTTGTTCAAGGATGGAAGGAAGCATGCATAAATCCACAGGTTATTTAATACTCTCTGCAATGAGTCCTACAAATTATACATTATTATTACCCCGGTAATGGTATACACTATGTTTGTACAGCTTCTTAGACTAACGTTTGATGCTGACAGGTGTCACTTCTGCAGGTTTACAGAAGCTAAACTTAATAAAAAATAAAAATTAGTGATGGTTATGATGAAAAAACAGGTTAGGTGCATGGTCTACAGGAGGTATCTCCCACAACAAGTTTATTTAAATTTTGTTAACCATTTATTTAAAAAAAAAATGAATGATTTATTCATCATAAATCATAAAATTTAATGTTTTAATATATTAGAAATTAAGAGTGCATGTACTGTTTATATTTTTACACAGGTGATAACACACAAGAGTTTGAAGGACTCCTACACAACAATACCAAAATCAGAGATATTGTTTGAACATGACAATGGTAGAAACCGAGACTTTCACTGTACTCTTGAACTAACAGCAGACAACGCAGCAACAAAACTTTCTGCAGTGGCTTCAATCAAAGATGTGAGTTTCACTTAAGTTTAATTTCAAACCTTAATTCAGTGAACATTTTCTTTGCTCCTGTGGACAAAGGAGGCAAATTCATGCTTGAGTTGCAAAATACAGTCATTTCTCTGAAACTGTCCACACAAACAATAAACTCATTTAAATGAGTATTCATACTGGAATAAAATACAGGAAAGGCCTTCATCAAACAAAAATAATACTGGTGTATATACAATTAATACAATGTTTAATAATATGTACCTTTAAAATTACATTAATTTGAATTTTCTGCAGGATCCATTTAGGAGATACCAAGAGAGCAACCAGGGCCTCGGTCATAATGATCTGATGGTGACTGGGAGAAGTCTTTGCGGTAAGTTGTTCTGCCTACAAGATAGACATGTTTACTGAGACATTAGCCAACCTTTAACACCACACTATATCCTATACCGCACCACATACATTCTAATATATTATAGACTTAACTTGCTTACAACCTAGGCTTCTTGCAGTCAGGTCCTAGCTTATCACTACATACAAAATTTAAGTTTATTCTGAAGTCATTCTCATTCAAAGTAACTAAATATGAAACAGTTTAAGGTATACATACGGCTAAAATGGGCAACAAAATGACCTGTCTTGAAGTATTTTAGCTTCTTTTCTTTTCTTGGTTTTGATTATTGTAGAATCCGACTTTTTCACATTTTAGCCGTACATAGCACCTTAAGCTACATACCACTAAACAAAGCACATTTTAAAACATATCAAAATATTTTCCCCTATTGTGTAATCAGTTTCACACAAATCCTGAGTAACCAACTGGCAACTTACAACTGATGCTGATCTTGTAGATCCCTTGATCACCGATGAGAGCAGAACATCAATCTGCTTCCATGAAATTCCAAAGGAGGTACTACAAGCTGTTGCCATAAAACTGGACCTCTCATGCAGAGGAGTGGGAAACTGGAGACACGTTGCAGTACACCTAGGCTTCACAGAAAAGGAGATTGATGACTTTAGAGCAGAATTGTCGACTCCTGATGGCAGTCCATGCACAGTGATGCTTCATGCTCTTCAAGAAAAGCAACCAAAGTTTACTGTAGCAGAGTTTGTACGCATTCTCCAAACTCGCAAAATTCAGCGATTTGATGTGGTCAATATCCTAGAGCCTTATGTGTATGAGCTCATTTCCAGTTTTACTGAAAAATAAGAAAATTCTCAACTGTACTGATGAAGGATAACTTGAAGAAAAAGAGCACCAATAACACAACAACTAATAAAGACACTGTCAGATATCAAAAATATTTACAAGCCCACCCCCCAAGATTGCATGATGCATAGGTGGGTCTATGTGGGAATGCAAGTACAAGGATATAGAGACCTACATTGCCAGGGTTTCATCTTCATTTTACTTACTGGTAGAGCTTAATGTTCTTTGACTATTAAATTTGTGTATTCAGTGGTTGACGGAATTTCTCAAAATAAGAACCTGATCAAAATTGTAGGTAAAAACAGGTTGTTATGTATAAGGGGTCTAAATGGACAATCTTAGCCTAACAGGTTCTTCTGTTAGAATCTAGGTTCTTGTACACAGGTTTTTACTGTATTGACTGGTATAGAGTGCATTTCACACATCTGTGTTAATGAGAATGACATTACAATAACCACCATGATATAGGGATCTATATCTACTACAAGCATAAACCAAACTAGGCCAAAAACCATTTTGATCAACTTTGGAGTTAACGAATGGGACAAACTTGAACTAGAAGTAACACAGTCACAGGATTTATCTTTTGTGAACAATTCTAAACCAAGTAATCTGAAGTAATTTTGTTTTTTTTTTCACCTTTTTTATGATATTAACTTCATTTTCCTAAAATTACCAGTTTCATGAAAAAGATCACAGCAACCCCAACCCCCTATATATCACGTGAGTGAGTGTAGGTTCCTGCTTAATAAATTACTGATTATATTGTTTATTTCGTTTTCTCTACTGTCATCAAAATTAAATAAGCCCCATAGGGGCCATGTGTTAATATTAATGCCCACCAACAATGGGATCACAGTTGTCTTTTAAGCTGGGCTGAGCTAGGTACTTGGTATGCAAAATAAAGTTAACTTTATATCATCAATAGCTGTCATACTTCCCGTGTTGTGATTAATACTTTTATGTTTAACTGTCATTTTCACACACAACCCATAGTTAAAAATAAATCACAATAAAAGGAAATTAAATAGCATTCCTGAACAAGCTGAAAGGTGACAAGGGAGAGTTAGAAGGGTCCCTTTTCCCTACCTCTGTATTGGTGCTCACAAAGCCTTGACATATATGTTTACTTTCTGCCACAATAGCCCATTTGCATAAAGAGGTCATGTGACATCATTTTTATGAAAAGGAAAGTTATATGATTTTGCCTTCGAAAAACGTTTAGTAGGTCATATCTTAAACAAAATAATAGTGATTTGGTCTTTCAAACCCACACCATTCTCTGAAAATGAGTAAGTTCGTAGCTGGTCATGTGACCAAAATGTGATTTTTTAAATTATGCACTTAAACTTCAAGGATAATGTTGAAAAAATGATGTAGTAACGTTTACAGCACATCTGAGCGTAACTACGATTACGTTTAACAAGATATTTTGTGGAAAACCTGCAAAATAGCTTTAGCTAAGTGTTTCTCCCAAGTCAAATAAAGATTATGTTATGTTATACAAGCACAAAAGTAGTTTTGGCTGTCATGTTGGAGGGCAACGGTATGCCCTCCAACATGGCTGCCAAGACAAATTTAATACTTTGTTGAAAATCAAAGTGCCATAAAATTAATATCTCCCTTGAATGCATTTCCTCTGAAAATTCGGGTGTAAGATAATTTTTGTTAATTTTCGGCATCAGCAAGATTCCAAATCATTGTTTATAAAGGAAGAATTGGAGACTATGATTATTGACTTGACAGGGAATAAGCCACGGCATCGTCCCAGAATACAAAGAGGCCTCTGCAGAGCAGAGAGCTCTTAGTCCAGATGGCTTATTCCCTATCAAGTCAATAATCATAGTCTCCATGATTTCCGTGTCTACTTTGCCTCTCGTGCCACGTTCTGGCAATTCCAGCCCTTTTCCCGTCCTATTCTTCTCGCATTTTTAAAGGTAATCACTTTTGTTAATAATATTACGGGCGCCACAATTCTAGCTCATTTGAGTTTTAATACGGTCGGAAGAACGTGAATGGCTAGATTATCATATATAGAGAATACTTCATGTGCTGGAGTGCGGCATTTACGCACGAGTTGTTTACGTATCAGAAATCGAACGAGTGGGCGCAGCGAACGAGTAAGATTTCTGGTACAAAAACAACAAGTGCGCACTTAAGAGGCCCTGCGCCTAAGAAACGACCGATGATTTTCGGCTAAAAAATAAAATCGGCCGATTTTTATCTCCCAAGTAGAGGTTACCGAATACTATTCAAAAATGAATTTCTTTTGTTTCAGTTTCGCTTTAAACGAGAAATATCGAGCCGCAAACTTTTTCCGTCTGATAGCAGCCAAATCAGGCCTAAAATAAGCCCTCGCAAAAAACGGTTCAGAAATCACTATCGCAACGCAAAATAATGAGAAAACTACACAGTGATGAAGAAAAAGGCCTTTTAATGCAATATCATTCGATGAACATCGAAAAACGTCCGAAGTGAATAAAAAATAAATTTTCAAATATTGCATACTAAATTAGATAGAGCGCTGGAGCTGATTTTAAAATAATTATTTATCAAAAGTCCAACGCTGTTGAAAGCAATCACAGTGATGAATCAGACATTGGAGGAATATACATTACGATTCTGGAAAAACATTTTTCGGCCAAAGTATATTGACGTTGTACAAAACGGTCAAAGTTACCGTGTTTACCGTTATCTTGCTACTTCGGCGAAACACTTCTCTGTTGCCAATACGGCCGTGGATAGCGTGGTAAACACCACTTTAATCCTTGCTAGGCGCTCAGAGACCATCCTAAGTAGAAGTATATAGAATTAAAAGGGAAAGGAAAATTAAAGATACGCAGAAAAAGAAAATAACTCGAAATTACCATCTTCTAAGGAGAGTTGAATCTTGGAAATGTTGTCGCGTGACAGCGTTCATTTGCCCAAACTGGAGCGGAATCCAAACAAATGCGTGAAATATAAGTTAAAAAAAAAAAACAATCTTTCTATCACCAGAAATCGTGAAGTGAAAAAGCTTTATGTTGTTCCTATTAATGATGATGAATTCAGCATCACTCTAAGTGCTTTGAATGTGGGCTGCATGTATTTCGTTACATACATTCCAACGGACGTTACGGGTCAGCGCGTGTAGAGGTCAGCGGACCTAAATTGGAGAGCAACGCCATGCTAGGGGGGAGGTGGGGGGTATTGGGGGTACCCAATAGCGCAATACCTTAAGAAAAATTGGGAAAAACCGAAATACCGTGTCAAAAATCGACGAAATACTGATACCGCATTTATTTTCGGTCACGCTTACTTAAAGTTGTATCCATCTCGCGTGTTTGTTTATCTCAAAGACATTTGCGGGTATTTCGAAATACCTTACAAATCTAGAGATCTAAAAAGAGACCTTTTAGCCAAGGTTTCAGAACTTGTAAAGGAATGTGACTGAGTGCAGCAAAAATAATTTCATTCTGCAACTTTCCTGCGCAAGAGTTTGAGTGCATGGTATGCTGTCCAATTTTATATGACAAGTTGTGCGTAGTGCATTGGTTATTATTATCTAAATATCGTAAATATTATTGTGGAAACAAATTCTGAAGCATTTTATAAAATGAAGTTGCAAAATGAGTGAGGCACTTTCATCGATTTAAAAATCCTACCGGTCTCCTATCCTTTTTTATGATGTCCTCCCCGATATTTGGGTGACCCTATTCAGCAGAATGGCGGAATACATGTAATATTGTTAAATACGGAATATACGGAATACTCTAAAACATGGAATATACAGAATATTCTGTATTTGATTTGAACTGGACTGACAAAAAGGCAGAGGCAAAGAATACTCGGTTGTTTTGAAATATAAAAGAAAGAAATTTTTGTACTGCCGTAAGCCACACTATAGACCTTATGACGGTTTTGAAAGCCATCTTGACGGGTGAAGGGTCTTAGCTTGTATCACGGGAATCTAATGTCGGATAATTTTCATAAAACGGCTGTTCTAAAAAAAAGAAGAATTGTCAACTTAAGCTTGACGGAATTATACTAACAATTAATGGTGGCCGCACCTGCGCCTAAATTTGTCCGGTCGCTTTCTTTAGATTTTCCAGACATTTGTCCGCACTTTTCCTGGGAAATTTTAGTCGGCAAGAACGAGAAAAAATTACACACAACACTGTATATTTTCACGCGGTTGTTTAACCGTCAAGATGTCCTCCAAAACAGTTATTTGATTTAGCGCCCCTTCCAATAAGCGCTCCCCCTTTCGAATAAGCGCCCCCTTCAAATGTGTTTTGTTAATAAGCGCTCCCATTCTAATATTATATAAGAGTTCGGGTACGTATCAACCGAGGTTCATCTTCATTTAATAGCTCACAAATGAACGTGGTATTTCCACATTACAAAAACAGTGGTTTGATGTCCATGTGAGTGCATAAAGTCTTCAAAGGAATGATCTCTGTTTCAAATTTTGTGGCGATTGCTCGGCTGGTCGTTCTGGCGAGGAAGGATCCAGGGACAACAAGTCCGTTTTCCAGTCTCCTTGATCCATTACCTTAATTGACTTGCACTTTGTTCTTACTGCGAGTTTTTTTTAAGAAAAGTGACATATAAGGAAGGAAAGTTCCATCGGCAAATGCCCAACATGAGTTTCAAGGTAAGTCCCTCACGTTAACTGAGCATTCACCGCCGGCAGTATTTGTTACTGTTTCAGTTTCAAAGATTGTTCGTTTTTAAATAAATATTAAAGGTTTTTTTTTTAACATTTGGTTGTTTCTCTAAAAAGAAATAAGCGCCCTGTCCCGAATAAGCGTCCTCCCTTGAGCATGTTAAGGCACCAAAAGTAAATAAGCTGCCTCGGCGCTAAATCGAGTCATTACGGTAAGTCAATTAGCTTCAATTTTTTTACTTGTCACGCGCTTAAAACATGGTTCGAGTTATTGAGGGTAAAATTATATAGAAATGATCTGAAGGGAAACAAAAATTAGTATTACTTCGAGTTAGCACGAGGTTCGAGTCGGTAGCGAGGGTTCGGGTTGTTGGAGTCGACTGCTTTTTAAACGATTTGTCTCTTATCCTGCGTTTTAGAGTATTCCATGATTCCATATTTTAGAATATTCCGTGTATTCCGCCATTCCGTTCCATCATTCCGTCAGTCCGCCATTCCACTGAATAGCGTCACTCCCGAAGTTTTGATGTCCAAGAAAATACTAAACGCGGGGCTAATCAGTGTGCTAAGAATTGAATCTGTTGGCTACATTTTATAGCGCCAGATACTAGTCCTTTGAGGAAAAAACAAAAAAAACAAAAAAAAAAAACCTAATTCTTGGGCGTAATGAACTCAGTTTTCGCGACCAAGATGTTCCTCGTTCCTGCTGGGAGCGACAGTACTCTAACATCTCTCTTTTTTCCCTTGAAGGCAGACATTGGACATCGACATGAATGATTCTCGCCCGAGTAAAAAAAAACATCGGGTCAGATATCTTTCAATAGACCGCTGGCCAGAAGCGTCGACTCGTGACCCCACAACGCTCAGATCACGCTGAGGCCAAAACGGTGCGGCGGTTCGGGAACTTTTTCTTTTTAAGTCACCATCGTTTGAGAAAAAATAACATTACATTGTTTCACTTAATGCTTTCTGGCCGCGAAGAAGTTGTTTTCGTATTTGTGCATTCGTTAGATTCCGCCGCCGTTTAGACAAATGACGTCAATGGCCGCTGTCACGCGACGACATTTTCCAGATTCAAGTTTCGTCAGCAGATGGTAATTTTCAGTTATTTTCTTTTTCTGCCTATTTTTCATCTTCCTTTCTCTTTCAATTCTACGTTCTTCTACTTAGGATGGTCTCTGAGCGCCTAGCAAGGATTAAAGTGGTGTTTACCACGCTATCCACGGCCGTATTGGCAACAGAGAAGTGTTTCGCCGAAGTAGCAAGATAACGGTAAACACGGTAACTTTGACCGTTTTGTACAACGTCAATATACTTTGGCCGAAAAATGTTTTTCCAGAATCGTAATGTATATTCCTCCAATGTCTGATTCATCACTGTGATTGCTTTCAACAGCGTTGGACTTTTGATAAATAATTATTTTAAAATCAGCTCCAGCGCTCTATCTAATTTAGTATGCAATATTTGAAAATTTATTTTTTATTCACTTCGGCCGTTTTTCGATGTTCATCGAATGATATTGCATTAAAAGGCCTTTTTCTTCATCACTGTGTAGTTATCTCATTATTTTGCGTTGCGATAGTGATTTCTGAACCGTTTTTTGCGAGGGCTTATTTTAGGCCTGATTTGGCTGCTATCAGACGGAAAAAGTTTGCGGCTCGATATTTCTCGTTTAAAGCGAAACTGAAACAAAAGAAATTCATTTTTGAATAGTATTCGGTAACCTCTACTTGTGAGATAAAAATTGGCCGATTTTATTTTTTAGCCGGAAATCATCGGCCGTTTCTTAGGCGCAGGGCCTCTTAATCTGCAGGTTGTTTAGATTTATCATGAAATGGGATAATCCAAAACACGTCTGAGCAAAGCTTGTCCGATATTTAACTCCGTAGCTTTATATTATCCTTTTTTACCCTACAAACCAAGTGTGCATTCCACTTCCAAGAGCATGTGAACTTTGGATTTTCAAGTGTCTAGGGAATTCCCCGCATCTTTGTTTCAGTCGAAGCAAGCCAACGGATGACAGCCGTGCCATATTATTGCGTAGTTCATTTCTGTGGATAATCTCTCGAGACTACTGCAAATTCGAAACAACTTTATGCCTTTTCTGGACTGTGAAAACTACAAAAATAATGTGCAATTATAGCTCATACAGCTTTGAGCTTTCTTTGAACATTCCGTCGCTGGTTGCTAAAAAGTTTTCGCGCCAAATTCCTTTGCAACATATGATGTGTCTCGGGTTTCTCATGTGACTCATTATTGTGTGTGAACTGTTACTTGCTTGAACAAAGAAAACCCTTGTTCATTGGCTACTAAAAATGACGTCTCCTAGAAAAACCAATCAATGGTCATGTAAACACACGCTCACTTCCATAAATTACGTTCATTCATCGTTCGCAATCACCTGGCTTTTACTTACGTTAGAGCAAGGTTCAATTCTCGTGGCATTTCTTTTTCCACTTTATCACTTCCATTCACCTTCTGATCCTGTTACAGCCGCAAAACGGATAGCAACGAACTTACCATGCAAGATGGAGAGTTTTCTGATATCTTTTGCACGAGTAAGCGGTTAGCACATCCCTCGCACCTTCGTTTTGTTGGCATTTACGTTCTGAAGAAAGAAGTCGTCGGAAATGGTAAGTTTAACGCTCAACCGTTACTTGTATTATCAAATTATTCAAAGCGTTTTCTTCTTATAATTATTTCAACATGAAGCTTTACTTCTCTTGCGAACATTGTTTGGAACCCTGGCCCTAAACAAAAGCAACGCTCAGCTAACATCGTAGCTTATTACTTAACATAAAATTCACTTCCACACTTGCAGGGGGATAACGAACACAAAATTAATCGAAGACGTCGAAATAGTTATTTATCCTTTAATTTGATGGTGAGTCTACGTCCTTTTTGTTATTATTTTTTCAAAATTTATTTTTGTTTTACTCCCATAAACTGTTAAGAGATATTGCGTAGTTCTCTTAGTTTAGGAATGTGCTTCGTAATTGAAATTATCAAACAAGCTTACTTACGGGGAATTTCAGTTCTACAACCCGACAAAGGTCGTGAAGACGACTAAATAACTGTAGTACCTAACTCGTGCACATTTTATTCTCTCAGCCTTACAATATTCCTACAATTTTATGGTGTAAAAGGTTTTACTGAAATTAGTTATGGATTGCGCAACGATTGTTGATGAATGTGACTCCGATTTTGTACGTCGATCGTCTTCATCCCTCTCAAGACTGCATACACGATACACTTAACGTTAGGGAGAGACAGTTTTAGCCATCTAAATACTTCTGTTTAGAACTTCTACTTTCGAATCGCTCCCTTTAAAATCGCGGCAAAGTACTGTACACGTAAGTTTACATCGTGCTACCATGTTTGTTTTTATATGCAAATGAGTCTTGTGACTTCCGGGTAATCTTTGATCATGCTCAGAGCAGTGCCAGAGAAAGCGTCACAAAACGGAAGCGTTATTTATTTATTTTTTTTTTCATCAGTATCGATCCTTCTTTGGAGACAGTCATACTATGTAAGCAAACAAACATTTATTCTGGATTTTGGATTAAAAAATTACCAAGTTCTTCGAAATCAGGTTTATTTCAATATCCCAATTTTTTTACTTTAATACAGACTTTATTGCTTTTTGCAGGTGTTAATTCCACTACTTATTTTTTTGGAACTAAGTGTAGTTGTGCCTAACGTCAGGGTAAGTTTCTTAGTATCCTTGTTACTACTTTTTGGTAGGACTGTAACAATTACTAATAAAGTCAATAGTAAAGTGTGCTGTTATGGCCGGTTACAATTTTTATTGCAAAGCTGATTGTTCTTTAGAGTGTTGGAATACCCTTTGCACTGTTAAAAGTACAGGGAGAGAATATAGTTCTCACAGTTAGTGGCTATTGCTGTTTCAAAAGTGTTTTTCATGTAATATTTTTTCCTTAGCTTTTGCAGTCAAATTTTAAGATTTATTTGATTGTTTTACTTTAACTGATAGTGCATGAACAGCAGTATGTCACTTGATTATTTTTGTTTATGTCGACATAGCTTTCCCACCTAATATTTGGGGAAGCTGTGTGTGAATCCTACATTTACTTGAGTTAAGCTGCCACCTCTCAATTACATTTGTATGCCGCAATTAGCCGTAAAAATATTAATATGCATTTCCTTTTAATATATGCCAAACCTTTACAGCAACAGTGCACTGAACACTTTTTAATTTTCATAAAAAATTTTAATACTGATGAAACTTATTTGAAGGAAAATAGACCTTAGCAACTGTTATGTTTCTTTCACTTTTCTTTACTGCACTATCTTACAGACTATATTTGCAATATTGGTGAGGAAATTTATATCTTAACTAAAAGTACCACCCCAGAATAATGGGCACCCTCACATAGGTGCCACACTTAAAGGTTGAAAGGGTTAGTGCCATGGCACCTGTTTAAGCAGAAATGAGGTAAACTTGCTCATACTTTGTTTAATCACAATGCATCTCTCTACAGAGCATTCTAATTTTCTTGTACATTTTGTAGGCAACAAATCAATGTACTGAGTTTCAGTTCCTGGTACGTAATACAGATGGGACAACTTCTTGTGAGGATTGTGAACACTGCCCTCCTGGTCGAGGACTTTCGCATGAATGTGGTACAGAAATATCAGGAGATACAATGATTCACTGCATACCATGCAGTGAAGGCCGCTCGTTCTCCACCAATTATGACACTTCTAGCTGTATTCTGTGCAGTGCATCCTGTTCAGAAGATCAGTTAGTTAATCAAACTTGCACAACAACATCAGATGTCAAGTGTGCAAAGCAGTGTAACAGTAAGGACAGGTAATGCTCTTGCAAATTTAAAAAATTAAGGCTTAATTTTTATCAAGATTAAGACTTACTTAATAGCATTTCTAGTTCTTTATCACTTTCATGATGACTGTCAATCTAACATATAATCAGTTGTTTTTGTCTTGACATACCAATCCCCGTTTTCAGTTTGCATTATCTGGCATGTACCCTAAAGTGTTCTCAGCTGTTCTACTTAGGTCTGTTGCAACCCAGTTCAGTGAATATGTAACTTCTTTGTTCTTATGGACCTTGCTTACTTATCAATATAATTGCTATTGGCATGTTTGTAGTGTTGTACCTTTTTTGTTGTAATTGACAGCTTGCTTAATCAGGGTTAGCTTTGGTTTATCTTGTGCACAAAATGAAGATTGCATGTGTACTAAAGGACCTGGCTATATAGCTAGTCGTAAGAGGCTGAAAAGGATACACTTTTAAATTTTAATCACTTTTATAGTTACAATGGTTCTCTAGCTTACAAGGCTGCTGCCTAACGGGCGCCCGGTCGCCAGAGGCGCCCAAGGTAAGAGCATGGGCGACCAAATTTCGGTACAAGGAGCCCGCGCGGGCGCCTGACTTAACACACGGCATTAGACTTAACCTCCTTGTACATTATATTCCTTTAGCTGGAGTAGGACTTTAAACAGTGGAACTGTTGATATGGTTAGCGATGATGCGATTAGGCAGTATAAAATTTCCACAAATAAACCGTAAATTATGTAAACCTAACGTGTTCAACTGTGAAGCTTTGTCGAAACGAACGAAGCCATCGTTTCCGAGTCCGGATGGCAGTTGAAGACTGGGTCTGAGATTTGACTTCCAAATATGGAATAGCAAAATTATGGGCTGTTTGTTGCCTATGTTGACATTCGTGCAGTTCATCGTTTGCTTGGGTTTTCGTCGATTTGATAACTTTTTGTGGCGAGAATGGGAAGCTATCTTGCGTGCTATCGACTGGACGTGCTTGATGTTCGATTTCATGTACCAGTTTGCAACGTATCAGCATTTTCAAGAGACTTTAAAAAACAACACGCCAGAGAACGCAGTATGATATTTCATATTTGTAATGTGATGTCTTTACCTTGAATAAAGAAATTAAAGTAATGATCAACTTTGTGTTGGTTGTATTTCTGCCTTGCTGCACGTGCTTAGCGCCCTTTCCCGCTAAAATCGGCAAAGGTTCTGCTTTTCCCGCTAAAATCGGCAAAGGTTCTTCTTTTCTCGCTAAAATCGACAAAGGTTTCAGCAATTTGTCTTAAGCCCAGTGACTACAATGGAATTCTCGCAACAGGTAAGCAATGTTTATTTCTTACGACTCCGTATGTGAACATTTATATTAATATAGATAACGATTTGGAAACTGTCTCTTTCAAAACAATAAAATATATTTCCCGCTTTTAAAACACAACCGAAGATGCTGTGCCTTCATTTGACCTATATTCAATGCGGTTTTATTTAATCCGTAGTGACAGCGAATTCTTATTAAAGTGTGCAAGAACCTCTATAACCTATGTAATGATCTTGGAAAAACAATACATGGATTTCAAACTGGGCTCCTAACAATGTGGCTCGGGCTCCTAACTTTAAACTTTAGGAGCCCGAAGGGCTCCCTAAAATTTTTCTTAGGCAGCAGCCTTGAGCTTTATGTAGTGTTGTTAACTTTACAGGTATTATGATGAAGTAATTGGTGACTGTAAACGTTGTTCAAAGTGCTGTGGAGATGCTCAAGATGTTATCGAAGAGGAATGCAAAAGTAAAATGGGGGCTGCTTCAAACATGATCTGCTCTTTTCAAAGCAGTGTAAATCGGTGTGACAGAGATACTGATACCCTAACACCATCACCACAAGAAACCAGAGCATCTCAAACTGAGGCAAATGCAAGTGCATCCCCTGAGAATACCACAGAATCCAAAAACGCATCAACAGCAGCATCTTTGGACAAAACAACAGCATCTCAAAAAGATAGAGCAACAGAGTCTCCAAAAGTGACCACTGTCGTTCAGAGCACCCCTTTTCCTTCCCATTTTACACAAAATGTAACAGGCATCTTTACATCATCTGGAGAAATAAGGAGTTTGCAGGATTCACCTAAAGCAAAGCCTGCCGACAACCAAGTTGGATTAATTGTTGGTATAACCGTGGCTGTGGTATTGGGTCTAGTATCCTTGGCTGCTTTAATTAGTTATTGCTTATTGTCAAGGTCATGCTCTAGCTCAAAAGATCCAGAAAAAGGAGTGTACAATTCAGTAAATGATACTGAACCTTGTCCAGTGGCTATCAAAGGTAATCTTTTTAACTACATAATTGTGTGTGTATTGAGCTGTGATTACTATAATAACCCAGACCTGCAATAGCTGGTATTAAGCCCTGACATGCTGAATTGAGCTCCGAAAATTCGGTCATGAAATAGCAGCCCTTTTGATTCTTTCTTTCTTTAAATCTGCACGGTGTCCTGTTTTTCTGGCAACCAGTATTTAATGCCTGGTGACCATTTTATGATCTTAGGTCATCACTGTACCCATACAATTTTGGTACAATATGTGAGGTTAAAAGAGCTGCACTTATTTTCAGGAAAAGATCAAATTATTAGTCAGTGCACATGTACATTAACTATTCCAGCTTCAATTCCAGCTTCAACTAGTAATATGGACAAACTAGGTTTGGGTAGTAATCCCATAGCTAGAGAAATAATTAAACTACAAACAAGGAGTAAGGAACATTTTTCTAAGTCTGTATGTCATCGCTTTTTAAGTAAGTTTGTTGTTATTGTACATATAAATTTAATACCCTTACATTTCAGGATTGTGTAGTTGTAAAATTTTGTTGCCAGTGAATCCATGAATTGATTGTTTTTCCAGGAGACCCGCATACTAGAGAAAAAAAGCCTTGGAAAGTAAAGTGGACACAATCAAAATCAGAATCAATTGATCCACTGTGTGAGAAGGTACATTTATTGTAACTAAACAAGTCTTCTTCTACTATGAACATTATACATAGGTACTTGAGAAAATGAAAAACAAAATACATGTAGTATCTAACAAGCGTGCTACTAAATATAAGTAAAGAAAAAAAAGGTCAAATCTTGTAGCTCTTCATTCAAATGTGGTTGAGAAAGAAATGTCTGTCACTCTGTAGTTCACCTTTAAGTCATTAATCCTGAACAATTTAATATGAGTGCAAGGGGTCTCATTGAATTTGATCTATAAATTTCATGCCCTCAATCTTTTATTTCAATTTTACAGAATCCAGAAGGTCTAGTATGTGCTCGTCAGACTTCCACTCAGAAAGGTATAGCTACTTCATTAATAAATCCCCATGAAAGTTTGATTCTAAAAGCTGTATAATTTAGTTGTTATTGGAAATACTTAATTTGACAGTTGCTTACCCTCAGACCTCAAACCTGTTATGCTTTTCCGGGCAAGGACATTACATTACATAATCAGACTAATAGTTAGGCTGTGGAATATGAAAAGACTACTACATTTCCTCTAAGGCGTGAAGCTGCTTTTACTAGTCAAGAAACTTAACTTTCTAACTTGCTCTTACAGTGCTGTGATTCTAAAACAGGTGTGATTCTAATAAGGGTCATCACGACGTGTTGACAATCGATTCATTCACTACATAGTATTGTTGACATTCTGTACATTCACTATTTGTGATCATTGCTTTTAGAGCCCAAGCTGCTAGAAAGCCTGCTTAGCCAGGAATCCACCCTTCAAGCGGTCTGTGAAAGGCTGGACACCTTTGTACGTTTGGGTGGTGACTATAGAGCAGTGGCCAAGTATTATGGGTTTAACTATTATCAGATAAGCTCAGTGCTTGGTCAAGCAACTTACCCGGGAGAGCCCACAAAAACCAGAGCACTGATTGTGTCACTTGCATCTTCCCGTCCAAACCTAACAGTTAAGGAGTTTGCAACTGTAGTGGAGGAGAAGGCCAAGAGAAAAGATGTCAGTCGTCTGTTGAGGGCCTATGACATGGCAGAAGAGGCTACTGAAGAAGAGTAAAAGATTTGCCATAAGAAGTGCTGTAAGGGTGCAAAGGTCTCCTATTGGGCTTAAACAGTGAACCTGGGTTACCTGTGCTTAAGGTTGTAATAAGTGCAGTTTTCATTCTTTTTTGATTCTGTGGAATTTGTTAGTAAACATGTGGGTATCTACGTTTTACAATACTTCAGTTTTTAACATTGTTCGACTCTATAGGTTCATTAAGAACATCTTGTCGATTGTAGATAGAATACTTAAAAAGGGCTTCTATTATACTACTGATATCTTAATTTTCGTAAGTTGTACATGTGTTTCCTAACGTCGTAGATATATAAATTACAAAATATTACTGATGCTGTAGTGACGGGCATCGTTTTTTAGCCATGTAATGGCATATATGGAAGACAAAACTTTAAGAATAACTATTGGAGTAGTACTTCTTTATGTTTTCACTACATATGTTTGTTGTAAATCAACAATTAGCTTTATGTAATTAGTAAGTTACTAAGATTCCTTAAACAAAAACATCATTCTTCTCAGAATGAAGAGAATCTTGAGAAAATCGAACTCAAAGTAGCGTATTGTATCAGTATGACGACCTTATTTTCATTTTATTTCACATACTGTTTTGTTTTAGACAAAGACTTAATAATTACTTTCTTCCTCTAGTTTCGATAATAAACTTTGATCTAGTGATGGAATTATATTCAGGTAAATATCCACAAAATACTTGCTTGTATCAAATGCACCTTAGGGATGTTTTATAATTAGACAAGTTTTACCAAATTTTGAGCGTCGTTTTAGAAAACTGTCATCTTTTAAGATGACAGTTTTCTAAAATCATATAGACTTAAAAGTCTATATGATTTTCCTGTGTAGGACAGTTTGTAAATTGGCCTTTTTTTTTGTTTGTAAGAGGAGTTGAGACACCGTGTCAGTCCGGGGGGGACTCCCATACAAAAGTGAAGGGGATGCTCTTCGTCTCGCTTTGGGGTGTAAATTACAGATTTTGGTCGCACTGAGGGTGTTTGGGATGGAAAGTTACTATATTTGCCCATTCAGGTATCGCTTAGTACTATGCATACAGAAATTTACAAAAAAATGCCCTGACACTGACCACGCAGAAATCTCCCTTAGGAGTCAGTTTAAGTTTGAACCACCAACATTGCTCTCCTTGAGAGGTTAATTTGAATTTTCCGACGTGGAAGCATCCTCGTTACTTTTATATGGGAGTTCCCCCGAGATGTCAACAAGATGCAATCCCTTCTTGCTAACAGACAAAACGTATTCATTAGGTGCGATTATTGGCGATGACATGAGGTAGTGTTTAACAGGGTAATGACTCCTTTTCACATCAAAATTGACATAGGGCAAGAGTACGTATCTTATACTCTAATTATCTAGCAATAAACCGTGTGTTTCATATAAATGCCTTGCCACATGAGCTCGTTATATTAACGGGAACAAGGGAGGCGGTTACGGCTTTTCTTTCCCTCACCAAACAAACACAACAGGTTTTTAAGTTAGTAATTCGTCTATTTCGTCTTTGCCTTGGGTGTTTGAATTGGCATCTTCCAGCCATTTTCCGATATGGCTGACTCTAGTCTTTAGTATCTCCAGGAAAGGACAAGGCGCGGCTGGAATTCACCTACCATTTTTGAACCTTTTTTCTTTCATTCTGCCTCTTCTTTCAAACTCAAAGACGGCGCTGAGATCACTAAGCACTCGCTCGTTCGCTTGCTAGAATAGAATGCAGGCTGTATCGGCGGGAAACCAACAAACTCGTACCCAAGTCAGGGACGGATCCAGGATTTTTGTAAGGAGGGGGTGCACTCGTCTCTTGCTCTACTTCAACACCAATAAACCACATAGTTTTTTTTTTTGCAGAGTACCAGTTGTATTAGAAAACCGCAGGTCATCTCAGGGGGGGGGGGGAGGTGTGCACCCCCTGCACCCTCCCCCTAGATCCGCCCCTGCAACTACCACTTGCTCTGACCAGTTACATTTTCACGGGGAGATTGGTGAGGAGCTTAACAGGCTCTTCTCTCCCCCAGGGGTCTCCACCTCTCGCCTGGTCGCATTTTCTCGCTTTCACTTCGCACACAAAGAGATGTCACAGGCTAAAGCAATCAACTCAGCGGTATTAAACCTTCTCTATCGTTACTTGATGTGGAATACTCAAACTAAAGAAAGTCTCTCCAGATTACGAGCTTTAAGTGACTTACCCCGACCCCCAGCCAGCTCACCCATACACCTACCTAAAAAAGAGGTTGGCATTGTGACGCGAGTAACGTAAATAAGGCGGGAAATCCCCTTGTTTTTGATCAATGTTCAACCAGTTTTCAGAACCAGTTACCTTGTTGCAAAGCGCAAGTAGGTTTGAAAATACCAGTTTCGTTGCAACTCAGTTCTACTTTCTGCGCGGTACACGGCTTGATTGGTATTCAAATGAAGATGCCTAAACAAGACTAATGGTTACTTGTTTAATTGGCGTGAAGGTATGTCTTATATAATGGTCTTTGCTGAATAATCGATTGGACGTGCTTTTAATCTAGTATGACTAATTACTTTCATTAAATAGAAAGCGTCCAATCTTGGAACAGGCAAGCCAAAACGAGGACCTGAAAAGATACGAAGCACAACAAAAGAAGCTGATTTCTTAACTTGTGTCGTGAGAAACTTTTCAAGAGCGTTGCTTTTAGTATCGTTGGTAAGTAAACAATTGTTCGCAGCTATCATTGGTGACCCTTTGTTTTACTACTTATAGTTGCATGTACGTATCAACTTTATTATAAGAGGGTAACGCAAAACAGTAAACTGATAAACCTGCGGCCCTCATTATGAAACAGTTAACAATTTCAATTAAAAATATACATAGAATAATCCGAAAATTACAATTAAAAATACAACAGTAAAACGTGCAATAAAAAGTTGTGAATACTGAAGTTATCAAACAAACAAAATACAGCAAAGAAAACTAAGAAGATGCATAAAAGTCAGTTAAGGCCTTTTTAAAACTATGCACACATTCAATACGTTTTAATTCATATTATAAAGGCCGAAAGTCAGATTTTTAGACCTAAATGAGATAAGCGAATTTAAAATGTCCTGACTGTGCATTTTTATGCAGATGCTGACTCACCACAATGGATTTTCAAAAATGTCTCGTGATCACACACAAGTTAAGGGTCACCGGATTATAACTTATGGGCATTTGATCGAATTCCGGAAAATAAAAGTCAAAACAAAACAAAAAAAGCACTATGTCATTTCGTGTTTTGGTTTGATTAACTAATTTATGAGAAGTATGAAACGGTAATAAATTTTTGGACATTTGGGGGACATGACTCCTTCAATGCTAAGGGAAAGCGACAGGGCTGTCTTATAATTTATACCCCATCAGGCTTCAAATCAAGAAAATAAGGTGATTGTTTGTTAGTGGTAATAATTCTAATTTTCATGGATGTCTCCAGTTAGTGACTTCAAAAAAGAAATTCGAGAGCCTTGCAGAAAAGAAAAAAAGGATGAACAAACTTAAGATTAAAAGTTATTAAAATTGCAAAACTTTCGAGTAGTAAGTCGTTTATTACTAATGACCCTTGTCTAAAATAAATGGCTGTCCATTTTTTAATTTATTTTTTATTGTTCTAATTCATCTTAGCTCCAGATACAGACGAGTGGTTGTTATGGTTGCGGTGGAGACCAAGTCACGTGGAGAAGGGACAATGCGGCACTGAATGACACATGTCTGCCCTGTATCGACTGCCCAGATGGAATGGAACCCTCTATTCGTTGCGGAGGGGTTGCCAAACATGGAACAGACCTGCACTGTGTAGCGTGCAAATTGGGAATGTATTCTGATTCCTATGGTAAAGAACAGTGTAGGCCATGCTCTTTGTGTTCAGAGGGGAGGTCAGTTAAACGTAACTGTTCTGCATCGCAAAATAGACTGTGTGGCTCGTGTAACTATGGT